AAATAGGTACTAAGTATAAGCTTTTAATAGCTTATTATCTATAAAGTAATAGTTAAATAGAATAATTAAATTAAACTCTGGAATAATATTTATAAGTATATATTAACTATAAGTAAGATAATTAGATATAACTATTACTAATAGTACAGATTGCTTATAATAGTTTAGTATAAGAATCTACCTAGTTTATACCTATATATATAAACTATAGTTATAAACTATAATTCTAGAATTAATCAGAATATAATAGACTAGATATACTAGCTACTATACTTATAAAAGAAATACTATATTTATTATATATAGAAATAAAAATAGAACTTAAATTTATCTAATAAAAAATAAAAAAATATTATAATAAAAACAGATTAAAAGAATTAATTCTAAAGGAGGGAGATAAGATCTATCTACTTTATAGAAATATTATAATAATAAGACTAAGTAATAAATTAAACTATAAAAAACTAGAACTATTTAAAATTCTTAAGAAAAAATCAGATACTAACTATAAACTCTTATTACCAGATATAATATATATCTACCCAGTTTTTTATATTTTATTACTTAAGAAAGTACTAGATAATATACTAGACTAAGATTATCCGATTAAGGTCTATAAAGAAGAATTTAAGCTAGAAAAAATACTAAAGAAAGAAGTCAGAAACAGATAAATATTCTACCTAGTTAAATAGAAAGGATATACTGATAATAATAATATATAGGAACTAGTTAAGTATCTAAAGAAGTACTAATACTTAATTTACTAGTTCCACTAGAAGGGAAAAGGGAAGCTAAATTAGAAAAATCCTCTCTAAAATCTAATAAATTTAAATCTATCTTAGGAGTAATCCCTAAGAACTAAACTTCCTCTAAAGTATATTATTCAGAAGCCTTAAGGAAGTTAAGAGCCTGATTAGAAGATAGTTACTCTTCCTTATTAAGCTCTTAGAGGCTATATTGAATTTCCTACTATACCTTACTTTTAATACACCTGTATACTTTATAAATATACTGAATATACCCTAGGGCAGTAGATAGATTACTTTAGAGTTAGGTTATTTATTAATATAAGAGAAGAATCTTCTTATCTATATTAGATTCTTCTTTAGCTAGTTTTTTCCACTATATTATTAATTTTTCTACTAGAATAGAAATCAGAAAGGTATAAATAAAGTATATAAGAGGATATATATAGTTAGATATAATTAGTACTCTATTATAATAATAACTATTTTATATATACTTATTATATCGGAATAACTTTCTGTTCGGAAGAATAAAATACTCTTTTTTCATCTTGAAATACGGAGTATATAGTATATCAGCTAGAAGACTGAATATTTAAATAGCAGTAGTAAGAAGGACTTACTTATAAGTCTTAGGATATACTAGCTTTCGAATACAGTTAGATATAATAAATATTATAGTATAACTATTATATATAGAGAGGGGAAGAACTTACTAAGATTATATAGGATCTTAAGAATAAGACTAACGGAGAGGGGGTATTATATTACGAATAAAGATCTCTATAATAGGTTATATAGTTATATATACCCTACTGTCTGAAGGATAGGAGCAATAGGAGTATTACACTCCTATTACAGGATATAGCTAGATTATTAGGAGCGGTATACTCCTTATACTCTATAACTATTATATATATATATTTATTTCGTTAGTTAGAATACCCCTTCAGATAGTTATTAATATAATTATCTCCGTATCTATTATTACTAGCTCTATAATACTTATATATTAACAGTAACTTATATTATATAGCCTAAGACGATCTGATTATACTACTCAGAATAACCCTCTAATTAGTTTAACCCCGACCTACCCTAGACCCCGTCCAGTGTAAGTCAACCCAACCGTCACAATTATAAACCTCGGTATGAACTAGAGAGCAGCAGTCTATAAGATAGGTGCCTCGAGCTCCTATTTAGTTTACTTCAAATATGAGCAAACGTCAATCATCTGTTCCGGCGCATTCCAAGCGTACCCGGTACCCGAGAGCGCGAGCATGGCAACTCTAGAAGTTGAGGGAATAGATTTTTACTGTCGAGAGCCACCGTTCATGTTGAGATACTTCAATGTGAAGCAAGTGTATAACATTAATCCCGGTTCTGGTCGGCGCGGGGACTGTGAGTATTCAGATACTAAGCCAGATAGAACTCAGAACGGCTGCTTGACCAAATGACACACCCGCGGCATTGGCCCGGCTTCTAGGCTTTGAGACCGGCCTCGCCTCCGTCTTCTATTCATGCTTCGGAAATCCCGCAGCCGCAGCAGAGGCAAATATACCGAAACGCGGTACCAGGTCCCCGAGTCTGATCCAACTTCCAGGGCCGACCAATTTACTTTAGGTAGTGGGCTGATGTCTTTTTTTGGGGGTATGGCCCGTCTCCATGCTCGATTTGCCCACAAATTTGGGGTTCAAGACAGGCCTAGTCCAATTAGCTTTCAGGCACACCGCGACACATGACAATGCCTCGAGACGAGCGAGTGCAGAATTGGCGATCCACACACAGTGACACACTCCACACTACACTAGGCTCGCCTCGAGGCCACAACCACGGTGCTACCCCACGACATTCCCCGTTGGAGACTCGATCCTGGACGAGCCGCTAATATTTTCAGGAAAGTATTTAATGGTCGTGTCAGTCGTGCAGGTCTCGAAAATGCTCCCTTATCCAGTCAATTCACTCTCCTTCCCTCGGTTGTTTTTGCATAAAAATACCATATATCACAATGTCGGGTCTTAAGAACGTCATCATCACTGGCGGTGCCGGCCTCGTTGGCCCTCTGCTCGCCAAGCGTCTGTTGAACGACGGTGGCTACAGGGTCATCCTCACTGATCTGGCCCAGCCTACCGTCCCCGAGGGTGTCCCCAACCCAGAGAACGCTGTCTGCATGAAGGGTGATATCTGCTCTGCCGAGTTCGTGAAGGAGCTCCTCGATGCTGCTGAGCCCAAGCTCCACGCCATCTTCATCTTCCACGGCATCATGTCTGCCGGTTCCGAGGCCGACTATGACCTGTCCATGCGCGTCAATATCGAGAGTGTCCGCAACCTCCTCCTCGCCATCCGCGCGCGGGGCCCCGGCACCAGGGTTGTCTACTCCAGCTCCCAGGCCGTCTTCGGTCAGCCTCTCCCCGCGGTCGTTACTGACGACGTCACCCCCACGCCCGAGGGTACCTACGGCTCCCACAAGTACTCTACTGAGATCATCATCAACGACATGAACCGCAAGGGCTTCGTCGATGCCTTCACCGTGCGGTTCCCCACCATCGTCGTCCGACCCGGCAAGCCCAGCAACGCCGCCCCCTCCTTCCTGTCGGGCATGATCCGGGAGCCCATGAAGGGCGAGGAGTGTGTCATCCCCCTGACCGACACCTCCTACCGCTCCTACGTCTGCTCTCCCAGCAGCACCATCGAGAACCTGGTCCGTGTCCTGAACCTCCCCAACGACGCCCTCCCTCCCCACAGACGCCACATCAACTTCCCCGGTGTGTCCGCCTCCGTAAAGGAGTTGATGGACGGCCTGGCCAAGTACGGTGGCGAGGACAAGCTCAAGCTCCTCAAGTTTGAGACCAACCCCGTGTTCGAGAGAATCCTGCGAAGCTGGCCTTTGGATTTCGACCCTACCACCCCTGACCGTCTGGGACTTATCAGGGATAAGCACCCCGAGGACTTGGTCAAGGAGTACATCGACTCCCTTAAGCAATAAGCGTAAAAGATTTGTTTTTTTGAGTGGGCTACATAGATTTTTTTTTAATCTCATAGATCATTTCGCATAGATCTGAAAATAATGTAAAAGAATTTCATGAAACATACAATTTCCATCTCCCGTTCATTAAACTGTATTGTATAAGAAGACGACATGAGAAATATATGAGATATTGTCTTGGAACGTCATACCGATTCGCGCTCGATATTAAGTTGCAGTATGTCCACTCAAGCACAGGACTAGAGGCTCAATCTAGGAATGACTGGTCTCAATAGATTAAAAAAATGAACTAGAGGGCAAGCAGAGTAAACCAAGGCCGGTATTTGGCCAAGACTTTGCCTATAGCATTCGTTTCTGGGCATATAATGCCACCCAATTAAGTGTCTCTCTCTCTCTCTCATGTCCTTAAACTCTAGAATGGGATATCCTGATATATGGATATTATCTTTGCTGAGATTTTACGAGTGTTGAGTTTTCATAGATATGGAAGGGACTACGTAGGAAACTATCATCAAAGCAAAGCATAGGAAAGAATAGTTCCATATTCAAATGAGACAATCATGGTCATCTCATTCGGCTTTGTCTTCTTCTTGCCATTTTCAATACTAATATACTTTTCTTTATGTATATATGATGTGCGAACTATCCCAATCCCTAGATCCGACTTGTCGGAGAGGATCCCAGCATGTGGGCGTTGCAAACGGCTATCTTTTCCACTTGGCTCTCGATATCTTTTCCTTTCGAAAATTGGAAAGCGGTGATAAGATACAAGTTCATATTCCATATTCTTCGGATCAATGTGTGAATACAACTAGATATCAGTGTTTATGGGCTAGGCATACCATCAAGTGAGGTCAAAACAGGCCTATAAAGATGACGCTCCTTAAAAAAACGCATCCCTCCTTTGACCTAGGGTCGTGCCTTTTTTTTGGTTTAATATACATTAATGCATCATACCTCCGTTCTGCCTGGCCAATGAGGAATATGAATCCAGTCTTCAGATATCAGCCTCGGTCCATCTGTTTGGAACTTTGCTGACACCTTGTATTAAGCCTACCCTGGAGAGGTGCTGCAAGGTGATGCCATACTCTCCATGTCCCAAAATACCAGACCGAGGAACTTCGGGCTTGCCGTTGGTGTCGTTTCTCGGGTCTCAAATTTTCTTCGGGGTTTTCGAACATCGGGTGAAGAAAACTAACGCCGTCTACTGAGAAGAAATAATGTAAGATCAAGGGCTGGAAAATGCGGAACGGCAGACTGCTCCGCGAAATGCAAAAAGGGCCAATGCGACGACTGAAAAGCACGGGCCGGATCAATCCATTTGGACGCAATGTCAGACAATCCGCTACAATGAATTGCAATTTGATGGAATGAGCCAGCCAAGGCAGCCACCGTCATGTTATCAACCCCGCCACCTCCGGTTTCCTGGTGGTGGGCAGGGCATGTGGGCGCTCACTGCATTGTGGAGGAAGCAAAGCATCCACCCGTTCCGGTACGAGAGGTAACGTTGATTAAAATTGCAATGACGGAGCGAGAGTGAGATGGATGTGTCACATTGGCACCATCGAGCGACCGGTCAGCCATTCGCGCGAGAAGGAGGGAAGATTCTTCACAAATAACATCACACAAGGTCTTGCTGGCATGACAGCTGAGAATATCGAGACCGGGGTATGGGGTGGGCTGGCTGTAGAGTTGGCCTGAACGGTAGGATGAATGAAACAGCACCGCGACGCGTTGAGGTCTTCCGTATGCAGAATGAGGGACTCGCTACCAAGAATCACGCAGGCCAGGCGGTCAAACAATAACAAACTCATTGAATGAGTGGATGAAGTAATCGGAGGTGTGAATTAGCGGCGCCAATGGGTTGGTGGCGGGCTGTTGTTTGTGGGGAGCTTGGGAGCAGCACTTGGGGGAGAGGGCTAGGATGAATTGGCTAACAATGGACGATGGGGGTGGGAAAGGGAGGAGGAGGAGGTCAGGAGCCACTCTCGTGAGATCTGGATGTGTTGATTATTGGGGGAATACCTTCAGCGATTATTGTGTGAAATAAGCTGCGGGCAGCCCGAAAAGAACACACCGTGAAGGGTAAATAAAGCAAAACAAAGCAAGGCCATCCATTTATTAGCTGACTTGGCGGACATTGGGATAATTGGGATGGGAGCAAATAGCGTAATGACTGGGCTGGATGCTTGTTTTGCCTTGCCAGTGGAGAAGGTGAACCCTGCACAGAGCGCAGCACAGCACAACACATACCTAGCAGCGAGCGCAGGAGCACGACGCCGCGGGTGTCAGGCTTTGGGTAGGCCTGTGAGGGAAAACGGCCGCCCGCGGGCCTATTTCACATAACTGCCCCCCCTTTCCGCGCCAGCTTTTTCCTTCCTACCATCTCTTTCTTCTGCTGGCTCGTTTTGCTGCCCTCTGCCGACCCATTTGCATGCCCATTTACTCGTTCTCACGGCGTGGTCGACGTTTGGTGATCTGGACTGCATTTTGCCCTCCCACTTATACCAGGGCCCTGTACTTGCCTCCCAGTGGGCAGGTACCAGTACCTTGGGTTCCCGGAATCCCAGGGCCTGCTCAAAACCAAGAAATGGGAACGACAGCCGCAGGTAATTCTTGATTCGAACTCTGTGCATGGACAGACGCAGCAGGGAAAAACTTCGACAGCAGAAATGGGCTCTTCCCCTCCCCTCCGTCACCACTTTCTCTGTGGTTCTGGCGTCGGGGGCACCGTGGAGCAGGCTGGTTGAATGACATGGACAAGCGGCACTACAGTTCGGGCCACTGGTGCGTCAGGGATTTGCTTCCACCCTTGACACCTGGAGAGAACCCCAGCGCATGGCGCATTGGCGGCTTCCAGCGGCGTCGCGGATGAGATGCAAGCGCACCAACTCCCAAGGATCAGCCAACCAGTTTATCGATGCTGCGAGGTGAAGTGAGGCCAAGGGCCCGTCTACCAGATTCCTCGTGTTTTTGCTACGCTTTGGAATCAAGAAGGGAGGAGCTGCTGGGAATTGTTTCATTCATCGAAACATCCCCTGCTAGAATCGAACTGCCCACGGGCGCACCGGTTCACGCAAGCTTCTTCCCAGCAGCCCGCTTATTGCGAGAGAGCAGATCCACGCACGCCTTCCGATGGGCCCTTTTCATCGTTAACCTGTGTGGTTATTTTGCACCGACGAGACGAACCGGTGCAATACCTCAGCGTAGCACAAGCAGGCGAAATACGAGCGATTGGGTTTGATCACACCGTGTTTGGAACGGTCACCTGGGATATGTGCGTCAGGGCCTGACGATGCACGCCTGGCCCACATGTGGACTTATCTGGTGCATGCTGATTGTGATCCTCACCAGCACACTGCGATTTGACCATTTTGACCACACTGCATCTCACGACATCTCACGGCATCTCTTGCATATTATCATCCTCTTCAGGCAATTGGAATCGATCATTTAGCCTTCGTGGAAGAATGGTGCTCCGATGAGCTGCACATCCTGCCGTCCTCGAGTAGGTGGCCATCACCACATAACAGAAGGGGAATTGCATGTATAATCGACAGCTGGGAGGAGAAACAACCATTTCCGCCATTTCCATGCTGGAAATATACCATGGTAGGATATATTGACACAAGTCAAGCTCTCATTCCTTTGGTTGGCTGACTGCCGTGGGAATGCTAGAAGCAAAATCTGGACAAGCCTGAGATCGCCAAGCAGTGAGAATACATGTATCCAGCATGGCTTTCTTGCGCAAGGCTGTGGCGTTTCTCTTCCTACAAGACTTCTTTGTGATTTCTATCACCAATTCCTACCCGCCGGAGCCTGTTTACCGACATTGCACATATTCTGGCTGCCCGAGAGGATCATCAAGTTATTCCTCTAGTGGGCGACCTACACAAGGAGATCGTCAAGGCGAAGTTAGATAGCCTGTTAAGGTTTTCCAGCAATCTCAGGGCAAGACACTAACAGCCTGCTCCTCGATGGGTCGAGGTCTACCTGTCGCTCCTGATTGGTTCAATCTCCACCTTCCTAGTCTTTGCTAGCTCTGACTTTCCCGGGAAACCAGGCCAAAGGGGGTTAGCGCCATCATGCTGAGGCACCTGACCAATTTTCTCAGCAACCATGGCCGCCCGAAACTTGCACCAATGGCCAGCTGTCGTTGGTCTCAGCAGTCTCGTTCCCTTTCAACTGCCTGGCAGCTCCTTTGCCCAACGCGTCCACAAGCCTGCAAGCGAGCTTATTAGTAGTGCTGTGGCAGGGCCAGAAGAACAACATTAGGTAAGCCGGTCCGCCTCATCCCATTTCCGCCTCACCGTGTTGCGCCCCAAAGTATGGTGCCTACGCGCTTTGCACTCTGCCCCCCCGGCGCTGTTGTCAATCCATCCTATCCTCCCACCACCCGTGTCTCGTGCCTCCTGGTAGCAAAGGGGCCCCCGTCTTGAAAGAAAGACTAGCCAGTGCTGCCCCAAGCTTGGGATCTACTACAGTGGCCTTGCAGTGCGGTGGTTGTTGATGCGACCCGTGCAGCACTGAAGGCAGGCGCGTTACGAAATTTTCACACACGTTTGCTCCTGCGCTCAGCTGCTGGTCCTCCACGGGCGCGTTGCTTACAGCGCTCCACAGCGCTGTACCGTCCCCCAACGCCCGCCACGGTTGCCTGTCCTCTGGACGCTGGGCGCTCCGCTCACAGCCTGCTAACATTGTTTGTTCTTACCAGCCCCAATATTCACCTCCATTCGGCCCCCGGTACCGACCCAGCGAGCCCATCGAGTTGTCCGTCCCAGCTGGCCTTTGCTTGCATATTTTCTTTTGCACTTTTTTTGCGTTGCTTGTTCGGAGGACTAGCATTGACATCTGCCATTGTTAGCTGTACTGGACTCTCAGGTGAGGAACTACCTGCCCCCCGTTTTTTTATGGGGAGGCACGTCGCTGGCTGTCTCCCCTGTTGAAGCAGAGTCTTTTGCCTTGTCTCTGTGGTCGGCTCTCTTGCTCCCCGTTCCTATTTCATTTTCCCACCACGCACACACCTACACTCCACCTACCACTACCTCGCGACGCGCGACTCAACTGGCTCCTATCGCCATCGCTCCCCCCCGTACCTTGCTGCGGCCCCATCATCATTTGCTTTGGCGCTTCTTTTCTACTCGATGGAGCATTTGTCGCGTGGTCCTTGATTAGCTGACACCGCGCTCAATAGTCCAGTTGGTCGTCGCTTTCTTCGACATGAGTACCTGGATGAACGACGCTGTACCAAACCACAATGGAAATGGTTTTCCACATATGAACGATCCCAATTCTGCCGGCGCCATGATGGATCCGTCAGCGTTTATGGCCAATGCTGGCCAATTCAATCCAGCGCAATTCCAGAACCAACAGCAGCCGCAACAGCCCCAGCAAAACCCGAGCCAGCACCAGATGCAGGCGATGCAAAACGGCCCGATGCGCAATGCGTCGCCATCGTCTTATCAGAATCCTGTCTATCAAACAAACTCGGTTATTCCATCGAAGCGACCGCGACCGCGCGATGAAAGCATGGCCGGCTCTCCGACCCAAAACCCAGGCATGCTCCCTACGTCCAGATCGCAAACGCCGCAACAACAAAGCTTTGCTGGTTACCAGACTGGCCAGATCCCCCAACAAGGGCCAGGCCAATACTCGCATCTTCAGGCTAACGGTTCTGCCAACGCGAGCCCTTCGCCAATAATGGGTAATCAAATGCGGCCAGGAAGCGTTCCACAGCGAGTTGCTACCGCATCTCCTCATCCTTTCTCACCCGGGACACAGCAGTTTACCGCGCAAGCTTCGCCAGTCACATCGGAACATGTCGGCACTCCCCAGCAAAATCCCTACATGCAGAATATGCCACAAGGCTATAGCCCCAGCTTTGCGCCGTCACCATCAAATACGCGACCGCCATCGAACCCGAACCCCATGGCCACTAGCCAGTTGATGTCCCAGCAGATGGGGCAGATGCCTCCGCAAGGAGGACAGATGGGAAGCAACATGTACCAGATGCAGCAACAGCAGCCTCAGCAACATCCCCAACAGCAGCACCCACAGCAGCAATCACAGCAGTCGCAACAACAGCAGAAGATGGCCGCGTATCAGATGCGACTTCAGCAGCAATTGCAGGGAAACATGCAGATGCAGGCTCAAATGCAAGCTCAGCAAATGGGCCGTGGCATGATACCAAAACAGCAACCTCCGATGATGCAGAATGGACAGCCTCCTCAGCCTCAGGGCGGCATGATGCGACCCCGACAGATGACGAACCCGAACCCCGAGAACTTCATGAAGAGCCTGACACACTTAATGAACATGAAAGGACTTCCTCTCGATCCTAATCCCATGATTGGAGATCGCCCGGTGAATCTAGTGACGCTGTTCTCACATGTACAGAACAAAGGCGGTTATAAACCCGTCACTGCGGCCAATGGGTGGCCATACATCGCTCAAGCACTGGGGCTCCCGGCGCAACTGCCCACTGTGGGACCTGCTTTGAAACAAATATATGAGCGTAACCTGCTAAAGTTCGAAGAAGCATGGATGGCACAAGCAAAGAGTCGGATGATACAGCATCCTCAACAGGGAGCGCCGCAGAAACCTATGCAGCCAAGCCAGCAGATGAATCAGGGTCAGATGCAGCCAGGACAGCAACAACCGCAGCAGCAGACGCCTTCGAAGCCAGGATCTCTTTCTATGAATGGATTTCAGACTCCTCAGCAAACGCAACAACAACCCCCGCCGAATGCTGTAGCCACTCACAACAGAGGTTCTATGCCAACCCCGATCGAAGCTCAAGTGCAAGGCGAATTCATTGCCCCGTCCCCCGTCCACAGCAAAAGCGGTAGCATTTCAATGAGTCAGGCTGAAGGTAGACCCCCTCTTTCGGTTGCGCCTCCAGAAGCCGGTATGCCAAGAATACGTCCGAAGTCAGATGAATATACTCCTTGCTCTCGCGAGCTCACAACCTATGGCGGAGTCGATATTGGTGGAACGAACTCTCTTGCCATGGAACTGGCAAGGTGGGAGCCTGATGTACCTCCGCTCGCCGAGATGGGCAATATCGACATTCAGGCGCTCACCCGGAGTCTGCAAAGTGGAATTCACGGAGAGGTTCGACTTGCTTTGGATACTCTAGTAGCAGTCTCAAACTCGCCACATCCCCACCTGGCGCTTCAGCTAAGGTTCTGCGAGGATCTGGTTGAGACCATGCTCGACTTTGCTGAAGAACAATTGGAATTCCTCGCTGAACATACCGTGGAGGTTTCGGATGAGATATTATTAACACCATACGAAGACCTCGTAAGATCTTGCCGTCTTGAGCAGCTGAACGTGAAGGAAAGCCCGGTATTTGGGAGCCAGGAGTATGAGCTTGACCGTACGGTTGATCGGTTGATCTGTATTACCACCTTTCTCCGCAATGTCTCTTTCCCGGCCGAGAACAATGAGAACCATGTAGTCCTCGCGGATGAGTCTGTGGTCAAATTCCTGGGTGTCATTATAAGATATCTCGGCACACGAACCATGTTGCTGCGGACACACGCCAATACCTTGGATTTTATGAAGGACATGGTTATCCTGCTTTCTAACCTCTCCAGCTCCATCGAGCTCCCCAGCAAGGAACAGGCTCTTTGCTTCCTCCAGTTTTTGCTTGCCTTTGCCCCTTCCCCTGGCCCTACGACGATTAAGGGTACTTGGAGTTATTCCCCCTACGAGCCAAGTCTGCATCCTTACTTACCCCATGCCGTGGACGCTCTGGCTAAGTTATTTGCACGAGACGAGCCAAATCGTACACACTATAAGACTTTGTTTGCAACTGATGCCACCAATACCCCGCCTTTCGAACTCCTCAACCGTACATTTGCTCTCGCTGTATCACCAATCCCCGACAAGCTCCACGAGCAAAAGCGGCCGCAAAATTACCCATCTCTTGTGGAAACCCGGAAGCCATATCTCATGCAGGGCCTCCTCTCCGCTGAGATCATCGCATCGTTAGCCCCCGGTCCCGAAGCAGGAATAACAAAAGCATGGCTTCTTTCCGAGAATGATCTCGCACAGAATCTGCTGGGTTTGGTGGAGAGACTGAGCAGGCAGTACGAGCAACCTGGCGCATTCAACAGAGGCGCTACCCGAGCACCACCACGAAAAGACGCGGAACTTGTATATCTTGCCGTTACTGCTGTCTCATTATTGCGGAGGCTTGCAGAGAAGGCAAAGGATGATGAGGACTCGTTTTCATCAATCCTCACAGCTCTGCTTCCTTCATCCCAATCCTTGCTGGAATCTTTGAGTTTGCCTTCGCCAGAGTGGACCAAAGAAGGGTTTCTGCATCATCTTACAGCATGCTACAATCTCAGTTGGTAGGCATTGGGACTAGGGTTGGTGTTCATGGGGATCAATTTTGAGTATAAAAGGTGATTGGCCATGCAGGGTCTGGATATTTCTAGCGAACATAGCGTTTGGGATATGTCACTTGGACGGAATTGCATTTTCTGATGCTAATTCGGCAGAGCGAATTCCCTCTCCTTTTTTTTCTGGTGTTAATTTTTTTGCATGTGTCTCGATGAGGCTTTGGGTTATGGCTCTGTGGCTTCTCTAGGGCGCTGGTGCCTACACGGATAGGAATGAGATACACTGATACCACGTTTTGTTTTTATTCTATTGGGTATTCGGAATGTCAAATGTATTGTACATATTTGAAACTACCACCATTGTGGAACATTATGCTATATTTGTACAAGTAGTTTCTGCCCTGAAGTCGTTCTGCCTGATGTGCGAATCCACGATCATTTGTCATTTCATTTGATATTTAAATATACAACGCAGGATGGCCGAGGTCAAAATCCTCGTTCAATGAGGTGAGCTCTCGTTTTGTCCAAATAATGACCCTGTTCTCAAGAGATTAGTTGAACTGCTGACTACGGTTGTTCACAACACAGTAAAAACGCACATTGATTTCTATGTGTCCCGTCGTGGGATTGATCTTGATTTTATCTTGGGCGATGCCGATCTTCTCTTTGAGCTCCTTCACCAGTTGTTGCTTATTGCCGTTGACCTTCTTGACTAGGATGATTTCTCTGGTGCCGCCTGACTTCCACACGCGGTATACAGGTAATTGAGCATAGGGTGTGCGGCGGATAACATAAGGCCTGCTGGCGAGTTCTTCCTCGGTTATCGTCGGCGGGTTGAGAGGTTCTCGGGCAAGAGGTCGTTCGGATGGATGGATTTTGACCGGAGGAGGTTGATGAGGTCGTCGAGGGGCGAGAGGGTTGGGCCTGTAGGACACAAAGGCGATCTGCTGGAAGAAAGGAGCTGGCCGAGCGAGGGTGCTTGGAGTAGCAGCTGACACCCGAAGGCAAGCGAAGCTTCGGGTGAGGTTGTGTGCCATCTTGAATCGAGTGTCGCAAATATCGTTCGACGATCAACTGAGCGATTGGGTCCGGATGCAGTGCTCGAAATACCCGGGAAAATGGATTGGAGCTGAGGACCGTGAGAAGCCGCAATCGTGAAATGCAAATTCGATCCAATGATTCAATTGGTCGCGGTCCCCAAATCGGCGAATGTTGGACAGAGAGATCATCAAGTGAAGCTACACCTGAAAATCTCGAGATCACATGACCAGAGCTTGTTCCTGGCGACGGGTAAATGCCGGATCAGCGATAAGAGCTGGTCACAAACCCCACACCACGGATGTTGTGTATTAGCGAAATTCGCCAAAAATCTGCCCCTCCATTCACGGCGGCGACAATTTTGATCCTCACCCTCCTCGAACTAGCCAGCGGCCGAAACGAGCGGAAACGAGCCCCCGACCGACAGTAACTTTTCGAACCCCAGATCGTCGTCGAATTTTCGCCCAATATGGAGGACGTACTAAAGGCCGTCTCCGCCGATGGCTCATCGATTATGCCCCAGCTGGCTCCCAACCTGAGCAGGCACCTGCTCTTCCCTCTCATCCAGTTTGAGGGTGACCAGGCTGAGGAGAAGGGCGAGGAGGAAAAGGCCAAGAAGATTCTGAGTGGAAAGATCAAGCTCCTCGAGGACACCAATATGACCGATTATGTTGCAACCCTGTACTGCGAATTCCACGGCACTGAGGAGCCCCCTCAAGAGTACACCAAGAAGCGACAGGAGGTGCTGGCAGACCTGGAGAAGCACGAGCAGGCTACAGAGAAGATTGCCGACCTTCTGACGCAGGACGAGGTTGTCAACGGCCTTAGGAGCGACAAGGTTGCCAACTTGGAGTTCCTGAAGAAGGAGCACGGTGTATGCGCACACCCACTTCCTATGAATACCGTTTGGGAGATGATGGAAATGCTGATGAATTTTTAAAGGTTACCATGGAGATGGTCAACGCCCTGTTCGACTTCGGCCAGTTCCAGTTCCGATGCGGCCAGTACGGAAGCGCCGCCGACATGCTCTACCAGTTCCGTGTTCTGTCCACGGACAACGACAAGGTTTCCGCTGCCACCTGGGGCAAGCTTGGGTCCGAGATTCTGTCCGGGAACTGGGAGTCGGCCATTGACGAACTTAAGAACGTCCGTGAAGGGATCGACTCCAAGCTGTTCAACAACCCTCGCGCCCAGCTCGACCACCGCACCATGCTCATCCACTGGTCCCTCTTCCCCCTCTTCAACTTCGAAGGTGCCCGCGAGCCCATTCTCGAGATGTTCTTCTCCGCCCCCTACATCAACACCATCCAGACTTCTTGCCCGTGGATCCTCCGTTACCTGATCGCCGCTGTGATTACTGGTCGCAGCCGCGCCCGTAACTCCTCCACCCAGCAGAAGCAACTGAAGGACGTCGTGCGGTACGTCCGCCAGGAGGCCTACGAGTACCAGGACCCCATCACCCAGTTCGTCAACGCCCTCTACATCGCCCACGACTTCAACGCCGCCCGCGAGGCCCTCGGCAAGGCCGAGCAGGTCTGCCGTAGCGACTTCTTCCTCGCCAGTTCGGCTGATGCCTTCGTCGAAGCCGCCCGCCACCTCATCTGCGAGAGCTACTGCAAGATCTTCAGCCGGATGAACATCCGCGACCTGAGCGCCAAGCTCGGCCTCAACCCCGACGATGGCGAGAGGTGGATCGTCAACCTCATCCGCGAGACGAGGTTGGACGCCAAGATTGACAGCCAGGACGGCACCGTCGTCATGAACCACCCCCCCAACAACGTATATCAACAGGTCATCGAGAAGACTAAGGGTGGATTTTTCAGAACCCAGGTCCTCAACGCCGCTGTGTCAAAGTCATAGACGAAATATCGACTTACTAAGGCGCGGGTTGAACTTATATATGTGTGATGAACCGCTCACGGATAGACTGTTTGCAAAACACATGGGAAGGGGGAGATATACGAAACAAGGGAGTGAGGGGCCTTTTTCACCTTTTTATCTTTATGTTATCTTCCCACTCAGGGAAGATGGGGAAAAGAAAGCTTGCCACAAGCAACATATCTAGAGCACGGCGGCTTCGATTAGACGGGGCCAAAGAGAGATCCCGAATAAGCGACCCCTTCTGTATATCCCCCAGTGATGCGGTTTAGCATTGCAACGGCGTTTTTCGGGAACAAAAGAGATCTAGGGATGAGGGGAAAATGATCCGACGGGGGGGAATAATGCGCAGTTTCAAAATGTAGTTTGCGTTTCAACATCTTGGCTCATATGAATTAAATGACGTTAAAAAAACCATTACCTTGAATTGATGTTTCGTGAGATTGACTTGTAGTTGATACACCTCCGTGAATGATGTCAATAATATATTTCTTGTCTAGTTTATTCATGAATCGTTCATTACCAAAATGTCGTGCCCTTTATTTCCTCGTGGTAGTTCACGCCTCGTCCATGATCATCGTGTAGTCATCGGACCAACTTTCCTACTGTTCGTCCTCTCTACCAGCTAGCATCACCTTCCCCTTGAGTGTCTCAACAACGCTGTCCCTCATCCACCAGGACCCTTCCTCTTCCAGAGTCCGCTCCTCGTCGTGCGCGTCGGCCTTTTCTGTAGCTTGGCTGTCGTGCACGCTTGGGCCCTTGGACTGCAGCAGGCTCTCTCTTGTACCGCCCCATTCGAATAGCAACCGCGCGTTCTCGAGACGCTCTCGATCGACGCTGTCGAGAATGCCTCGCTCCATCTCGAGCTTGGCATCAACAGATAGGCCAGTCTCATGCCTCTCCTCTCCCGTCTCAAGGACGGAGGAGCGCTCCGCGTAACTAACTTCCTTCAGAGCCTCTAGACCAAAAACCCAGTCCAGCGGGTTGGGGTCCTTGTTGTCCTTGCCGAGGGCTCGGAGGGTTGAAGTGAACGCTGCATCCTGGAGCGGTCTACGCTTGAGGTAGATGCTCTGAGTCTTCTGGAACGCCTCTCTTACTTCCGAGTTGGAAAAGTCAAGTTCAACATCCCAGAACTGGTGGCCGGCATCGGTAGAGATGAGGGAGATCTGGTCGAGGGGAGGCAGCAGGCAGGGAGTCGTGCGGTAGAGGACGGGCTCTGCCGAAGATGCTGCGGTTTGCTGGCGTAGTTTGATCTGTATCGCAACGGACACGGGCTGACCGGTGAGTACATCCTTGACCACGAGGCAACGCTGTTCGGTGGCCAGAACCCAGAAGTGACGGAATGCCTGAAGATGGGAGCGGTTATCCATGACATCGTTAGGGAAAATTGGATAGAATGCAATGAGAAGGGAAGCAATGGCTAAATTGCTGGTGCCAAATGTAGCAGTTCCACAGCCCAAGAAGAGCGCCCCGATCGCCAAATGGGCAGCGAGATGAGAGCCATATGGTGTTTCTGGATCGTCGCGGCCATGTAGGGCACGCAAACGCCGGAGAACAGGAATGTCTCCAGTACCAGCCATGACTATTGCAGCAGAAATGGCAAGAATGTCCTGGCACATGCGGGCATTCGACCTCGCAAGCTCCTCATCGTACGGCGGGGTAGCATCTGGATGATCCGTCAGTGTCGGTGGGATCCTGGTGATACGCATGAACTGTTCCAGGTAGTGCAGCAACAGGTCCCTGACTCGATGGGAAGCACTGCCGGCGTATCTCAAAGCAATCGAGAAGCAGATGCCGGCTAGGATACTGAAGAATGGGAGATCGGTGGACCGCAGCTTTGTGGTCCCAGTGAGTTTGTACCGCGGACGATATGCAGTCGGCAAGTTCTTCTGGATCCAGGCAAAGGTGGGCTGTATCTTGGACCACAAAATAAGATGCTTTGCAACTGTGCGCAAAAGCAAGATATCCGGACGGACATAGTCAAACTGCAGGATGGAGTCGGGAACGTCAATCTTGCGTGCCACGATTTGATCCTCGGACTTCATGAAGATGAGAGCAATGGCCATGACGGCTCCCGCTGCAGCCCTGTCCAGAATATGGACCAGCTCTACCTTTTTTGTTGAGGTGGCGTATGTGAGAAGCTTTTCTGTTAGCTTCATATCATGGAGGCCCTTCAAGTCGTTTCCATTGCCCAGGTTGATGAGCCCGAGTGAAAAGCTTGCAGCCAAGCGGTAGCACTCGCTTCGCAATGGTTCTTCCTCGTCCTCCTCGTCAATATGCTCGATTTCAGAGAGCATGATTTCGCTCATCCGTCGGTGTTGACTGTTGCAGTACAGCAATCCGATGCCCATTATACCAGAAGTTTGTGTTAAAGGGGACAAGTTAAGCTCTGCAGCTCCTCTGGGCAGCATACGGGTAGCGTGAACGGAAAGGAGACGCGTGATGAGCGAGTCCATAGTGCCAATATACGATGCCGCAAGTCCAAGCAACAGGCCAATGGAGGTCATGGTATGCTTTGGAGTAAGGTATTTGAAAGCAACCCATTTGGCAATGCCCTTGAGATGGCCATTTAGCCCAAGTGCCAAGAGGAAACCAGCATGCCGATTGCTGAGTTCCTGTCCAGGCTTGTTGTACAGGATCCAGGACGAATCTATGCCCTTGGCCTGAGGTGAAATAGCCAGGCCTGCGGCCACACCTTGGTGGAAGAACCCCCAGCAAACCTTTTCTTCTGTGAATAAAGTCTTGTCAACACCAACCGTAACATTGGCTGGACGAACAATGCAGTTCAGATTGAATCCACCAATGTGAAATTTCTGGGTGATCAGCGGGAAACGGAGACTGTAATAAAGCAACCCACGGCCGGCTGGAATGGCCAGTGTGCCAGTTGCTATTCTGGAGGCTAGCTCCTTTTGCATCTCAAGATAGACGCTTTCTGACCAGTCAGGCTGGGGATCGAGACGGACGACCCTGGATTTGTGTGTTGATAAAAGATCTTGAACCTCATTTAGACGTCGATCTTCCTTGAAGAGGGCACGAATAACAGCCTGCCGTTCTGTGCCTTCACCTTCGTCAAAGCCAGCATTGCTCTCATCCACGCTCTGGCAGAGGAGCTTGACGTCCCAGCTTGCAACGTGAGTTGGAGTCTGGTTACTGTGTTAGTACATGAGCTTTGCAGCAGAAGATCAGTGTCACGCACCAAGATATTAGAAATCGCTGGGCGAGGCCGGCCCGTGGGTTCTAGAATTAAGCTGATATCTCCCCTTTTAACGAAATCAAGTAGATCTCGGGACCAGTATGATGGGGGCCGAGGTTGGCAAAGGGATATGGCGTCTTTGAACGGAACTAGAATGGCCTCTGGGAGCGTTTCCAGAAAGTGAGTTGTCATCCCACACTCATACATTGTTTCTACCATATCGACAGCTGTGGCATCCCGCTTTAGGAGCCTAAAGAATCGCTTGAAGATGAGGGTACGAGGTACAATTTCGTCCCACCGAGGATCAAATCTGTTTTTATGCTTGGGAAGATTCAGGCCAGTATAGAAGATATCCGCAGGTGTTGGGTAGGAAACATCCCCTTCCCTGGTTAAGCGAGATTGTATCCACAGAAAGATGTCAGGTCGAAGGGGTGGTTGAGGTATCGATGGGATGAGGTTGAGTTCTGAAGAAGAGTTAGAATTAAAGTCAGCAGCTCTGAATAGGATGATCGGATGACTTACCAGAGTTATGCCGTTGATCGATGTCTTCCTGAACACCAAGCTCATAGACCGACCAGAAATCAGCCCACTTGAGCCACCTTGCGATTTGACAAAGCAAAACACGGAGATCAACTCGACCAGGCGAAGCATATTCTGGCGTCATTATGTCGAGTTTCTGCTCCTCCAGTAAAAGATGAAGACCCATGAAGAGATCGACGGCCACCCTTCTCCTGCTCTCTACACCTCGATTTAAGGCCGTTGGCAAGTACCCATCATTACCCAAGGCTGCATCAGCAACCTTTGAATTCATGAATTCCTTTGCCAGTGCGATATGCTTCGAAGTGAATTTGGGGTTCGATCGAGAGTTGTTCTGAGACGAAAGCGGATCTTCGAGATCTTCGTCAAGAGCAACCTCCCACCCCTTGTTCATCATCCACACAGGGTATCCTAACGAATGAACAGTCTCCCCCACCTCTAAAGCTTTCCAATCTTCAGAATCTTTGATAGAGCCAAAAGACCCGGAGGCAGGCCTTTTTTTTCGTACAGGCAGTCGTGTTGTTTGGAATATTTGCGTCTCCACACGCCCTAAGTTGAGAAACATTGAGAGAATGAGTATCACCAAGCCAGACCACTCTGATGAGGCAGCTGGATCTCCACGAGAACGTAGCCACTGCATGACATGCATCCATCCCGCATGAATACGCACTCCAAGGCTATCGGGAAGGATCCCACTGCAAGAGTTCAAGACCTTGCAAACTTGGGGGCAAGAAGGCTGAATTTGAATCTGGAGTTGATGGAGCCTGCCGTCGGTATCAACAACATCTACAATACCTCGGCCACGGGGATGGATAAGGCCAACGATGCTACCATTACTAAAGTCGATGACCTCGGATTTCCTCTGCCTCACATCTCGGTCAATGCTCCTCCCTTGATACTGTAGACTCCTCGTGTCTTCAGTGAAAAGAAGAGACACAGAAACCTTGGTCAACTCGCTCCAAGGGGCTTGAGTACTTAATTCATGCCGGCCATCCATTGATTCAGAAAGAACAAGAACCACTGCATGATCACCGTCGACAAGCTTGCACGAATCAACAACATTTTGGACTTTGATCTGCTCCACCGCGCTTATAGAAATCAACTCGGAATCTGACGAGTCTTCGTCATTGCCTCTTTTCGATGCGGTTATAGTTCCTTCTGATTTCTGGGTGCAGGTTAAATATAGCCTAATAAAGTTGAGGCGCTTCTCTACTAGATCTTGGATACCGATGAGAAGCTGGTGTCGAGAAGGCTCATTGCAAGCGAACGGTGGAGACATCAACATGAAGACTCGGCACTGGTTTCGTGAAGCATTGTCGCGTACTGAATAGCGCAGGTTTGACTGATCGAGCGACATGCTGTGAATTTTGGTAAATTGTACTTCTTTTTGTAACCCTTCAAAGTCTTGGTCATCCAACCCCATGTTATTAAAACCTTCATCAAGTCCCATATCAAAAGGGGCTTCAAGGAGGCTCCCAAGGCTGGGATGGATCTGTTGATTGAAGTGAGAACTCAAGCGACCGTACTGGCTTCCATTTGAATCATGCCTTTTCGAGGTACTGTGTCCGGGGATGTGAGGCTGTTCAGTGAAGACTGGCCTCTCATGTGATGCAGATAGATCGGCTCGAGCAAGCATAGAACTAACACGCCGCGAGCTACGTCTTTTGGCACCAGCATCCTCATTATCCTGCTGCTCTAAAGAAGTGACCAAGTCGAGAGGCTTCTCAATCTTTTCGCTTTTTCTATGCCTTTTCCCTGGCAGCGGGGCACCAAAGCTCTCGCGGATATTTGGGTGAACCGGGGTATCTCGTCCGTTCGTCAGCGGCTGCATGGAACTACGTCGCCGAGATCCTTTTTGTTTCGTTGTCTTCTTCCGCTTGATGAAGGGGTCTTCTTGTTCGAGATAGCTCAGTCGCCACACGGTGTAAGTTCCCGCCTCCCGTTGGACAGTCACAGCCAGCGTCATTGGCTCGTTACCGACAGTGACTTGCTCCACATGCATCAGCTCCTCGGAAGAATGAAGAAAGTTTGGCCGCTTTGAATTCTCCCTTTTGGGATCTCGAGTATTCGTGCCATCTGGGCCGTCAGTGACCACCAATCCAATGTCTTGAAGGGGGTCAGTGAGAGAGACGAGTCGAGGCCAAGAGGACTCAGGCTGCTCTAATCGTGCATCCCACATGTTCCCAATCGTGGATCCAAGCCCAAGATTGAGTGCTTTGGGCTTTCCCAGAGTCTCCACAGAGAAAGTAGAGTGTTGCGAGAGATTGGAGATGGTTGGTTGTGACGAGAGAAACGAATTCGGCGGGACTCGAGGGAACTTGAGAGAAACGGGAGCAAGACCTTCGGCCTTTTGCTTGCGTTGAATGATGATGCCTATAGGACCTGCGCAGGCAGACTCAACCTCGAAAGGCATGTGGATTGTGTGACTGGTGCCAGAGAGGAAGTAGATGTGAGCATTGGTCTTGAAGAAGACGACCAAAGCCTTGGCCCGGCCGGAACGGGGCCGCGGCTCGCCCTTGGCACCCTTTTTATCATGGATATCATCGGAAGAGGCGGGGAAATAGGCGAAAAGGGCTTGCGTGATGAGTTCCTTCTCGACATCGAACTTGAATGTTTTTCGGACCAGGCCACCTCGGGACCAGATAACGCAGGTGGAAGTTACGAAAAGTTCATCCTCCACTCGCTTGCCCATGGAATCGTCGACGTTAACGGTCCATTTGTATGAGTCGGCCGGGGGGTTCTCAGGGAGAATCTGTTCATCGATCGCGTGCCGCAGTCCGGATGGGTGATGCAGACCCAGGGACTTGACCGACGCCATGTTGGAGGGTCTCCATAAGCCCCCCAAGGCTCACTGCGATCGGGCAGAAGATCGAAAGCTCGACTGGAGTGTCGCTCGGTCGTGGCTAGGGCATTGGGACAGCTGGTGTAATACGCGGTGGGACGCGCCTCGATTTGGCCTCGGGGAATAATATGGACTTGAAGCTGTTGGAAATGCAGCCAGGCGATAGTGGGGTTAGTGCCTGCTGCAGCGAGTGAGTGGCAGCTGGACCAGGGCCTGGATTGGCCTGGATTAGCGGCGGTGGGACCTGAGTTAGGCGCGACAAGCTCGGCCGCGCGCTAAGCCAAAGCCAATAGCTCCGCGACTCGTGACGTAGGTGCAGGGTATCTTTAATTAAGTCAGTGCTACCTAACGACTGCCGGATCGCAGCATTGCTACCTACCTTCCAAGCTTCAGGCTCCAGAGTCCTCATTCAATTTCTCCCTCAACTACGCTCCCGACCCCTCTCTCGTCGCCTGCTCCTCATCCGAGCTGCAATAGTGCCGGTGCTTCTCCATTGCCCCGAGGATGACAAGTCGTGGCCGACTGTCGCGATGACAGACCAGCTCCCCCCTTCGGGCGACAAGCCGGACCGCTCCGCCGCCTCTCCAGACCAAGCTACCGATGCGTCGCAACAGGCGCCCAAAGACCATTCTACTCCGGAAAACAGTGCCCAAGCTACAGATAATGCCAAGGGCGGCAGTGAAGCAGCCCCAAAGGACGGTTCGAAGACCAACATAGTAAACGAGCAGGAGGCGCAACAGACGGGTCAAGAAACACAGGAAAATGAGGAGCAAGACGATGACGACGATGAAGACGAAGAGGATGGTGAAGAGGAGGACGAAGAGGAGGAGGATGACGAGGAGGATGACGAGGACAGCGACGAGGATGAGGAGCCAGAGTTGAAGTATACGCCACTGACTCAACACCTCGCGGGCGTGTATAGAAATGGGGATGCGACGAGCGCATTTCTTGTTGCTGGAGACAAAATGGTCTGGAGCCCACCGATTGTTTTGTGTCGTTCTCACAAGCTGACTGTTCTCTAGATTGTTGGTACGCACAACGGCAACATTGTAAGCACGTATCACTATCAACTTCTCTGTTCCGGTTGTTAACATTCCTCCCAGCACGTCTACCAGCTTCCCACCTTCCAATCTCTGCGGGTATACCATGCCCACTCTGCCTCAGTGACGAGTATCTCGATCTCTCCCTATCCTTCACCCCTGGCGCCTTACAACCCTGAGCTCCCTCAAAAGCTGGCCGCCCAGCAGCAGCAAGCCAGACCAAGTTCGCGCCAATCAGATGCATCTGCCGCTGCCACATCCAGGAAGCCGCGCGAGCCTCAACCAATCCCAAAGATACCATCCAACGAGATATACATTGCCACTTCATCTATGGATGGAAATGTGTGCGTACAGTCGTTGATGGACATGAGGGACGTTCAGCTACGTAACTTTGCCCGTCCAGTGCAGGCCGTTGCCCTGTCACCCGAATACAAGTCCGATCGCACTTATGTGTCTGGAGGTCTAGCTGGCGAGCTCATAGTCACAGTAGGTGGGGGCTTGGGCAAGAGCACATCCACAACCACGGGAACAGCCGCGGCGACAGCTGCTGGGTGGCTAGGTAGCATGGGTCTTGGTCCCAACACTGGCAAGGATACGATCCAGCACTCAGGAGAAGGTACCATAAGCACCATCAAGTGGTCCCTGTCCGGAAAATACATCGTCTGGCTTAATGAGCATGGCATCAAGCTGATGCGGTCGAACCTCCACCTTGAGAATCCACAATCCAACCATGCATGGAAGCGGTTTGGTCACTATGACCGACCACAGACTGACGAGTGGGAGACGATGGCCAGTGTTTGGAAGGGCCGTGTGGAATGGATCGATGAGCAAGCCTTTGAGACTCGAGAAACAGAAGCTGAGCTGAATGCACCCCCTGTGTCCTCCCCGGCAGCCGACAGACTGAGGAGCCAGGCGACTCAGAATAAGAAGAATGTGGAAAGGCTTTTGGTTGGTTGGGGGGGAACAATCTGGATAGTGAACATCCACCCAATTGCAGCCAATGCAGGCAGAAATACGAAGGAAAAGCATCCTGCAAGACCCGAAATCGTCAAGATGTAAGTCACTACTTCTTTTCGTATGGACTTGGACTAACGAGACCCCAGTCTTCGCCTGGATTGTATCATCTCCGGTATTACCTTGTATACGCAGAGTATTCTGGCGGTACTTGCATACTCGCATGACGAAGATGACGACGAGGATGAGGACGAGTCGGTTGCATCAGTACCCGGCAGCCCGGCAAGAGGGCACAAACAGCAATTGTCTACGACATCCATGGGAAGCCAACCATCAGGAGGCATACGTCGGCGCGCCAACCACCAACGCCCAGAATTACGGCTCATAGATCTCAACTCCCAGGAAGAGGTTGACCGAGACGGCTTGACCATCAGTCGATATGAAAGACTTGCTGCAGGCGATTACCACCTCGGCGTTCTACCTCCTCGAAATGCAGCGGCAGTGGTGTCATCCAGAGGTGCTCTAGAGGCCATAGCTGGCATTGGAACCGACGTTTGGAATGCCGCAATCAACCCCAGGTCTTTGTTCAGCTCTGGGGCAAGTGTGAGAAGCCACGAGAGTGGCGATGATGCAGGCTCTAGTAGCAGGGTAGGAGGCAGCATCAGAGGTCCCGCCCGGACTGGTCAATTTAAGCAGCTCGGTGTGCACCCGAAGTTGATGAAACCTGGGTCTAAAATCTTCATCCACAGCCCTTATGACTGCATCCTAGCGACAAAGCGTGACATGGGAGATCATTTACTGTGGCTTATCGAACGCCAGCAGTATCAGCAAGCCTGGGAACTTCTCGACGAGAACCCAGATATCTTAGCGGACACGCCAGACAAGTTTACCGATACCCCACAAACACCTTCGAAAGCGCAGGACAGCATTGAGGAATCCAACGACGACGATTCTGTGGCCGACTCAAGCTATAGGCAATCCCTATCAAGTACTGAAAAGGAAAAGATTAGAGTTGGTGAGCTTTGGCTGCAACAGCTTGTTGATGAAGGAAAATGGCTTGAGGCAGGAAAGCTTTGCAACAAAGTTTTGAAGACACCAAAGCAATGGGAGTCATGGTTTTGGACCTTTGCAGGAGCGAAGCGATTTGATGAGATTACCAATTTCATCCCTTCGGATCCTCTCACGCCCCCTCTTCCAAAAACAATGTACGAAGTCATCCTTGGGCATTATTTGCAGACGGACAAGCTTCGTTTCAAAGAGCTGTTGGACCACTGGTCCACCGATCTCTTTGATGTCAATACCATCGCTACCACTCTCGAAAATCAGCTGAAGTTCCGCGATGTGCGCGAGGACAGCATTGAGGACGGGGAGAAAGGACGTGATTGGCGAATAGTCATTGAAAGCCTGGCCCATCTTCACGAGGCTAATGGCCGCCTTCGGGAAGCGTTAAAGTGTTATATCAAGCTTCAAGATGCTGATTCAACGTTCCGATTGATTAAGGATAGCCATCTTGCGGACGCTGTCGCTGATGATATTCCTGGCTTCATTGGACTGCGAGTCTCATCGGAACAGCTCCCCACAATGTCCGAGAAGGACTTGGAGGATGCAACGGGGGAGGCTATTACCGTGCTAGTAGAGGAGGCACAGCATGGGTTGGTGAAGCCCCATGTTGTGATAGAGCAGCTACTTGCCCAGGAGCTGCATCTATATCTTTTCTTTTATCTGCGGGGCTTGTACCGGGGCGAAGGGCTACGAGAGCATAGCGGAGACCACGTCGATCGACTTGTCATGGATAGTCAGTCTTTGGTCGATGATTTCGCTGATCTGGCTGTCCACTTGTTCGCGACATATGACAGGAGCCTGCTGATGGAATTCATCAAGACTTCGACCTCTTACTCTTTGGAAAAGGTGTGTGCTAATCGAAGAACTTCAAAGGTTTGTGTAACATCTACTAACGTCAATCTTTTTAGGCTGTCGAAGAATGCGAGTTATTCTCCTACTATGACGAGTTGGTCTACCTCTACTCCAAGACTGGAGAGATGAAGAGAGCGCTCTACCTCATCATCGACCGGCTCAAAAATGTCCACAAGGCCATCGAATTTGCCAAGGAACAGGACGACGCAGACCTATGGGACGACTTGCTTAACTATAGCATGGACAAGCCGAGTTTCATCCGCGGGTTGCTTGAGCAAGCAGGGACGGCCATCGATCCGATTCGGCTTGTGCGACGGATACCCGAAGGGCTTGAGATCCAGGGCCTGCGCGAGGGCCTGACACACTTGATGAAGGAGCATGAAATACAGTACAGCATAAGCTCGGGTGTGGCGAGGGTGCTACGTAGTGAGGTTGCAGCCGCCCAGTCGGCTCTTCGGGCAGGGCAGCGGAAGGGGCTCAAATTTGAGGTGGACGTCCAGTTGAGTGACCACATCGATATCGAAACAAAGGACCCCGGCGCCACCGAGAAGAAGAAGGATGGTTTGGCAGAAGACGATGCCCTGCCCGAACATCACCACGAGAAACCCAAGCCTGGGCACTGCGCCCAGTGCCTCGAGCCGTTTGCGGAATACGAGATGGAGATGTTGCTCGGTTATTCTTGCGGCCACGTCTTCCACGTGAGCCATCTTTTGGATATACTGCACAAGGGACGCAGAGTAGATGTAGATCTTGGTCCGGATGCGGACCAGAGCGAGCGGTACAGCGTTGGCAGAAAGGTCATGAGGGCGAGGCTACTGCGGGACAAGGTGAGAGGCGGCTGCCCTCTTTGCCATCCGCGCGAAGCTTAGCTGATCTCTTGAAGCATAACAAATTATAAACTTGGGCGCCCTGGGAGTCTTGGCTGATTGGGTTTTGTCGACAATTTGAGAGCATACTAGGAGCATACCGACTTGTAGTGGTTTAGCACATACCATAGATACCGCCGTTGCATTTTTTTCTTCTTCTCTTTCTTTCTGGGATATATAAAACCTTTGTGTTGGGTCCAATGTCATATACTCATATATCTTGATGTGTTCAGTTCAATGTCAGATGCCTCGAGAAACTGCCGCGTCCAATATCATGAGTCACGAGGAACGCGCGCCATCGTCAATGTGTTTTGGGTCAAATATCACACGTCGCGAGAAACGCGCGACGCAGTCAATGAGTCATTCACGAGGCAATAAACGAAATTGAGAAAACTGGTGGTCCTGAAATTTCTGGGTGTGTGTGTGCTAAAAGCTAAGTACAACACTTTTCCCTCATATCCTCAAGCATCTCTCCTATTAGGATCCATACGTCTCAATTGACCATTTCAAACCGAAGATTTCGAGCATAGCGAACGAAAAAAAAACACACAAAGATGATTTCTTCCCCAAACCGAATGATTTCCTCTCAAGTTCTTCCAAGCAAGCCAGGTGTGATTGTCCGCATCGACAACTACTCTTTCCAAGTTGGAAATGTTTTTCCTCCTGTCCAAAGTATCCACGTCTCAAGGACAAATCAAAGATGATTTATGCTCGGTTCTTGAGGGGGCAACGGAGGCTAGACGAGGAAAACGGCAGCCACGACGGCTGCTCCGATGGGAGCGGCCTGGCAGATGCCATGAAAGGCGCCACCCGCGGTGGGAGTGCCAGTCTCGGCGGTGGCAGTGGAAGTGCCACTACCGGTGACATAGCTGCCCGTCTCAGAGCCGGTGTAGACTGGGTAGGTTGAGACTGAGGCAGCGGTGGTAGAGGGGGTGGACTCGCTACCAGTGGCGACGGATGACTCGACAACGTTGGAAGTGGGAACAGGGTAGTTCTCTGTGGAAGAGAGAACGACAGAGGAGGTAGATGTCTCAGTAGAGACGGGGGGGCCGTAGGAGATCGAGATGTCGCATGCAGTGGTATAGAACATCGTGCACTGGTTGACAGAGTAGACCGTGTGACCTGCGATGGAGAAAGGCATTAGAAAGGGTCATGAAAGGATGGGAGAAGGTTGGGAGAGAAGACTTACCGTCGGAAATAGCAGTTCCAACCACCTGGGGTTCATTGGTCTCAGTGCGAACCTCCTGGGCTGGAAGATGTTTTTGTTAGAGATAAACAAAGGCGAGAGCATTTGGGATTGGAGTTTTCCTACCGAGAGGCCCAACGGCAGTAATGCCAGGGGCGACAGAGCCCATAAGGGCGAGGAAGACGGTGATGACCTTGGAATACATCATGGTGATGGTTTTTGACTTGAGTAGTAGGAGGGTTAGTTTGTTGTCGCTACTAAGATCCAAGGGAGGAGGATCTCTCAGGTTGACAAGTTGGGCAAAGGCCCTGCAGACGCTTGCTGCTGTCGTGGTCGAAGGAGGGGGACTCTCTCAGTTGGTGAAGTTGGGCAAAGCCTCGCAGACATTTGCTGCTGCTGCTCACTTGTCGAGCAAGCTAGGGACGAGAAGGTGAAGAGGCGAAGCACAAGCCAGCATGGGCGGTGCGAGTTGAGAGAGATATTTGTGGAGGAAGGGAGAAGGTGAAGAGGTGAAGCACAAGCCAGCATGGGCCTTGTGAGTAGCAAGATGTTGATGGAGGAGGGGGGAAGGGGAAGAGGGAAGAGATGAAGCGCAAGCCGCCATGGGCGTTGTGAGTAGAGAAAGATGTCGATGGAAGAGGAGAGAAGGGGAAGGTGGTGGCAGAAGAAGAATCTGCATCGCCATGTTGTGACGATTGTGACGAAGATTGCACGACCAAGAAGGAGATGCTTGAGGAGGAGGAGAAGAAGGCAAAGCGGAAGGCTTGACTTTACTTTTGTTGCGAATATGAAGATGCACTTGCGATATGTTGCAGAAAGGTAATAAAAGAAGGATGTTTTAGCTTTGTTGTGCCAAAAGCGATGTTGGAAAGTAACGATTGTTGGAGGTGGGTGAGGAGGGAAGAGGGAAAAAGAGAGAGAAGAAGCGGGAGGAACGAGGGCAAGAAATAGGTTCTGGCGAGGGGCGCGGGATCAGTAGGTGGTGAGGAAACAATCAGTGGCAGAAAAACAACAACATCAAGGTGCTGCCTGGTTTTAATTTCTGGCCAATGAGAAAATTGGAATCCGGTCAGTGGAAAAGGCATTGGCTTGACGGCCGTTGACGGTCAGTCGATTGTGAGCAGCAGGTGACGAGCTCATATGTGAAGCTGGGTGGTGACGCTTCCAAAGTCGCTGCTGTCCCATCACGAGGGGGGAGCGGAGGATGAGCAGGGCACAACGCAAGCCCCCCGATGCTGGCCGACTTGAAAATTGGTCCTCTAATTTCCCTACACCTCAAGGAACAAGCAGATATGTTCAATAGTCTGAGGCGGCATTGTTACGTGCAGGATCACGGTGTCTCTGATGCAGAGAGTGGACAACATAATACCTGATATCGGGTCCTGAAGATGCGCCGCGAGTCCCTGCAATGTCACTCGGGCACAGATCTGAACTGCATCTGAGCTGCCAACCACCAAGGAGGTACTTAGGTCTACTTAGTGCACATTGTCACTCTGCCAACAACCAGGCAGAGCAACAAGAGACCCGGAGGACACTCGGTGATATCTTTGGAGGTAAGTCATGTTGTCGGCAAACAAAGGGCCAGACTTCCAAATCGGATGACAGAGGGCCCTTTCATCGCATTTCCACTCCCATAGAGCAATGTACGTAGAATCTCCGTAGCGAAGTGTTCAACACCCTTGATACACACACACACCAAGACCCAGCGCCTGCATTGAGGCGCAGATCCTCCACCATGGCGTTGGATAAAACAGCCAGCATAACGTTGGTGGCTTCTCCCAGAAACCGTCATGTCCGCCATTGTTACCAGCCCGGAGGACCTTCCTTCACTGCCCGCCGGGCGAGTGAGTGGGAGAGTGTGCTCAGGGTGACAAGCAGAAGCACAAGTGCGTGTCAATGAAAACACAGCCTGACCCATGTGCCACCTCGCGCACCGGCAATCGCATAATATCACTGGAACATGCGCTTCTCCAACAGCCAATATGCGGCAGCTCCAGAGTAGCGCAGAAACCGGTGGCGGCGCCTTCTAGTATCCGTCACCCAAGCCAAGGCGGCAGACACCTACCCATTTTTGCCAGCCTTTTCCAGATGCCATATGTTCACTCAAGTCCCGCAGGTGTTGTTTTGACCAGACAATACACGCATCTTGGGCGCCCAGGAATCCGACTAGCCGGGCCATCAGGTGAGCATCCCAAGTGTTTTAGACCATGTCACACTCAAGCTAACTGGGAGTCGAGTTAACATATGTTTGCAGCGCTATCCTGTACGACCAAGACCAGAATTTAACTTGTACCACGTCCAAACCCATCGAACTTGCTTGTCTGCCCCATGCAGGATGGAGAAGGTGGATGCTGTCAAACGCTTTCGGTATTTCTCGACTGGGAGGGAGTTAAGGCTGGCCTGAAACATAACCAGTCTGGTACGCGAGGCATGCAATGCGAGGATGCGATGCAAGGCAATACAGCAAAATCATGGATCAGAGTGGGAGCACCTTGCGAGGTGAAACTTCCCGGAACACATACTCACTCCGCCTCTCTCTACGAAGACAATAAATGCTGTATTTTCTAATTTTACTTGGGAAAGCAGGGTTACTCCTTCCTGATGACGATCGCCTGTAGCAAGTTTCGTCGCGAGACATTCAAGATACCTCACCTACCCTAGAATACCTTCAGAAGTGACTTCTACTGCTGCCAGAATGAACCTTTTGTTATCGCAGCTACAGACATCTTCCGTAAGGATGAATAACCAGGTCATATTAGTGCCCACAAGTAGTTTCTTTCAAGGGTGAATCCGAGTTATAACTGACGAAAAAGGACCTCATCAAACCATCTACGATAACAGTGGGAAACGTAAAAATGCTTCGAGACCATATGGAATTTTGAAGTAGGCTAGATCTAACTGCGTACATCGGCCAATACATGGTCCGCAGACATCTCATTACACTCTAAAACATCTTTTCTTTTGGTATTTATGGCAGCAGTCGCTTGGGGGTTCGTGGGTAGAACGCCGCGAGATGGACACTAGGTAATGCCAGGAACCAAGCAACCACTCGGTCGAGTCCAATACCACCTCCACCATGCGGTGGCACACCAACCTGGCGGAACGTCGTGAGGTACTCCTTGATACCTTCGCTATTTGGGTCAACACCCTTGGCGCGGATGCGCTCCTCAAGCTCTTTGGGGTCGTTGATACGTTGGCCACCAGACAGAACCTCCTGGCCACGGAGGAAGAAGTCGAACGCATTCGTGACACGGACATTATCGCCAACCGTGGTACCGGCGTCATCGACCTTTGCATAGAAAGGTCGTGCAGTCTCGGGGAACTTGTCGAGCACGTAGAAGTCGGTGTTGTATTTGGCACGGACGACTGCGCCGAGAGCCTTCTCCTGTGCAGTTGACATATCCTCGTCATCGCGAACGTTGCGGAACTCCTCAGGACCTTCCTCTCGCAATAGCTTCTGAGCCTCGGCGAAGTTTAGGCGGACTTCCTTGCCCGGCTCGGGGAGGAGGAAATCTTCCGAGGGGTAGACGGATCGAACAACCTGGATTTCGTCGGCACATCGCTCTATTTTCATCCATTAGTGTTCTCCCTCACCAGGCGGATTACGGTAAAATTGTTCAAATGAAGGAAGATAAAAACATACCACGAAGTCCGCGAAGAATGTGCAACAGAACACCTTCAAGCACTGAGATAACTTCAGTGTAGCTGTGCTTGATCTCCATCTCCAGATCGAGACCAGTGAACTAGCCAGAGTGAGTCACAGCCCAAAGAAGGGAAGCGTATTAGGGAAACTAACCTCAGTCATATGTCTAGGGGTGTTGGAGTTCTCAGCTCTGAACACAGGCCCAATGCTGAAGACACGCTCTCTTCCACCAGCAATCTCGAACTGCTTGTAGAATTGAGGAGACTGGGCGAGGAAAGCCTCCTGGCCAAAGTATGCTAGTCTGAAGACATTGGCACCACCCTCCGATGCTGCACCAATCAGGCATGGTGGCTCGAATTCCTTGAACCGGCGCTCCTCGAGGTAAGAGCGGAAGAGCCTCTTCACCTCAATACGGATATCCTGCGTCTGGTTAGTCAACTGTCGAGAAATTTGGCTGCAGGAAAAGAGCCAATGATTAGGTATGATTGTAACATACAGCAATAGCCTGTTGGACTGGAGCGCGCTTGTGCATAGCGATGTTGTCAAGGTGGGTGAGCATGCTTGCGGCAGGAATGCCACCCTCAGCCTCGGGCTCCTTCTTAACCTCCTCCTCGGCCTTGGGCTCTTCGTCGCTGAAGTTGGCAACTGGTTGGCTGGAGGCAGCCATGGTCATTCCGAGGACAGGGGGAGCAGCCGCAAGTACAAAGGCCTTCGTGATATGAAGCTCCAATGTGGAAATTCGGCAGCTCTTGACCGGCTCAAGGGGTCGCTTTACTTGAGCCTCGACAGCAATGAAACTCTCGGGGTTGATGGCGGTGATGAACTTGACCATACGTCTGCTGATCACGGGCGTTCCCTCGGCTGGCAACTGAGACTCGGCACCAGTGCCTGTGATGGTGGCCAGAACAAGACCCTGGATGGTCCAGTTACCCCCCTTGCGAAGCTCGACGAATCCCATCTTGGCGCTCTGTGTACGGCTGTTCTGAAGCCATGCTCGAATGACGACCTTCTTTCCATCGTATGACTCGTCCAAATCGCGGAGTTCGACCTCCTCGGCGTCGGCGCTGAAGGTCGGGTTCGTCACAGTTCCGTAGTTGTCCTTGGCGGGGTCATCTTCGAGCTCGATGTTGGAGACCTGCGTAGCGACACGCTCTGCTGCACGCTGCGCTTTGAGGGCCTCCTTCTTGGCCTTGGCCTCGGCCTTCTTGAGAGCCTTCTTGGAAGGGCCAGCAGCGTTGTCTTCCTCCATTTTGTTGGTGACTGTTGTTGTGAGAACTGAAAGTGGGCGACACGAGCTTGACTCACACTCAATTCTTGGAGGGGCAGTTATGGAGGGGCAGTGGGCAGATTTGTTTGGCAACTATGTGGGGGCCGTTCCTACCCAGTTGACGTAGGATCACGTGAGCCATAATCACGTGAAGAGTCCGGGAGGGAGACTTGATGGTCAATTGGACACTACATGAGCAGTAGTGTTGTAGGAATTGTGCAGAAGATGTCTAGATCACTATATGGGGAATCGTAGAGAAAATGAAGAGAAAAAAGATGTGGTTCAGGGGGGCTCCTAAAGTGGCGTGCAAGTTTCGAGTTCCAGCCAGCCAGCCACTGTCTGGCTCCCGAGTCTCCGGCTACCGTATCCGGCCGTTAATAGCACTCGGCCGGTAAAACTGGGCCCTCGAACATGATCTCAGAGGCTGGAAAGTACTGCCTAAACCTTTAATCCTTACTCCTTTTTAAAAATCTCACGCTTTTGGAAGCGATCAGTAGTAGTTGATCAAATCTTGACACGAATTGACCATAAAATATTGCAAACTATTCTCTGTGGCGATATGACGATCACCGAAGTTGGCTGCATGGGCGTTAAGCCAGGGCTGCGCATTACAGATCCCAACACTCCCGAAGGCGTTGTCCTTCCTGGCGTTTGGAAAACCGTCTTGTCCCAGCCGGGAGGTCCGCAAAACGTCCTCTGGGGTCTTGAGAAGGAAGATCCGTCAAAGGTCTGGGCTTTCTTCGACTGGGATTCGGTCCAGCAGCATGAGGACTTTGCAAAGAAGTAAGCTAGAATATGCAACAAGCAAGTTCCCGTTTATTGTTGCTGATCATCTGCATAGATACGGTGCGGAAGCCGTGAAGGATATCCCGAAGGTGTGCACTCATGGCGAGTTTACCAAGCACGTTGCTTTAACGCCGTCAAGTCAAGCACTCAGGTCGCCTTCAACGCGCATCATTATTGGCTACTTCCCCTCAGATATCTCAGTTGGCGACAAAGACGCTATAATTCAGCAGGTACAGCGTGTACTCATGGAGCGAAATGACGATTCTTCCGACTCTGTTCGTTGCAGTTATGGATGGGGTTTAGAGACCGACTATCCCGTACGCGGCGCCAATAATGGAACGGCTGGATCAGTTTTCATGGTTTTGATTGGTGAAAAGATTGAAGGCGAGCATCAGATTGTTGCTAGTCGGCTGGCTCATGCAATCAGGGACATGGAGAACTCAATCGGCTTGCATGAATTCACATTACAGACTCTGCAGCAGGAAAGAGAGTAAAAGTTTCTGAATATTGTGGTCTTGCTTGCCAAGTAGTTTTCAAACTTGTGAACGGACTGCGATCCCGAAAGCCTTGGAATGAACCTGTCCGGGTGCGCCAGGCTGCGGGAGGATTGGTGTTGAAGGATAGAAAGTCAATACTCGCTCGCACATGTCAATTTCTGGGCAAAATTTCAGGCGATCATCGCACATCTTTATTGTCTAACGAACTGAAGTTTCTCGTTATTGATCAAGGAAATGCTGCCCTAAGATTCTTTTCTTCGATTGTTTGGATTTTCTCACCATGCACCTAGAAGCGATGAAAACACACGTGAGCATTTGCGGCCGCCGTTTATTACATGTGCTAAGACTCACCTTTTCTTGGGGTAGCAGCCTTATCCGATAAGTGGAGACAGCTGTTTGCATTCGTGTAAACATAGAACAAGTCAACATATTCCAGCCAATACAGCCATAATCCCACCATATACTCCCGCACAGATCACACAATCCCTGACAACAGTTTGGTCGGATCCACGCAGCAACCCTGACGACATCACCACTGCCGATACGCCCCCAATGGCGACAAAGACGATCAACATGCGGCCCAAGAAGCTGGGAATGACAAAGAAGGTGAGAATAGGGGCAAGAATAGCTGCAATGCTAACATAGGCAGCATTGAGGAGGGTGCGAGGGCGATGGGAACCCGCCTTTCTGGGCTTCATGGGGTCGTTCCCTTGTTTGCTTCTCGTTGTGTGGGTAGTGATATCAGACTGTATCGGCGAGGGCGGCATACCCGATATTTCCTTCATCGGAGGAGGTCCAGGCTCGTCTGCCGCGAAGAACGGGAGACACACGAGATCGCTCTCGTGACGGATAAACCTAGCCTCGCTCTCAACAATTGGGCCACCGTCTCGGAAGAGGAAGTCACTATAGCCGTCGATTTCTTCGTTCGTCGGTCGGGGGTATTGCTGCATTTCATGGAAGGCGGCAAGTGTTTGACCTATGAACGGATGTTAACCGTTGTGAGAACAATGTGACGTCAATCGAGAAGCCAAACTCACGGTACTGCTCTAATTTAAAGCTAACATTTTTCATCAGCTCATCCCTGGCAATCCCGCGCTTGCCTTCCTCTCTTCGAGAAGCAGGACGTATATGATCATGCTGTGTTCTATCAGAGGCATCGTCATAATCCAGTCTCCCCAATTCCTCTTCGAGTACGGCGAGTTCGTCTTGGATATGAAGGAGAAGGCGGTGGTTTAACGAGGCATAACGTCGATATATTGGGTATATCCGAATGTGCCCCATTTCTCCAGCCATGTTCATGGCGATCTGCTGGTATCCCGAAATAGGAGGATCTCTGCGAAATTCTTGAGGCTCCCGATGTGGCACTTGAGCCGGCATCATGGGCCCATTGGGACCTGGACCAGGGCCTACAAGCTGCATGTGGTTGTTCGCCCCAGGAGGTGAAGACCATCCACCTGTAAATGCGTCGGGGTTGTTTTGGTCAGGCGGTATTGGCTTTATCATTTGAGGGTAAGGAGAAGGCCCTGGCATCGACTGATCAGGACTCCAGCTGCGGTGTGATTCGCTTTGTCTACGGTCTTGAGAGAAGACATCGCTTTGGAGGCTACTTGGGACTGAGGAGTAGCTATGGCCCGCTGGAGAAGATGGCGCAATAAAGGAGGATTTCCGCTGTCTGTGGCCTCTTATCCGTCGTGTTCCTTCGACTGGAGAGTCAGGCTGGTGATTGATATTCTCAGGCTGGTGATTGAAATGCTCAGGCTGGTGATTAAAATGCTCAGGCATGGGTTGCTCGCCATTGCCAGGGGTAAGGGTAATGAATGCAGTAGGAGAAGGTGGAGAGTCTGAAGAGGATCTGGTGTTGTTCTCTTGGGGATTTGAGAACGGCGGCATGAAGTTATTCGAATACGCTCTTTGGCGGTCGGGCGGATAGTACGGGCCAGGCGGCCGAGGACTTCGGCCATGGCCCTGTGTGTTCAGATGCCCTTTGGGAGCAAACCGACGAGGTCTGTGGTTGGCGTTGGCTCCCTCCTCTTCATCTGAGCAGTCTTCGATAGTGGGAGTATGGTGTAGGTCGGAAGAGGCAGATGCTGGAATGTGTTGAGGTGCATCATGGATAGGGGATAACTGTGCTCCATTATTGTCGCCTGTTTCGGAGTATTGCGAGCCACGCCGAATCGTGATGAACGGTTCAGCCATGGTGAGCCTGTTGTTCGGGCACAACTTAATTTCAAGGGTTCGATATTCGGTTCAAGTAGAGGGTGAGTCGTGGGCGAAAGGCAGACGGGATATCAGGAAACGAAGAACTGATCATATGACGATGAGGTGCACGTGTAATTGGAGAGTAAGACAGTCAGTTGGGAGATTGGCGGACAAGTAAGGAACCAGTCTTCATTTGCGAGAGATGAATCGGAAGCAACATAAGTAGGCAGAACGAGATGAATTGGGAAGATACAATCAACTTTGCAAGCTGAGGCTTGCTTGAGCTGGAAGCTGGGCGCAGGGCAGTAGCTGGTAAACGCCCGCGCGACGATGATTCAGTTTCCAAGTTTGTCGCTGGGATCCAGCCGATGACATGGGATACGATAGAGTACACTAAAAAGACAAGATGAAGAAGGGAGACTAGAGAGAAAGAAGAGGAGGGCGATCGATGGTTCAAGTATCAATGCGGCCTACCCGAGGCCGGACGCACACCATCCACACAGGGCTTGAGCAAACATTCTGGCAAGGCGAGACTGGCGGCAGCGGGCAGATGAGCAAACCATGGGTGGCAGGCTGCCCGGGAAATGGAGGAGCACGCTGTGACCAAGCTCATGATATACCAATGCACACGGTATGCCCGGGGGTGCGCTGCTACGGGCATGTCGTATCATGTGCACGTCACCCAAGGTTCCTCGTTCTGGAGGGTCAGATCGGGTGAGGGTTGGATTGAATGGGCGGGGGGGACCGGACGCTGATACGCAGCTGCTGGTCCAAGAAGAGGGGGAGACGCGATGAGTGCATGGGTCAATGAGGCTGATCTCGGTGATTGGTAGACGGCTATCCAACATGCTTAGGCGTGGTTTGATGGCTGGCTGAACACTGCCGTTACGCTCAAGGCGACGACCAACGCTCGATTATGCATGTGGTCGGAGATATTCAGACAGTTCGGTACGGCTCATTTCCGCAAGGAGCTCGTTGGTCAATGCTGTGCATAGTCGTCGCGCCTTAGGAGGATGAACTGTATGAATATCAGCCCATGATGATCTCGAGTACGACTCCAAGACATTTCGATACTCACTATTGACAGAAGCTTGCTGAAGCTCACCCACTGATCCACAGCAAGACAGACATGGATGGCATGGGGCGCTTCCGAATCCCCCACACACCATGAACAGGCTCCACTGGCTGTTTACTCCGGCGAATGAGGGAGGATCTGGATGTGGTTTGAGAAAGTTATCTCTCGAATTGGGTTTTCTCTCCATGGAGATGGGCGATCGCTCGTGAGAAGTTGTGGTATCGGGTCTGGTGCTTAAAGCTTGGTCGAAGCTTCTCCCCAAAGATACATGCAGGTGTAGGGTAGGCGCTGAATCGCTCGAAGAGCTCCCACGTCATTCCGAGCACTTGCTTTTTTTTGGGATGAAGATAGAACAGACAACAGGCGAGACTACAGCCGTGGTAGTTTCAGCAAGGCTTACAAGGACTTGGATGAGCCTGGGTACAGTGGCTGTAGCGTAATTGAGAATTTCTTCGCATCACAGCGCCCTGCTGTGTACCTGCATCCAGCAGCATCTCGGCTTTACTTCGCTCCGTAAAGCTGAAGATGGAGCTGAAATTTGACTAGACCTCTCGCTAGATATTCTCAAACTCAATTCCTGCCAGTGCTTCTGCAAAGCGCTGCCTTGAATTTCCAAGCCATCCCCTCGATTCCGGACCCTTGAGCGAGCGCCCCTTTGGAGTGTTGTTAGTGGCCGATGCAACCTGAGCTGTGAAAAGCTTCCTGCAGCTTGCAGCTTTAGCGTTGTCCCCGCCATTGCAAATTGCCCTCGTGCAGCTCTTCCAATCAACACCACCGCCTTGAGGCCGTTTGGCTGGCCGGTGTCCATTGATTGATTTGCACCCGAGCCATTCAGTTCCTTGCAACTTTGCCTCGCTGCCCAAAGTCGCACGCGCTCTGAAACAGGAGCGACAGAGTTTCCTCCCAACCGAACCCAGCAACGCACGCTCAGCCGCCCACGGCGCGCCCTTGCAGCGATGGGCCGAGTCCCGGTCGGCGAATTGAGCAGATACCTCCTTGGTGGAAGACTTTCTACGAATGGCTGCTTGACAGCTTTCCGTCGTACGCCCCGAAGCCGCCTGGTTGGACCAGCACCGCCTGCCCTCCGTCCAGTCAGGGCTTTCCACGCCGCCAAAGAACAACCCGAGCCAACACACCAGCAGGTACAAACGCCTTTGGCGGTGCCGCTCCGGAAGAAGTTGAAGGATGAGGCGAAGCAGGCACGCAAGCAGGGGAAGAAGAAATCCAACGCTGATTCTCAGACCGTAGAGGGCTGGGAACTGACGGTCGGCATCGAGATCCACGCCCAGCTAAACACACCACGCAAGCTATTCTCGCCCGCAACTACCTCGTTCAATGATGACCCGAATAGCCATGTTGCATTGTTCGATGTGGCGATGCCCGGTAGCCAGCCTATTTTCCAAACGGGAACGTTGATCCCTGCGCTTCGAGCAGCGCTTTCATTGAATTGTGAAATTCAACCCGTTAGTCGCTTTGATCGGAAACATTATTTCTGGTGGGATCAGCCTTCCGGGTACCAAATCACACAGTACTATCAGCCTTTCGCGAAAAATGGACACATCACACTGTTGGCTAGAGATGGAATTGCACCAGAGGATGGAAAGAGTGTTACTATTGGCATCAAGCAGGTCCAAATGGAGCAGGATACGGCCAAGACACTAGCACACAATGATAACACACAATGGCTTGATTTCAATCGCGTTGGCGCACCGCTGATTGAGATCATCACGGAGCCAGAACTACACCACCCCCGAACTGCTGCCGTCCTTGTCCGCAAGATCCAGCTCCTGCTCAGCACGGTTGACGCCTGTGTCTCCGGGATGGAGACCGGCGGCCTGAGAGCGGATGTTAACGTGTCTGTGAGACGCACCGACGACCCAAGCCAAACATTGGGAACCCGGACTGAAATCAAGAATCTGAGCACGATCAAGGCGGTGGAAGATGCCATCATTGCTGAACGGGACCGCCAGATACGGGAGCTCGATGCTGGTAGACAAATATCCAGTGAGACCCGTGGATGGTCGATCGGCTCCACAGAGACTAGGAGGCTACGTGGAAAAGAAGGCGAGGTTGATTATCGGTACATGCCGGATCCTGACATTGCACCCCTGGTTATTGGGAGCGACCTCATAGCGCATCTCAAACAGTCGCTTCCCGTCACCCCAGACACAGAGCTCGACAAACTCATCTCCTATTTTGGCCTCACACCTAAAGATGCTCTATCCCTAATCAACATTGACAACGGCGCCCGGGTCGAATATTTCTACAGGGTCTTGTATTCGGTCCAAGATATGATTGCCGCGGACGATCTTGATGGCGAGGGCGCCGATGTCAAGACGTATGCTGCGTTGGTGGGAAACTGGACGCTTCACGAGCTTGGCCGCTTGACCACTTCGAAAGCCGGTCCTCATGGCACGGTTGATTTGACTTTCACCCCGGATGGCGACTGTGCTCAAGTGCCTGATGCTGAGCTGTCTCAGCTGCTTTATCATCTCTATCGTAAGCATATCACAGGAAAAGTAGCAAAGGAGCTGCTCATGGCACTGTATCTGGGCGAGCTTGAGGATGGCGTCCGGAGCGCAATCGATATGCATGATCTTTGGTTCAAGGAGTATTCTCTAGAAGAGTATGAGGCCCTAGCAGATGAGGTCCTAGAAGGCGAGGACAAGGTGTTACAAGAGTTTGCCACCAGTGCGAAATTCCCGCAGGGCAAGCTCATGTTCTTGCTTGGAAAGATGATGCGTGCAGGACAGACGGAGCGCATCGACCCGGCTAACGCACAGAAGGTCATGAGAACCCGGATAGAAAGTCTGCTTCCTTCAGCAGCATAGCTTGTTCTCTAGCAGGCCAACCCTGTGACGGTGTTCCGCGCTGCCGCGTACAAAGCGTACAAGAATGCCCGACCTGAGACAATGGAACCGTTGTGTAACCGGGAACTTGGCGAGTGCGACCACTTCTGCCACCACCTTGGCTACCACGGCCGTTGGCAAGCGTCCGACCACCTGGATGTATGTGAAATGGAATGGCGGAGCTGCGTCAGGTTCTAGCCCCTTCATGTTACTCAAGAAATGCTTGAGGCACACTCCATAGCTGCAGCTAATGGCACGAAAGATTTCCCAAGCTTTAATGTCTCCCTTGTTGATTTAATGATGAAGGTCTCGCTGTATTATTATTTTGTATTATCAAGTTAAAACACCATGCCTGGAAGGGATGGGAGAGACCTCGTCTCCACGCCAGTTACATCTACAATAGCTGGCAATGATGCACCAACCAATCTGTTCAGACCCAAGTGCCTTTCTAGTTCACCCCAGCACGCCGAAGCCGTCAACAGGTATGCCAATGACGATGATAGTTCGATTGGTTCTGGGGAGGGCCCAGCTCTCACAAAACCTACTACATCTACGGGCTGGCGAGGGCCCTCCCGCAGCACCCTCAGCTCTGGCCGCGGTGCCTCCAGCATCTCGACATCCGCGTCAGAGACATCAGGAGCCCCAAGCCTGAGCAGGCTGACTAGCGGCCAAAAGCCGCGTACGTCCAGCTCTGACGAGTGGAGAGGCCCTGGCTCTTCTCCTGCCACGTCCGCCGGCTCTCATAGCCAACCGCAGCACACTTCATCGCCGAGCCCATCCCCGTCCAACTCAACAGAAGCGACGCAATCCTCGACCGAGACCGGAGCCGATCCAGCGGAGACGGGCGCGCAGGGCGGCACTCCAGACCAGCAAGATAGACTATCAAACGGCGCGACGGCAGGGATAGTCATAGCCGCCATGACGGTCCTACTCGGCATCATATTCCTGGGACGGTACCTGTACAAGAAACGCCGACGCGAGAGACGGAGAGGCTGGCATGACGACTCGTCGGGGATAGGACCTTACCACAGCGACTCCCGCCACGACCCGCCGGCGCCAGCAGCACCTCGCAGGTCCGTGTTCCAAGACGCCGAGCCTTCCCAGCTGAACAACTGGCTGGCGCACCACCGCCCGTCGAGGAACAGAGCACCGAGAAGCTGGTCAGGGTCTCCGTCTCCGGTGGAGGTGCAGCCGGAGAGTGTGGAGCTCCGATCCTACACGAGACCGGCGCGTCCGAAGCTGTTTGAGGTCGGGAGCCCAGGTATGCCGGGAACTATGGGCGAACCTTCGAATACCAGGAACTATGCCGATCCCGTCCCGCGGCAGCAACCGGGTGTGGAGGGTGAAATGAGAGGTAGGGAGGCTACAGCACCGTTGAGGGGTGGGCAGAGGGCGGCCGTGCTGCCGTGGGAGGAGGGGCCTCGGCCGGACAGATGGGCAGCATATTGAAAATTTCTATTTTGACTAGGAGATGGACCAATTGTTTCCTGGGATTTGTTCCAAGGGCTGAAGTCATGATGTAACCCAGATGTTGGGAGAGTGGGTAGAGGAGGTATTGGCCCGCCCTGTACTCAATCAAATGAACGATCTATCCAATGGTGCAATTAAGCGTTCTCTGGCAAACAATAAAGTGACTAAAAGTATGCTAAAATAGTAGTTTTCTCTTTCCTCCAAACTATTAATTGGGCGCGGCAAGTGGGTGACAAAAGAAACAAGACACTAGATTGACGGTGGCTGTAAGGAGACCACTTTCTGGATTAACAAAACTTTGAGGTAGCATAAAACAAGATAAAATTAATATCTTTAGTGTATTGTCCCCTAGGTAGGCATTATCAGCCCCTAATAATTCGATAATTCTCCTACAAGCTTGAGAATAAGCGGTGCAATATTTTTGAGTGTCTCAAATTTAATGTCACCCAGTGGTACGGGCGAATGGCATCATGACCCATCTCTGACGTCGTCAATTGAGTTAGCAGATCACGATCACGATCCCACTCTGTACCTTCACCCGTTTTGGGCCAGCTTCGATCCTAGCCTGATTGATGCAGATTTACCTTTATTCTCTGCGTCATGACTGCTACATTCATTACCCCAATTCCACATGCTCCCAGTCTAGGCCTCCCGTTCGTCTGTCTGGCCGCCCCTCTCTGGAGTAACGTGCCCATGATGTAATAGATCCTCACCTTGATCGCTCCTGCCGTGGGGCTGATTCAACGCCGTGTATATCAGAGCTCTGGGAAGATTCAAGCTTTCTTATTCTTTTGACCATTCTCTGTTCACTATTAAAAGCACATCGCAATAACCTCAATTACCATCTACATCCCACCACAAAAATAACCAATTTCACAAAATCCCAATTTCAGTCATGTCGTCATCACTCACACGCACCGTCGCCCAGCGCGCACTCGTTCTCCCCCGTGCTCTCGTAGTACCAGCGCAACGCACCTTCACCACTTCCCTCGTCAACCAGAAGACTGCCACCGAGTCCGTCAAGGATGGGCTGAAGAAGGTCGATCGCGCTGTCAGCGATAACATTGCCATTCCTGCCGTTGATGCCGTTGGTAAGTGAACCAAATCCAAGTTTCTCAGCCCAATCAAACAATTTCCTGGTATTTTGCCAGTATAACCAATTGAAGCAATGGCTGACATGTCGACTCAATTCTGTAGCCGCCGCACGGGACATCGCCAAGGATGGTGTCGACAAGATCTCACACAGCAACCCCGCCGCCCAGGCCGAGGAGCTCAAGGGCCAGGCTAAGGGCAAGGCGAACGAGTGGGAAGGCCGAGCCAAGGGAGCGGCCAAGGAGGCCGAGGGCAAGGCCAAGGGCGCCGCCGAGGAGCTGAAGCAGAAGCTGTAATTGTCGCCGGGCGGATGCATATCGAGAGAGCAACCTGTACATCACCTACTTGAAGCATTGATAGGGAAATGACAATAATTGAATGGCTGGTGTTTGACAACCAATCAGTCTGATATTCGACGACGTCTGGTAACCATGCCATCGGCTCTATCGCTGTATTAACCATACGTCCCACCATTACTTCTATTCTAAATTTTTTAGCCCTCTATGAAACCGTACCCTCGTCGAACCCTCACCGTGCCGTCGTCTATTTACCCTTCTTCACCTTCTCCAGGCTCTGAAGCTGGGCAAACGCCCGCTTGGTGGCGCCGATGCTCTGAAAGACCAGTGCACCCGGGATGACGATCCAGAAGGCGTTGCACAGGAAGTAGTAGGCCCAGAAGTAGTAGTTCTCGGGCCGGCAGTAGTGCTTCTGGTCCATGAGCATGGTGAAGGTGCAGGTGGCGTAGTACAGGATGTCGCCGTAGATCTGGCCGACGCTGACGATGAGCTGGAGCGAGTGGCGCAGGGGGTGGCCGGTCACGATGGCGTAGGCGATGAAGAAGGAGATGGGCCCCCAGAGGAAGGCGGTGACGGACTCCATGGGGACGAGGAACGAGTCCTGGGTCAGGTAGCGGGAGTCGGAGAGGGAGTACTCCTTCCAGAGCTGGCCGAAGAGGTCGAGCTTGCTGGCCATGTCCTTGAAGTTGTAGGCGAAGTAGCCTTGATCATGTTAGAGAGTATCCTAGTGATATGATATGGAGGGGTGGTATGTTATTCACCTTCAAAGAAAGTGTGGATGAAGCCGCAAAGGACGAACCACAAGGCGGCAAACACCTCCCAGCTGCGCAGGTCGGGCCGCTTGCTCTGGATCAGAAAGTACGTGGGCACGAGGACGGCACCGCAACCCAGGCCGAAGTACGAGACGAGCTCCAGCGCATCCATCGTGTTGGGCGCATATCCGGGGATGACGACCCCCAATGGGTAGTACGCATGCGCAGCTGCCGAGCCGTTCGTAGAAGCCATTGTGAGCAATCAATTGGTGGTTGCTGCGAGAGAGGGAGGGCGTAGGACGAGATGAAAGGTTCTGAGGTCAAGGAGAGGTCTAGGGCTAAGGAGAATTTTTGCGGCTATCTCGATACTTAAACTGACAGCCAAGCAAAGCAAAGGTCGGTGTAGAGAGGGCCGGGACGGATCTTCAGGCCCAAGATGCAAGGCAAAAGTCAGTCGAGCCGGAAGAGGGGCTTCCGGCCGGCGGCTTCCACAGAGATTGCCAATGATTATCTGCACCTCCCTATTTAAATTCCCAATCTTTGGTCCCTGAGCCAAAGCGAGAACAGATAGGCGCGGCGCTTGGCGGTGTGGGGAGACTGCAACGCCCCGAACGGCCGGCCATAAGCATTGAAATTAGCCAGGCACCACCCTTGTCTGCGGGTGTTGAGGCCATTTCGGGTTTAGCAGTCCATCAATATACTTATGACACAATATGAAACCCTCAAAATCGCTGTTCATGATCCAAAGTCGTATAGCCTTGCTCTATCAAGCGCTAGATATTCTATATGCAAATCTAGCAAGTATATTCATGTATGAGTAGAGCTCAATGGCATCACTCATTGCTTCCGCCCACGCTCCTTGAGCTTCTCTCTCCATCGGCCTCTCATAACACGCAAGAGTGCCCATGCCAAAAGGCGATATACAACGATGCAGCCGGCCAAAGCAGCCACATTTACTACCGGGTCTTCGGTAAATTTGTAAAGGTCAAGAACATCCTGGCCAGTCTCAATAGGACAAGAACCATCCTGCAGACGCTGGCTGTCGTTGCAAGTGAATGTTACTCCCCGCATGGAATAAGGCGCCACAGCGCGAAGACCATATCGAATGGGGGAGAGGTAATTGAAGTAGACAAAGAGCTTGGGCATATCGATGGACAAGACTCCACCCATGGTGTTCGCAACAGAGAGAAGAATTCCCATGGCGTTGACCGCAAATCCTGTGTGAGGGAAGAGGGTATTGAACATGATACCCAGACTTTCGCCGCACGACACAATTCCAAAGCACGCAAACACGCTGACAAAATACATTGTGACAGTGCGTGGAAGGCCCACAGCAATGACCCCAAGCACACCGAATATCAAGCAGCTCAAGACCTCGAATGGAACTTCAAGAACTGTATACGATAGGATGAACGACTCGATACCGTACACCCCGTCATCATCCTCTCGATAGAAGACGTCTCGTTCGTTGGGATAGATTGCCACATTTTGTAGCATACCCACGAAATAAAATGCACCGATTTCTTGTACGAAACCCATTCGGTTCTGCACGGAGAAGTAGTCATTGTGAACTGGTGCGAAAAACAGCGCCAGGATCAGCGCAAGGCCGACAACCTGCATCACACGAGCAAGAATCAATTCGGGCTGCCGCCGTGTATTGATAATGGCTCGATGGAGTAGGATAGGGAAAGCCGTAGCAAGGGAGGCACGGTTGCGTACGAGAGCACCAAGTTCTGCGGGAGTTGATAGATTCGATTTGTTGAACGATTTCCGAGCAGGCGACGCATAGGACGGTCGGGCTACAATGTCGAGGTTCTTCTCATCAGATTGGCTTGAGGTAGCCTGGCCATCGGCTTCGGTAGCCTCATGAACAACTTCCAATTTGGATTGAGCAACGGCATTCTTTTCGCCACTGATGTTTTGAGCCCAGTCACTGGAACCCCTCGCCTCCCACGCCTCGATCAACTTATTTACCCTCTCCCTAGTTTCTGCCTCTTGTTGATCATGCTGAAGATCGATAGTGATCATGTCGAGAGCAAAGTCTGCTGGATTTGTATGCTGAGGGCACTCATATCCTTGCTGTTTGAAGTAGCGCAGCATGTCTCCAGCTGCACCAGAATAGGCTGGTGAACCACCGCGTGCGAGCAAAAGCACATTTCCAAAGTGTTTGAAGAGGTCTGAGCGGGCTTGATGGATGGTTAGAATCAATGTCCGACCTTCCTTAGCCAGCCCGTTAAGAACCTCCATGATTGAATTTGCCGTGAAAGCATCAAGACCAGACGTGGGTTCGTCGAGAAGTAAAACCCGAGGATCGGTCAAGATTTGAATGGCGATCGACACGCGGCGTTTCTCTCCACCAGATATCCCCTTGATCAAATCACTCCCAACCAGGTTGTCTGCGCAATCTTTCAATCCCATTTTCAAGAGGACCTCCTCGGCTCTCTGATACTTTTCTCTCTTGCTCATGAAGGAGGGGAGGCGCAAGCCAGCAGCGAATCGAAGCGTTTCGCGTACTGTCAGCGATGGTAACAACGCATCATCATCCTGGCAAACGTAGGAGCAGATGGAACGAAGGACAGAATCCGAAGGTACTGCACCATTCAGAGTCAACTTTCCAGAAGGTCGGTATCTCGTACCAAACGAATTGCGTAGTCTCAGGGCCATAGTGTTTAGGAGCGAGGTCTTGCCGCTCCCGGAAGGCCCCATGATAACGTTCAGAACTCCAGCCTGGAATGAAGCATTCAGGGGATTGAGTACGGTTTTCCTCGGGAGCCACTTGCCCATTCCTGATCTTTTATCCAACGCCAAAGCAAAGTCTTCGAGTTGAACGTCGATCGACCTGACATCGCCTTCTGAACTTCGACTCAGTTTCTCTTTTCCTGCAGACAAATCGGTATCCGAAGTTCGCGCTCGGGCAATGGTCATTTCGACCTTGAAAAAATGAAGACCGATGGTGGACAGTGCGATGAAGAATACGATGAAGGAGGCAGAAATGACAATTGGTCTCCAAACCCAGTTGGGTGGAAAACCAAGAGATTCCATGATAAAGCTCCCTGTGTACTGCCGACACGCAGAGTTTGACTCCCCGCCTCCCACTGGACAGTCATAGAAACTGCCTTCAAATTCATTTCCGGCATAAGCGCTGAAGATGAAGAACTACTTAAGTTAGTTTAACCGATTTCCCCCGAAATTACAAAGCCATGGAGATTTTAGGAAGAGGGGGCTTCTTACAGTGTAGGTTATCCACTTCAACCATCTAACGTAGACGGGAATCGTTTCGCTTTGAATGAACATGCCACATGCCATACTCTGCAAAGTGTAAACCAAGTTTGCGATCAAGCTGGCCCCAGCAAAATGCCTGACCGCCGCAACACAAGTGACGGCGCAAGTCACAGCTATATAATGATTGATGAGAGTGACAGCGAAGAAGATGAAGAATTTGTGTGCCTCGCGATCAAAACCAGCCATGAAGTAGAATATCGTGGAGTAGAGGAATGGAACGGGAAAGTCCTCGGTGGGTAGTCTGGCTAGACGACGTGACAAGATGAAGGGGAGTGCATCAACACAGTTCTCAGATGACTCGCGGTCGAAGACTGGCATGTCGATTGTCACACGATAAATCTCAAAGATGAGAATCAAATACCCTTGAAGTCCAGCTGCGGTGTAGAGAGCTCCCTGGCGGGAGCGAATTCCAGCTTGGTCACGAGCAAGATTGTAAAATAGGTAGCCACACGTGATGCCCATGAATATGGCTTCCATAATGGAAGCGGTCATTCCAAGCGGATCACGGTATGTAACCTTTAATGTCCGTTCCGTGAGAACGCGAACCTGTTGAAAGAAAGAGGCATGTTGAGAGGCCGATTTTCCTCCGCTCAGGTGCCCTACATGCGTCACCTTTTCAGCAGGAACAAAACGCCGCTCGCTTTCCCGGGTCCAGCCATCCTTCAGTCTCTGAACCCGAGAGGAACTCTCTTCTTCTAATTCCGAGGATCGATTGTCAATTGCAGCGAGGTCAATGACAAATTCTGCGGGATTCACAAAGGGAGGGATTTCGTATCCTAGGTCTTGAAACCATGGGAGGCAGTCGGAGATGGACCCCGAATATACTGGGCTTCCCCTGGAGAGCACAACAAGATTGTCGAAAAGGTCCCAAATTTCAGAGCGAGGCTGGTGAATCGTCGTGATGACGGTGCGCCCTTTGTATGCAAGCCTCTTGAGCGTGCGGATAAGTTGAAAAGCGCTTGTCGCGTCGAGGCCAGTAGTAGGTTCGTCCAGAAAAAGCACAGAAGGATTTGCCAGCATCTGAACACCAATACTAACACGCCGCTTCTCGCCTCCCGAGCATCCTCTATGCTGGCTGTTGCCAATTCGAGTGTCCGCGCATTCCTTGAGACCCAGTTCTCGGATCACTTCATCAACAATCCGGGCCCGGTCTGCAGCTGTAGTGGTCGAGGGTAACCGCAAGTCCGCGGCATATTTCAGTGTTTCACGAACGGTAAGTGTTGGTAATAAGATGTCCTGTTGCATGACATAGGCGTGTCTTACGGAATGCACATCCTCTGAGCCGTTGAAAGTCGTGAAACCCTCCTGAGTCAGCCGTGAACTTACAACTCTATCTGCCAAACAGTTCAGGAGTGTGGTTTTGCCAGATCCACTACCACCGATAATTGCGGTAAGGGTTCCTGGGGCCAAATCCGCGTTGACGGAGTGCAAGAGCTTCTTTATGCGCGGAGAAGTGTTGAGCTTGTTGGCGAAAAGTTCTGGATAGGTTGCTGGCTCAAGCCAGGACGGCGCTGTGTCAACTGCAATGGCAAGGTCGCGAATCTTGATGTCGACAGGTTGGACATCCTCGAGTGAGAGGTTCCCTCCGCCAGATAGAGAAAACTGGTGACTGGCCAGAGGGCCGTGATCTACTGATGGGGCCTCCATGGAGCTCTCTCGCTCAATTTTCAGGTGGTCGCTAATCACATCACCGTCGCTAACATCCTTCAGGTCATTGCCCATTTCCGCGGTCGTCTGCAATCAAGAGATTGCCGTCGTGGCGCAAAATCCGCAGACGGGGTAATTCAGTTGACAGGTTCGATACTGTCAGGCGCAAGCAAAGCTATCTCGACATTTTGTCTCGCAACGTTCTCTCTTTTCTCCGGGATCGATCGTTGTCGGGATAGTCAAATCAATTAAAAAGAAAGACTGTGTGGTGTTGCCGCAGGGCTTCTACTATGCCATACTCCCACAGAAGAAATCACCAAAGAAACATTAGGGGTCAGATCGCCGTCGCGACCGTGGCATACCAAAGAATAAATATTGACCGAGCCGGTTGAATGGGGGCGTCTGGGGGCTCCTTAAAAAGGCCTGGAGCTAATCTCCAATCCGCCTGCGAACCGAGGTGGATCCTAGCTCAGTGGGTGGAGTGGGGTGCCAATCACGATTGAACCACGGATAGCAAAACTCCCGTTGCTCCTGCTCCACGGCCAATCAATTCCCTAATTCAACCATCGTACCTGCTTCAATCACCGCTAAGTACTGCGGCGGTAGCAGGAGGCGAAGGTACCTCTCGGTCTTGGCCTCACATCCACATGCAATAAGCGGAAGGAACCTGCACTGTCTACGCCTCCGCCCAACTGAGGTTTCACTGCGCCGATGCGCAATTTACGTTGTCTTATGGCGCACATAAAACCGGCGCAGTTATGTACTGAACACCACCTCAGCATAATTATGACCAATAATGTCCCTGCGTATATAAGCCTGCCTGAGAGACGAAATCCTGCCAGAACAGGACCAGGCTGAGAATGGGGTCCTGTCATTCCTCGACAGCGATACGCGTATTGGCCCTCCCGACACGAACAACATGCTGGTCGTGCACGGACATGAGGCACAGCGACCGGGGTTCATCACATTGAAGGCTTGGCAGCCTTTAGCAAATTGAGGCAGAGGGGGCCAAATGAAAGGAGCATACAGGTGGAATGTCGTTTGAAGAGGGATGAAATGTCCAGATTTCTAGGAAAATGGCATCACAGTTCTAACATTATCGCAAGATTTATGTTATGGCTTAGAATTTTAGCATCGCCATGCGCTGTGCGAGGCGTCTGGTAAACTCAACTGGGTGGTGGGCACGGACGAAAAACCGCCCGTCAAAGAGGCAGCCATAGGTATTGATCAATACCCATCGTAGTGTAGCGTTTCCCCGGATCCATTTTATTGGTTGTTGACACCGGGAGAGGCGCCAGCACGAAAGGGTTAAACACAAGCCAAGTCGGCCGCCCGACCATGGACCCATATGGAGACATGTGAATTGATGACCTGCTCTCTATGACTTAGGCCCAGCATTCCCAGTTCGCTCTCCAGATACGAGACCGTAGCGGAGGTAGCGAATCCAGTTGAGCCACCACCAAGAGCAATTAATTCTGTGCCACATCCATTTTTTAAGATGGGATGTACTCAACCGCCCTAATAAGAAAAAAAAAGTCTGATCCATAACAAAGAAAATAAACAACTCGCGGCCGCTGTTGAAACCGCAGAATACCCCGCACTAGCCCCCAAGCGATAGCCCCTTGCCTTATCGCCGGGCGGGTGCCTCCAATACCAGCACCTCATCCATTGCCTGAAGTTGTGACAATAATGACGTCCCTGTCAAGTCAATCTTTGTCAAATTCTCTTATTAGTCATGACAGAATTCAATCAGGGGCCCAAATAACAGTAAAATAATAGCAGTTTCATTGTCAAATATCAATTCTATCATGTATTTCTTCAATGCCCTTTTGCTTTCTCCAAATGCAAACGCCCTAAAAATGCTCTGGTCGAACCTTCCACAGCGACAAGGAGCTCTTTCTCCGGCCACCGAGACATCGTCGCTTCCCCTCATGACCACCACCCAACTTTAATAAACGCGGTCGAATTATCCAAATGCCCAAGTAAATTATCCCAAGATGATATCCTAGCCAAAACACGCTCTCTATCATAACCTCAAGCAAATCGCTTTTCTGTGATGCTCTCGCCCAACGGGCTCGCACAGATAAACCCGTCGCCCTTGGCGCCTAGGTCAAAGACTTTTTGGCCCCTCAGCCAGGTCTCTCGGACCCTACCGACGAACTTGTGGCCTTCCCACGGCGAGCAGCGGTTCTTCCACCGCATGTCGCCTTGAAGGAAGGTCCATGTCTCATTCTCGTCAAATACGCAAATGTCGGCGTCCAAGCCTTCGCGCAGCCCACCCTTGCGATGCGATAGACCGACCTGTGCCGCCGTAGCCTGGCTACACAGACGAACCACATCAACAATTGAGGGTGCGGGAAGGGAGCGCTCAAGACGAGAGTGGGATTTTGTGTGAAGAATCGGCAAACCAAGGCCAACGGATGAGATGCCACCCCAGGCCGCGAAGAAATCTCCCCGGGACTCGAGTTGCTTCGCCGCTTGCTGGACTTCTTCCTCTGGCAGGGTGACGTCGATACCGGAGTCGGAGTGCGAGACTGCCGGGCGAAGCAAGGCGGGCCGGTCCAGGTGACCAGGCAGTAGTTTCAGCTCAGGTGTGCATGGTGAGTGATCTGAGACCACAGTCCGGATGCAGGATCCTTCTGACGTGAGCTCTTCCCACAGGCCGTCCCGATTCTTCTCCTCGCGGATAGGTGGGCAGCACTTATGTCTTGTGTCGCCCTTCTCAATCTCCTCAGCTGAGAGACCAAGATAGTGGAAGCATGTCTCAGCGGTGACTTTGATACCCTTGGCCCGGGCCGCGCGTAGGATCGGGATACATTCGGTGGCTGAAAGGTGTACAATGTGCAACTGTAGCTCGGGGGCGATGTGGGCCAGAGAGAGGATCTCCTCGACGGCGTACGTCTCGAATGAGGGAGGACGAGATTCCAAGAAGGTGTTATAAGCGGAGAGCTCTCCGTGAGGCTTGAGGGGTGGCTCCGAGGCCTGGACAGCATCTCCGACCGAATCGGTAATGGGCGGGATCATCTCGGCGTGGAACATAAGGGTAGTAGGGGAGTCCTTCAACTCTTCCATGGCAAGCGCCACGTCTATTGAAGAGATGGCGGGGAACTCGTCGACCTGATGGAGTACTCGTTAGCACGCTCACGTTCAAGTATCGGGGTCGAAAATGAACCTACGCCGGATTCAATGAGAAACCCCTTGAAACCGCGCACACCGGCTTCTACGAGAGGTTTCAATTCGTTGGCATTTCCAGGGATCACGCCCCCATAGAACCCGACATCAACCCAGCATTGGCCACGACTGGCAGCGAGCTTCTCTTCGAAGCCCTTGACTGTGGTAGTGGGTGGGATTGCATTAAGTGGCATATCGACTACAGTGGTGACGCCTCCGCTGGCTGCGGCCCGAGTACCAGTCCAGAACCCCTCCCACTCGGTCCTACCAGGCTCGTTGAGATGTACATGAGCATCAACGAGGCCGGGCAGCAGAATGCGGGGGGAATAGTCAATGTATGTGGTTGTCTCTGGGAAGCTTGAGGCATCACGAATGGTGGGCTCGACGGAAATGATCTTCCCTGAAGTGGGAGAGATGGTGATCGTGGCCGGAGTAAGGAGGAGTGAGTCGTCTGGGAGGGTGATGACGGCGCGAGACGAGACAAGGACCACGAGGGGTCCCGCGTCTGAAGAGCTCTGGACAGTCATGCTGGCTCGCCGATTCTGAGTTGAGTCGAGAGGTGGGATTGGAGTAAGGGAGTTGTAGGAGGTCTACTCAGGTTCTCAACTACGGCTCAAGCAAGGACAAGAGAGACGGGATCACAGAAACGAGCGGGAGCTACACGCTTCTTTTACTTGACCGGGTGCCCCGCGGAAAAGGGAGTCAGCGCATGACTGCCGCCTCTACTTTTCTTTGCACTTGGACGGGTCTTTGCGGCATTCTACCACCTTATCCCTTATCAGTGTGCGACTGAATAAAGCAAGGCCCCATTCGCGAACTTCGCCGATGGTGGGGCACTGCGAGATAAGGAATAGCCATGGCCACTTTGGGTATCGCACCTCGCCCTCCTCAACCATCCCCTGATCCCTTGGCCTCGAAACCAGTTTCTATTACTCGAAAGATACCTAATCGAAAGGCGAATGGACCCCCGGCTATTGTCAGACGACCCTGGCCCCCGAGATGTCATCCTGGAACCTGGGGTAGCAGCGGTGGCTTGCTTGTCTGTCTCCTCCTCCTGCCACCTCTTATCTCGTTGCGGGGTGAATCGTTATCTTTCGCCGCCTCAGAAACGATCTGTCGGTCATGGGCTTATCACGACCAGTCCCGTTATCAGTGGCTGATGATCTCGGGAATTTAGATTCACTCACACAGATCGGTCCCGCCACGGAGGGTAAAACAACGAGCAACGCGTTCCTGAAGGAGAAAAAACTCAACACGAGGCCAGTCATTCATTAGCCTTTGTCATCTGGGAACAGACGGAGTCTAACCTATTCGGATAAGAAGGCACCAACAAAGCGCCGTCCCCACCTCTCACACCAACATGAGCCCTGCCCTATCATATCGCTGCAACAAGGACGCTTTTGGTCAATTCCATCGAGTAACGCCAGGATATCAAATAATCTTCGAGTAACTCTAACCGACGCCATTCGCAGGATGCCCCGGCCCGGGACTGACGATGCGGCATCACCGTCCTTTCTGGCTCCACAATGGGTTTACATTCTTCTCTCTCCTTCTCTTTTCTCTCTCACTAGCTGGAGCAACACCGGCCGGCTCCGGTCGCCCATCCTCTCCTAGAGTCCAAACCTCGGGATTCTTGTACGTAAAATCTCTCTAGTGCACTGCCCTTCCTGGTCTCGTAGCTTCAACCTGCGCTGACCACGTCTACCCGACGCCGTAAAGGCGGTAAGATCCAACTGGGTCTGAGGGTCTAGACGTGGTCTTCTTACATTAACGTTATCATAGCTCTCATATGTCTCGTGTCAAGTAATATCAGCGGCCTCATCTCATATTCATGCTCACAAGCAATGGTAATCACAACCACGAAAGTGGTGCGTAGTTTGCAGCATAGCCGGACAAGCCTTCAATAGTGGTGGGCACCAAAACCAGAAGATAAAAGGGGAATGATTCCACGCCTGTTGGTCTATATAGTAATAGTAGATATGCCAAATGCACAAAGCAAATCCCCGTCATTGCCGCAAATCATGACATGCATCCTCTTGTCGGAACCCCGTTTCATCATAAATCAACAAGCTCCCGGACCTTACCCTCCCTTCTAGGTTGAAAAATGCAAACATAACGGTATTTTTACATGTAATACACAATGGTTTTTGAGATGTGTTGGTGGAGAGGATGAGGTGTTGCGCGTGTGCATATTACCCAAAAAGTAGAGAGCCTACTTGTTCCGCTTGATCGTCTTGTGAGCCATCTCCATCAGACCGTCCTTGGCCTCGCTCTCAGGGAAGTGGGCAATGGCGCTCATGGCCTTCTCTGAGTACTCCTGCGCCAGAGCGCGGGTCTGCTCGACGCCATCGCTCTGAAGAACTAATTCGCGGGCCTATAGGAGGGGGTGAATTATGTTAGCAAGGCAATTTCTCGAGTCAATGCAACAGTGCGAGGTGCATAGATGCAAGCACTGATACGTCAGCTCCACTTGGTTGGTAACTCACCCTTTGGACGTCTCCTTCCTGCTCAAACTTGCGCCCGACCAGCGCTCCAAGCTCGGGCATCTGCTTCCACGCGAACAAAAGGGGCGCGGTGGCCAGTCCGAGCTCGAGGTCGGCCCCCGCGGGCTTGCCCAGCTCGGCGCCAGAGCGCGTGTAGTCGAGCATGTCGTCCACCAGCTGGAACGCGAGCCCCAGGTTCCGGCCGTACGAGTAGGCGGCGTCGACGGTGGCGGCGTCGGCGCCGCCGAGGAGGGCGGAGGCGCGGCAGCTCTTGGAGATGAGGGAGGCCGTCTTGAGGTACGTCTTCTGGAGGTAGTACTGCAGGGTCTCCTCGGAGTATTTGGGGGAGCGCTCGTCGCGCTCCGTGTTCTTGAGCTGCATGAACTCGCCCTCGACGAGGTTGGCGATGACGGTGGCGAGGAGCTCGACGACCTCGGCGTTGCGGAGGCGGGCGAGGGCAACGGAGGCGCGGCCGAGGAGGAAGTCGCCGGCGAGGACTGCCATCTTGTTGCCGAATTCGAGGTTGGCGCTGGGGGAGCCTCGACGGGAGACGGAGTGATCGATAACGTCATCGTGGAGCAGGGAGGCGGTATGGATCAGCTCTGTGATCTCGGCGAGTCGTCTTTGGCTGGGTAGGATGTCTGGGTTCCCCTCCTCGGGCATCTCCTTCGTGTCGTAGGCTGTGAGGGGGTTGGCAGAGGGGTTGACGTCTGCCAGGATCTGAATGGGCGATATCGAAGTATCGATGCCCCGCGAGGTAGGGGAGTTGTCGAGTGAGGCGGCCTTGGGGCACAGATGTGTGGCGCGGCTCATGAGCAAGACTATCAGAGGCCGGATGTGCTTGCCCTCAGCCTGGGTGTAGTATTTTGCGACTCGGTCGAGCGAGGGGTGGCCTGACCCGAGTAGCTTGCGGATGTTGCCTGTCAGGAACTTCATCTCTTTGGCGACGGTGCGGAGAGGGTCGACGGTCATTCCCTTGTCCTTGGCAGCCTGCTTGACCACGTTTCCGACCACATTCGAGGCGACCTGGACGGCGGCGGCCCATGCTGAGTCTCGCCGGCTGGATGAATGTAAGCCTCGGCGCTGGCTCAAGAACGGCGTTCTCCTCGCTACAACGGGTGTTCGGACGATGTGGGCGGGTTGTTGGCAGAGATGGCATGTTACCACGGCGGATTTTGTGGCTGCCGCGGCATCGAGTAGTACTGTAGCTCCCGGCCGGAGCTGCATTGTCGACAACATGCCTCGTGAGAGGGCTTTTTGGACACACGAGTGATGATGTAGGTATTAGACTAGGCCGTCGAGAAAAAAAATCGTATGGGCCCAGGTCGCGGAGCCAGGGTCGGAATTGGATGTCAGTCAAGCGACGGGCAGAACAAGAGAGTGACGAAAATCGGAGAAAATTATCGTAGCCGTCCGAACTGCATTGTATCACCCAGTTAATATCGAATCCAAAGCTCAAATGTCGCTCTTTGGGCAGTTTGGTGTCTGCCGCTGCATCGAATCAACTTTTCCAATTGGCGCTAGACACACGGTTCAAGCCGGAAAGGTCGACAGGGGTCCACCTAGGCTCTGTGCTTTCTTTCCTCATTGGTCACTGAGCAGAGCTCCCGATGATTGATTAGCACAGGCTGATTCGCTTGTTGCAGCAGCAGCTTCGCTATAGGCAGCAGGCAAAGAGCAGTGCCAGTCGGTCGGAGTCGATTCCTGTCAACGTCATCCTCTTTTATCGCAACTCGCATCGCATACACAGCAGGTACAGGAGCAGATACCTCAAACATGGTTCTCCTCACAATGACGTCCTCCATTGTAGAGGGTTTAAAACGAGCGCAGGCAAACGAGACCAACCAGCTAGCCGACGACACCGAGCCCTCGTTGATAGAGCCAGAAGTTGGCAAGCCCATATCCCATCGCCAAATCATACAGCTCAGCCGCAGTCTCCGACAATCCGAAGATTCATCCGACTTTACGTTAGAGAAGCTACTACGCGGATCTGAGGTGTACACTCCTCCCCCGCCTCCCAAACCTGAGCCAGTACGTCTCTCCATCCGTAGTCGGGCCAGCTGCCATCAACCACTTGCTTGTCTATCACTTTACTAACACACGCCACTAGACTCCGGAATTCAAGGCATTGATGGCACGTCTACGACACGAAGAAGAAGAACGATCTTACCAACGCATGGTAAACACTTCCGACAGCCGAGAATCCTTCCACGACCGCTTCCCCCATTCCTCCCGCCGGGCATTCGCCTCTGTGAACGAACCGATTTCAAAAGACGACTTGGGCGACGATGATGTGACCTACGAAGAAGTACACCGCCAAGTCATGCTCATCATCAACTTTGTTGTGAGCATCCTGGGCGTGGCGGGAACCCTGTGGGTTGTCGCCCGATGGTGGAGTACAACGGCCAGGTTGCTGTTGACGATGAGCGGCAGCATTGTGGTAGCCATTGCAGAGGTGGCGGTATACCTAATATACGTAATGAAGATGGGAGATGCAAAGAAGAAGCAGGGCGCCATCAAAGAAGTCAAGGAAGTGGTGGAGACATGGGTTGTTGGCAAAGAGAGCCAAGAGGAGCATGACGAGAAATCAGTGCTGTTACAAGAGAAGGATAACGACCCAGACGGCGTGAGAAAAAGAAAGACGGCGGTCAAGAAGGACGATAGCTAAGCGAAGATTTGGCATATTAATAAATCCATGGTAGCACAAATTCCGGCGGTAACTCGCATGCGGGACTCGCAGCAGCACAGTCGTGTGTTGCGGTTACTTAGCATTTCCCGTTGGATTTCCAACATGCATGCATGTATTGAAGATCTCGCTCTTTCGGTCTTCATTGTCCTGAATAATGGAACATGTGACGGCGCGTAGAGCGGGCGAGTCAAGGCGCGTCAAACGCGTCTTCCAAGTGGGGCAACATACGTGCTTCCATCTAATCCATGGCATATCATCCCATGCCTAAAGCCTCCGTCCAAGATTTGTCGGTAAACATGTAAATTGAGTTCAAGAGTATTCTTATCCTACTGTTTCCGTGTGTTTCAATTCTCGATGTTTGTTTTTAACGATACCCATATCATCTATATTCTTTCTGCCTAATTTCACAAATCTTCCACACAAAGCGCGACCCAAAACCCAAGACAAAGTCGCCATCAAACTCATACCTTCTGTTCTACTGGAGCTCGAACAGTATGCCACAATGAACTCTACAACACCAGATTACGCCATGTAAGTATAACTTCATCTTCTTGCTCCTCGCGTTGTTCGCTAACGAGGTTGAAAGAACCAAACCCGGGATGCCTCCCAAGCACCGAAAGCTCGTCCGCACATACGGGCGCCGGACCCCTTCTACAGCCCCAGAGACGCGCAGCGAGCCACCAACCAAGAGAAGAAGGACTTCACAGGATGATCAAACCACAAATGTTGTCGGAATGTCAGAAAGGGACTCGGAGAAATCACCTAAAGCCGAACACAAAGAAGAGCCGAGCACAGATCGAGATAGCCACGACCCAGAAGAGCAAGTCGACGACAAGGAAAAGCCGAAGTTGTCAATCCTCAGTTATTTCCAGCCAGTAAAGGCAGTCGCGGGCGATTTGCCTTCGAAGAACCGAGCCTCTCCATCGAGTCCGCCCAGTCCACCGACGTCACCTCCAGCTGTGCGAGTCAAAAGAAAAAGGGCGCCGCGCCTATTGAAACTAAGACCAACAACACAAACATCGATAGAAGAATCAGGCGAGGACGAAGAGCTGGAAGAATCTCCTTCAACCTCTATAGACGACTTGGAGGAGAGTATTAGAACACATAATAGGACCCGGATATCAAGAACAGATGTCGCATCAGGATTATGCCGTACCGGGTCACCGGCAGAGAGTGATACAACCTCTGAAACGAGTTCCGTGTCTAGATTAAAGCCAGCGCACAAGTCTTTGGTCCAAACGACGCTCAACATATCGTCAAAGGCCCCATTTTCGGAATGCAGCCTGTGCAATATTGTATGGAATCCGTTCTTCCCTGACGATGTCAAATTTCACAAGAATCGGCATACGGCAATGCTCCGCGTGCGCAAGAGAAAGGAGGAAAGCTTAATATAGTCTAATTTCCAAATAAACGATGTACATGTCATTCATATCGTCTTATGATTCAGTAGATGTAGCCTGTAGCCAGCCAAGCTCCGATAGCCAAACACTCCATACGTGCAGAGCTCCGATCTCTAAATGAGCTGAGAGGGTATCTTGCAAGTTTTATCGAAGAAAGGAAGGCCTGATTATTCCTTCATGTAGGCCTACCCTAGATAGCTCGAGTGTCCGACACAGGACAAAACACAGATAAAGCTTAAACTTGAGTCTCTAGGAGAGAAACAAGCTCCGAAATTCACAGTCATTAAAACACGAAATATTTATTGCAATTTTGGATAAGAATATTGCAAAATCTGTGGCAATATCATGATTTCGTCAAGTACAATACAAATGGCCGTTTTCACCCAAATATCCAACCCACCCATCATCACTACATTCGCTAGCTCCGAATCCATGGCCACCAAATTCAATTCTTACGCAATAAAAGATCCAGAATGGAAATGCAGGCTCTGATCATGCATCTCTGTCCTATGATAGCCGGGTTCATCGCTCATATGCGGCCAGTCAGAAGCTTAGCCTCTATCAATAACGTTGTCTTCAGGGTGTCCTTCTCCCTCGGGAGCCTCTCGAAATAATTATCGACCCCTAGAAGTTTCTCAATCAGAAGATCCAATTCCAGTTCGTCTGCAGCCTCGAACGATGTCGAAATTGACCCGGCCAGATCCAGGGCCGAGATCGGGTCGATGGTGGACAGATATGGGATGCACATCCACTGCTGCAGGCAAACAGCCCGGTACTGGGAATAGATCGATTCATCGGGGGACCCGTAAAGCGTGCTGAGATCGTATAGTATCCTCAGATATCTCATGCGAAGAGATAGACCGGCGATGAACTGCCGAGCCACGAAGATGGACTCGAATTCATATCTGCATCCAACGAAGAACTCCGGATCGGATATCTTTCTGATTGAGGTAACGTCGGTCGCCGTATCTATTGACTTGGTAATCAAGTTGGCCAGCTTGATGTGCTGCTTTGAAATATCATCATAAAGGGCATCCTTCGTTTCTTTCATCTCATCGGGATTGGCACGAATTCGTCTGATAGCCTGGATCCAACCGGAAAGACTGGCGAGGGACTCGTCGTAAACTACGGGGTCCACCCAAAGATAGTTATGGTCATTCTTGGCCAACTTCTTCTGTCCGAAGTCCTGAAGAATTTCCTTCCAAGGTGATTCTGTGACGTAGCTGTTTTGACCCTTGCCCGGTATCCTCGGTTGCTATTGTGCATGGGTTAGTTCTGATTCGCAGGGACAGCAGAAAAAGAAACATCGGGGGTTAGTAGCTGGTATCTTACCATAATTCCAATGTATTCAAATGCCAAGGCAAGGTCTAGATCGTCGTCGGGATTCGGCGTGCCCTTCTGTTGCAGGACATGCTGGATTCCACGGAAATGGCGTGTATTTTCAACAAGGCCAATGCTGAAGAAATGCTTGACACGCTCCATCAGGGTCATGGCACACACCATCTCCGGGGTATACAGCTGATTGCTATGTAGGGAGTCGCGTAGACTGTGGATGGCCCTGCTGTACTGCCGGGTCACGAGCAGCTTCTCAGCCGGTTGCCCGCAGCGATACTGGCGCCACGCAAAGCAGAAGAGCGCCGTGCATTCTCGCAGGCAGAAATTGTGGGCGAGGCGCTGGGGGATGTACGGCAGATACCTCATCTGGCTGGCAAAGACGCTGCTGGGATCCTGCTCAAGCAGGTCGACGAGCCGACCACCCACGCGGTCGGCCGTGGTGGTGAGCCTGGGGCGAGGGACCTCGAGACGGAATGCACCGTATGAAGCGCACCCGCCACCGTAGGGTTTTAAGGGGCTCCGGTCTACCATGACCAGCGATTTGGCCTGGTCAGCCTGCTTCGTCCTGGCGGCAGACCGCACGCGCGCGCCTGGCGGTGAGCTTCGTCGGCTGCGGCCATTGTCAACGAACTTGATGAGGGCGGATGGGCCTGGACAGACTCTGTTGAGTTGTTTGCAGCGCGAGCAAGTTGGCCACTTCTTGTCGCACTGGGATGTGTAAATAAGAGTTCAGGCTCGGGTGATGCGATTGCATGCTTACTCTGATGCGCTTCTGTTTGCAGGCCTCGCAGCCGGTTGATCTGGGAGTCCCTGCCATTTAGTGATGTCTTTTCACTGCTCAGCTGCTAGAAGCATGTAGAGATCAATTCTTGGGTAATGATGAAGACAAACGATTGAATTTGATTGAATCGAGAAGATGATTGTTGTTAGAGTGGCTGTGCCGGATTTGATGCAAGAGGCATGGGGTCCCGGCATTACTCACAGTAAGGCGGCCGCAAGGCAGATACCTACAATACCACCTCCAACCAACATTTGTCGATTTTATCGAACCACTGAGCAGCTAGATGAAGAGAACAGGACCCAAAGAGGAAAGAAAAGGTCAATTATATGGGCGTTAAATGTCTTTAATATATATCGTTTGATATTACTGATTTATTGTAGCCATCGTAGAGAGTGGTCTCCTCATAACTGTTCTTCAATTTGGGGTCTCATTTCCTCTGTCACTAAGCTACCAGCCTGGGATTCATAAGGAAACTTGAAAACAGCATTGGAAGTGAAGTAGGGAAAACCGACCCCACTGAATACTCTCATTTCGGATTCCATCTCGCCACCTAATAGTTGAGGTAATCTGGTCTCTGAGAGTGGCTGCTTCTCGGGGGGTTTACAGATTTTACAATCAGGTCAATCGGGGGATAGTAATGCTGTTCGCCAATCTCAGTTGATAGACTGTTCTCGTCTTGATGTGACAAGTGGTTCATGTGAGGTGCCCCCCACCTCAACTCTTGATTTCTATCGTTCGATGTCGATGCTGTTGACGGCTCTTCAGTATCTTGGTACGGCCCTTCTATATTGACGTACTCCGAAGGATGAATCTCTTGATTTTCATAGGCGAAATAAGTAGTTGGGTCCCATTGGCTCTGATGAGACTTTTGATGGTTATCTTCGTCTGGAGCTTGATCAGAGTTTGCCATCATTGGTGAAACCCGCTTGAGAAGGTCCTTTGTGTAAGCCGCTGCCGTCATTGCAGCGTAGCCTTGCCACTCCTTGTTCTTGTGAGAATCAGCATAATCGCAGATGCCTCGGATGACAAGACACGGAAAGTTGTTCATCAGCCCGGCTGCCTCCATTTCAAAACAGAGGACATCATGCTCCTCCGCCAGCGTGTCCCGAATAATTGCATCTTTCATCAATGTGTCTCCAGATGCAATGAGGCCGTAGTGAATCGCAGGATCGTCCTCTTGCCTGCCCCGCGGCCGCCGAGGAATAAGGTAGTCTGACGAACAGCCGTCGACGCAGGCAAGCTTGCCGCCGTGGGTAAATCCACTTACATACAGCCTGTCGGAGTTCCAGGAAGGCTTCGAGTACTTTCGGCCCAACCTAGGGTTGTAGCTCAACGCGGTATCAATGAACTTGCTGAGCTTGTGACCCTTCCTCTCGTATGATGCTTCAAGGCCCGCCACAGCTGTCCGCAGAACAGTCGGCGGCTGGTTCATGAACCCCGTGTGATAGAAGCGTTGGTCCTGGACAGATTTGCCAAAATCATATTGGAAAACCCCGCTGTTGCCTCCAGAAGGGCTGCTCACCACCACATCCCCAAGACGGATGTCGTGCCGGGCACTTGGGACGCCGCCGCCGATGCCCACCATCAGCACAACCCGAATGTTTGGGAAGCTGTGTAGCATGTGGCTCATCACGGCGGCCGCGGATGATTTGCCATACTCTCCGTTGGGTAAAACAGCTATGACGACATTGTGCTTTCCCATGCATCCCAGCGTATAGTCGTTGGGGTCGTGATAAGACCGACGCGATGAGGTGTTGTGTTCCTTATCGAGAAAGGCCTGAGCGGCGACATATTCTGTCTTGATGGCGCAGATCCACCCCACTGTATAGTTTGAGGACTTCATCCTATCTCAAAACTTCTAGTAGGTGCTATATGATCATTTATCTCCCTCAGCTGGATCTTGGGGATGGACAAATATTTACGGGGAGGAGCGAGCGCTGGTCTTGTGACCAACTTGGGCTGATGGTAAGGAGGGGGCTCAGCTGAGAAGTAATGGCACACTCGGCTACAGCCGGTGCTCCTATCTTGTCTGCTTACAGAGATGACCCCTGAGGTTGTCTACCGGCGCCATTGTGCACAAAAGTGCAATATTGGGCAGGATTCATGGCTTAGCGTGTCGCCTCGCGAACATGCCTGCTCACATGACCCCTAGGCGTACCAGACCTGAGCAGCTTGTGCTTCAATTTATCCCCAGCTTATCTTATTTGCCAACGCAATGCGTAGTTTATCGAAGCATACCTATCTTTTGCTTGGTCCGATGGATTCAACAGTGGCCAAGGTAGGGGGAGGTAGCGAACCGTCGAAATGAACGAAGACGACTTGAAATAGAATGCGAGAACCGGAAACATTCAAGGAGAGCTTCAGAACCATAAGTCTGATGCTGCCAAGACTCGCATGTCAGGTAGAGGCCAGGCTCACATCAGCCCCGAGAAGTTGGCCAAGATGCTCGAGGTGTTAGGTAGATTATGTGCGGTGAATCTGGCATTGCTGAGAACAAAACCCATAATCAAGTCAAAACAGGGCAAAATGCCCTGCTAGTTGACATCCAGCGTCAATTTGCCTGGCAGTCATGATATAGATATTATCAAGTCCAGAATAGTAAATGCTATTCGCTGGCTGCAGGTCCGCTTGGAACAGAGATAAGCCTCTACTCAGAATTAGATAGGCGGAGAGTCCATAGGGATAGAAAGAACCAGAAACTGAGATTGAAGGAGAAAGTAAATATTGAGAAAGGAAGGGCGAATTAGTTATAAGGTTCTATACCTGTACAGTATATTATATAAGAGCAGAAGGCTCCTTCCAGCTGTATAGATAAGTAATTATATAAAAAAGATATTAACTATAAGCTTGTTGGAAGGCTTTTCCAGAGCGTACGCTGTAGAGTAGATAGGTTAACAAGTGATTGATTAAGTTACTATCCTAGCTACAGAAGGGAACCGGTTATAAAGCTGGTTTCAGAGCGGTCCTGACTAAGCGAACCGCTCTGCTACTGGTTTCCACCCAGTGACTGCTAGTTAGAGGTATTTAGTATACCAACAAAGCTATACTTTAATCTCCTCAGTTAGCTAGGTCTATAAACCCAGGCAAGTAGGTGATATCGGAAATGAGACACCCAATGGAAGAGTGGTTATAAAGAGACTCTCTTCCAATTTGAATTATAAAATACAGTAGTAAAAAATGAAAGATAGTGATAATATATACTATATTATCTCTGAAGTTTGTATTATTAGTACTCAATAATCTGATAATACCGGCCACAGACTTGAGAATAAGCAGCTTAATGTCCGAGTGTCTATGTTATTTCTTATGTCACCCACTTGCTAGGTTATTCATCAAATGGCAAAAGAGTTGGAGAGAAGGGCTCTTGATCCTCACGGATCAAGAAGTCGCACATCGGCTTGGTGACTATAGTAAACTCCGCCGTCCTCCTTGATGATCCGTGTAGTAGACAAGAAGCGTAGGCCGATCATCTCGTAGATCGCCCGCACGACCTGGAGGCCCATGCGGGTGCTCCATTTGGTTGTGCGTCCGACCTCCGAGACCAGGTCCGGGGTCAGCATCCACATGCGATGCCCTTGCTCAAACGCGGATCTGAAGGCTTCAAGTACATCTCCCTCCTGGAGATATGTGAACAGGCCCTTGGTGGTATACATCCGCCCGTTAGCCTCTAGCGTGTTTGTCTCGACGTCGGGGTCATACTCGGGGTAGAACAGACCCTCCAAATCACCGGCGGAACGCCAGGTATCCCACTTGAGGCCATACAAATTCCATGCAAGGGACAAGATAACGAGGACGTCCTTGGCAGTGAAATAGAGAGACGTCGCCATAAGATACTAGAAGCGCAGGGTGCTCATCTTCTGCAAGGCATGGCTTGTCGCGCTGTATGGGTTGCGTATAGTGTAGCTTTCGTCGATCACGATCGTATCGAATATATACTTTAATAGGTCACCAAGGACCCATTCATACTGTATAAGGACATGTGTAGACACAGGTCGACTGACCACCCTGTAGTTCCGGGACGCGATATCCTGCTTATAAACGCGCTTTTTATTCTTCTTCTATTCAGAGGCATCTGATAGCTTCACTGTTATGCCGTTCTCAACGATGAGCATGTCTTCGTCGGCAGGGTCATCGTGATCATCTCCTATATCGATGTCACCATCGGTGTCTGTGAATACTATAGGGTGGTACTTCTTGGTAAAGAGACATCCGTAGAACGTGCCTGGGGATGTAATGATGATTGTCCTAGCAGTGGATGTCTTATACTTGAGGCCTCCTTTTTACCTGCTTGATTTGTTCGACTAAGTTGTCAATGCTCGACTTCTCGCAGAATAATTTGCTGACGCGCACTTGGTGCTTCTGTCCCAGCCCATACGATCGCCCGATTATTTGAACTTCCAAGCCTAAATTCCACTGTGGCTCGGTCAGGAGCACATGACTTACTCCAGTCACGTTCAAGCCTGTGCCGCCAGTGCCTGACGTGAGGAGAAGGATGGATGTCACTCCTTGTGTGTTGATCTTCTCCAGCCGCCTTGCTCGTTCATTAGGCGGAACTTCGCCAGCTGCAGCATTGGCTTGGGTTCGCTGTATCGAATTCATCCCAACGCCGAGATATTTACGACCCTTTCGGACATAATATGAAATAGCCAGCCGAACCCATCTCGGTGGTTCAGCCACAAGAACGATGTTCTATTCAGGATTTTGGAGATCGCGGAGGATGTTCTTAGGTCGTGCAACGGTAATTGCACAAGCAAGTCGTTCGAAGAGGGCCTTAAGCGAACTTTCGGTCCATTCATTTGCATTGCCATTTGTCAATCCACAAACAGCTGAGATATGTTGCTCGTCAAGGAAATGGGCCACCACTAGGGAGCAGGCCCATCTGCTTCGCCATATCCAGCCAGTTATTGAACATGGGCGTCGACGTGAGAAGAAGCGCACGATGATAACGTAGTAGGTGAATAGCCTTATAGACCTTTGCCGCTGGGTTTATGGCGCAGTGACTTTCATCTAAGATGAGCACTGCAATCCTTTTGCCCAGGAGATCATAAACTGGAGAATGCAGTGGGTCAGATACCCGACCCTTGGTTCGTGGTTCATCTTCCGTGGGCTGCGATCCAGTATAGATATTGAATCGCCTGTCTGCGTAATATTCACAGTGTGCGACAACGTCCTTGTATCGGTTCATCAGGAATCGACCACTGCAGATCACGACAGCCCCCATTGAAGGGCGACTGAGCAAACCGCATGGCTTTCGTGACCCCAACACGCTGCTAACTCTTGGGTGTCGTCTTGAGTCCGTTGGATTCGGCAGGAATCGCCTCGCAGGAGGTCACGTCTCGCTGAAGAATTTTATTTAGTGACGCAGTGACGCAAAAGCCAGTGTTTTGTATAGAACTTACCAGGAGCATTTCAAATTCCTCGCTCTTGATATACTCCAGCATGTTGACCATCTTGTCGCTGACACGAATCTCATCTCCGGGTGGTGAAACGAAGCCACGCGACGATAGGGTCACTTCGGGTAGGGGAAATCTTGGCAGCTCGTCTGTCGCCTTGGGAGACCATCGAGCCGCTCGGCCAGTAGGCGGGAGGGGGAGAGGGAGGGGGAGAGGGAGGGGGAGAGGGAGGGGGGAAGGGAGGGGATGGTGGTTATTGTGGTGGTGGTTATTGTGGTGGTAGGGGAGGGAGGGGAGGGAGGGGAAAGGGGATGAGGGCGGTGGTGAGAGGCGGGGGCAGGGCACTGTTTCGAGCCCTCTTCCACGCGAACCCGACCTTCAACATCTCCTCTGTCGACGTTACGGATCGCAACAATATCAGGAAGCTGCTGTACTTTGTGAACCCAAAGCTGAACAAGTTCGCCCCCGAGCGATCTCAAGTTCAGCCACACCTACATGTGGCGTCTCTCCCATCATACTGAATCCATCGGTTGCTGCACCCTTTAAACCAGGGGCGGTGGTGAGAGGCGGAGGGGGTGAAAGTGAGGGTGAGGGTGGTGGTGATGGTGGCGAGGGGCAAGGGGAGGGCTTCTGCCTGGAACAAACATGACCGGTAGCAGTGATAGATGTTAACTCGGTAAGTTCATCATTCGCATCTTCAGGCTGGACCACCAAACCAGGCCAAAAGCAGCCATCTATCGTGAACTGGTTTATGTTGACTTTGGTGCGCAGTTTCGTAACATCGGCGATACGCCCTAGTTTTGACTCTGAAGTCACGATTCATTAATCAGCCAGCACCTGTCTCGGTTAGCATGATATTTGAAGATGGCATGGAATAATGATGCATTTCTTACGATGGAATATTTCGATAGCGTTTGATCGTAGCGATAGAGATGATGTGAATAAAGTCGTAGAGGAATTACCAGAGCACAAATCCTAGAGGTAGTTGAGGTAGGAAGTTGATGTGGGAAGGTTGGAGAAAGTGGATGTGGGGTGGTGGGAGAAAGTTGTAGAGGTTCACTTGGCATAGAGATGAGTCGCTAGTTAGAAGTGGATAGGCGGAGAGTCCATGGGATAGAAAGAATCATAGGTACGTTGGGAATGAAGGAAACCAAATACCTACCAAGAAAGGCCAGATTGAACATGACGCTTTGCACCTGCGCTGTGCACCACGTGAGAGCGGAAAGCTCCTTCCAGCTGTGTGGGCAAGCAATCAACCGGGTGACATAAAACATTGCACACACCAAATCATAGGCGTTTTCAATCCTCGGTCTAACAGCTGAATCCGATCAAGATAGTGAGTTAAATCTATAAACTAATTCTTAGAGGCCCAAATAATAAACTATTGTCTTTATTGAGGGTACATTGTATATTTATTGGTGGGTTATTAGACTATAAAGGTGAAGGGTTTAGTGAAATGGGAGATCAAAGTACCATTTGGTGTGCAATATGTTATGTCACCCACTTGGCAATCACATGAAAAAGATATTGACCCCAAGCTATGCTTTCAATCTCCGTAGTTTATTAACGAGGTCTCCCAACCCAGGTTATTTAGTTATTTACCCATGACATGGCGTGGATGGCGTCTGCTGCCGACTGCCTGCAGTGCTTGATCGCCGTTGGCTGGTGTGCGGGACTCGGCAAACACGGCCAACCAGCCATTGACGGCTTGTTTCAGACTTTCAGCCACCACGTTTGTGCAGCGTCAATTGGGTTTGGTTGGTTTGCCGCCTCTCAGCAATCAAGCAAGCAGGGCCGGGAGAGGAAAAAAAGCAATGACAGGCCAACGGGCGGCGCCATGGGAGGGGAAAAAAGAGGATCGGTCGGTTTGCCGTGCCGTGAGATGCCTCTTGGCAAGCATAGGCCTGGCTGACGCGTCCATTCCTGCTGACGACCGACAATTTTATCCGTTCCGCAGAGAGCGGTGGAAGAAGACCAGAGTTTCTCTTCGTCCTTGGTTTTGAGACCTGAAAGCCCACTCCCCGGCCAGTCTTGCTTCCCTAGCCCGGATCACCCCTCGCGGTAGGGCTGAAGCTGTGGTGTGCTCCCTTCATTCTCCTTCCTTTCTTCCTCCCGGAGCCAGATCAGATCGGCCCCACACACATCGCCTCTGATTTCAGATTCTACATTCCAATCTCTCCTTTGTCTGTTCAATTCAACGCCATTGGCCTTTGGTGAGAGCGATTCAATCATCTCGAGTCGACCTGGGCAACACGGCTTTGCTTTTGGTGCTGGTCTGGAGTACGCTTGGTCCGTGATTGGCTCCATCTGCTCGGCAAGATGATGAGGCACGGGCCCGGCACCTTGACTCCTGCCGGAGCTCCTCATCCTTGCAATGACAAGTATGTCATTGTCTATGACACGGAGAAAGTTGGTGAGTCGGTCGTAGTCCCCTATTGCTCCTCCATCGTCGGTCTCCCATACTAAGTGGATTACCCAGACAGCGAAAGGGCACAGAGAGACCTGACGACTCTGCTCACTGATTTGGAGACTGCCGGTTTATATACCGAGGTCAGGCCTGGCTATGACATGACAATACTGATTTTCGCCAAAGCCCCCAAGGAATTGCTGGGCAACGCTGTGTACAAGTCAAGGTATGTCGGTCCTTCATCTTGATTTATTCGTCTCTTTGGTCTCCTTTCATCGCTCACACAGGTATAGAGTCAAGGACTGGCTATTTGGCATCATCACTCGACATCCCGGCGGCAACAAAGACACCGTGGTCGATGGGGCGTACGAGGCTGAGGATATTCTTTCCGTCTATCACCTCGTCAGCTGGCCTAAATCTCTTGGTGGTGCTGGCATCACCCCCGAATGGGGCCAGTGGGAGCATGTCAAATCCATTTTCCCACTCCATAATGAGGCAAAGAATCAGGCTCTGTTGAAACACCTTAGCAAGCGACTGGTTTTGACCATGGAAGATCTTGATCAGATTCGGGATTTATTCGGGACCAAGGTGAATAGAAACATCTATCTCGGTAATGAAGTGTATTTGATGTAGTAACTGACATGGTCGGATTATCCATACAGGTTGCATTTTACTTTGCCTTTATTCAGACCTACCTGGTACTGCTTACATTCCCCGCCGTTACAGGCTTCATCACCTGGTTCTTAGGTGGACGATACTCACTCACCTATGCCATCACCACCTGTGTCTGGTGTACCTTCATGGTCGAATACTGGAAGATTCAACAAACGGATCTGACCATCCGGTGGGGCGTCCGGAACATCGCGAGTGCCAAAGTGAACAGGCCACAGTTCCAGTGGGAGAAGAGCTGGGTTGACGAGACTGGCAGGACGCGGTATTACTTCCCTCGATGGAAGCTGATCCTCCGCCACCTGCTGCAAATCCCATTCGTTCTTCTCGCTACAATTGCGCTTGGAGCTATCATCATCGCCGTGTTCGCGCTTGAGATTCTCATCACTGAAGGGTACCAGGGACCCTACAAGACTGCTGTGGTATGCTTCCCCTCCGCTTGCTGAATGAATGAGGAGAAACTGACAGCCAGCCAGGAGTTCCTCCCCACCATCATGCTCGCATTGGCGTTGCCGGGAATCAGCGGATTTCTTGAGTCAATTGCCGATGCCTTGACTGACTTTGAGAACCATAGAACAGCAGATACCTATGAAATGTCTCGCACACAGAAGCGATTCATCCTCAGTGGCATCACTAATTACTTGCCCATTTTGGTTACGGCCTTTGTATATGTTCCCTTTGGAGAGAGGATTATCCCCTGGCTGAGCCTCAAGACTAGGGCACTCTTGGGGCCCTTGGGGCCTAGAGTCTTCTTTGACGAGCATCAGGCCTTCAACGTCGATTCGGGCAGACTGCGCGACGAGGTCATCGCGCTCGCTTTGACGGGCCAAGTGTCCTCCTTCTTCGAGGAAAACATCATCCCCGTCGCGAAGCGAAAGTTCCAGGGCTGGTACCGCGACTACCGCGCTGCTCACTACAGCGGCAACGCCATGATCGCCGCGGCGGAGAAGGACGACCCTCTTGAAGCTGAGTTCCTGCTCACTGCAAGAAACCAGGCCACGCTGGATACCTACAACGTCCAGGATGATATCGCTGAAGTTGTGATACAGTTCGGATACCTGGCACTCTTCTCCCCCGTCTGGCCCCTTATCTCGATCGGATTCCTCATCAACAACGTCATCGAGCTGCGCACCGACTTCCTCAAGATCGTCACTGAGCAGCAGCGACCCGCACCCGTGCGTAGCGACGGCATCGGCCCGTGGATCAGCTCGCTCGACTTCCTGACCTGGGCGGGTAGCATTACGACTGGGGCCATCGTCCACCTGTTCGGCGCCAACAGTATCGCGGGGGGCGCGTGGTGGGCGCTCCCAATCACGATATTTATCAGCGAGCACATCTTCGTCGCGCTGCGGGCCATGGTGCGGTTTGTGCTGCAGCGGATGGGGTCCAGGCACATCCGCAAGGAGCGCAGCGAGAAGTACGCTATCCGGGCTAAGTACCTGGAGGAGATGGAAGCGAACAAGCAGGCTGGGGCGAGGCTGACGGTCGCGGAGAGGGATCGCAGGAAGTCGATCCGCGCTTTCGGTGGTGATTCCTTCTTCACGAAGCAGATTGAGGATGGGGCGAGCGCCCTGGTTGCTATAAGCCTGGTGCAGGCCTGTGGGAAGGATGGCCACTCGCAAGAAGGAGCGGCGGCGGATAGTAAAAAGGAGATTTGACAAGAGGGTGTGTATCAGGCCCTGGAGTGGATTGAAAGGAGACAAGCGACGGAAAAGGTCAAGTTCATAGAAGGGTAAAAGCAGGGACCCTGGTTGCTTACAACAAGCATTCTCGTAATGAAGGGACTGGGAGCAATGATGGCATAACGTACTCTAGTCTCATTGATGCACTTCAAATAACTAATACATTATGATCTTGGGCTCAGCTTGCCTGTAGCTACTGGGCCTCCCTGCCCGGGAACCAGCGAGATACAGTCCGTCTTGCAGATCCTAGGGGCTTTCCAACCTTCTTCCTGATAGATTTTGTGAGAGTGTGAAACTTTCCCTCCTTCTTTGCCCTCGCCAGTATCTGCCTCACCAGTTTGTCCCCCTGCCCCAATAGTATCTCTTGAATTATCGAAATCATTAATATGAATCTTTTTAAGAGTATCATCAAGGTTACCAAACTTCCCTCCCAGACCCTCATCATTCTCACTCAAGGGGCCTACCAGGGGAAGACTTTTAGCTCCTTCAACATCAGCCTTGTGCGAAGCGTCACCCTCGATCTTTAGAGATGCGCCATCCTATGCATCGTCTGTAGAAACTGGAGGCCATGGCCTCACTTGGAACTGGGGCAAAAGCATCTCGGGGCAGGTTGATAGCTCTTCCGGTTGCGGGGGCTCAGGGTCCAGTTCGTCGACAACTTCAGCAGCCGCGCAAAATGCCACCATCTTGAGAGCGAACCACTGAATCTCTATCATAAGCCTCGTCTGTTCCACGTCCTGTGGCTTGACTCGAATATTGGGTACATCTCCTGTAATTAGTGGGCGATGGTTCGCCAACCGGCAAAGTGATACGCCGTTGGCGCTGGCGCTGGCGGTGCGAGTCGAGTCCAAACATTTTTTGATGGCAACGGCCATCCCCTGGCGATCAATGCCAAATTTCACGGCTCGCCCCGCGTGACCTTTGGTAGGGCCTTTCTCACTGAGATAAGCCTGCTCAAGAGCTTCTGGGATTCGATTTGTGAGCCAGTGCCGTCGGAGCTTTACCTTAAGGTATTCGCCGGTGTCTGGCTCGACGCCAACCCATTCCAGAGCAAAATATCCCTTGTTCCAGAGGACATTGTTGTGGGGTCATTCGCACCTGCCATTTTTATAGCTAGGCAGCCCAATAGGCCTCCGTGGCCTCCGGCCACCAGAGAGATAACTTGACATCATCATCACCCTCAATTTTAATCCTGGTTTTGGCCAGTTCTCATCCTTTTCATCATCGCTGTGACCGTGAATAATTGGCGGGCATAAGCCAGATGATTCAGGGCCAGCATGTTCCAATCTCCCGACTGCGGGGAACGACTAGAGCTTCTGTTGCGTGCCAATATTTCTCAGAGATAAGAGGCGAGATCACGATAAGAGGGATGCTTGAATCTCTGCCTCGGTGGCTTCTGTGAAGAATCCTGCTAGAGCACGATATTCATGGGAAGATTCCTCCGAAGAGGACCGGTCTGCCATCTGGGAATGAATCCATAGCTTAATCGTTATTCCTGGTGGAAAAAAATCAAACACGGCCAGAAGAATTGTGAGGATAGAAGAAGAGAAACTCGCTAGGAAGAGGATGAGTGGAAGAGGTAAAGGAAGAAAAAGAGAATAGAGTTTAATAACAATGAAGCTGCCAGGGCCCGACAACTCAACGTAATGAATACGAAAGCTTAAAAATATAGCCTTTCCTAGTCCGCCTAAGATGTAGTTATACGGGAGGAACATTCTATGAACCTTCGTACGGATGACTCACTTGCTGTCAGGGCAGCGGCTCATCGAATGACTATTAAAGATATCCTCTTTCACCTGGCTTCCTTTGTACACTTGTCTTTAATCTAAGAACTTCAATACACCAAGCTCGAAGCCTTTCGGCGAATAACCCAGTGAGTACTACTAGCCCCTTGGCTAGAGCACTAACACTGACACATCCGCAGCCTTCGATATCATGCTAAGCAAAGAGATCTCGCCATATAATAGCTGTGAGCTCCCGTGAACCTCTGCTGGTACCTACCTAGGTGAGCAAGTGGCCAAAACAAAACATGGCACACCAAAGCCCCCATACAGCCTCAGATTTCAACACAATATCAAAACAATCAACCCAGCTATCAATATAATATTAAGCTAAATAATATACAATAGTATATTATTTTACTTTTATTATTTGGAATATTATTAATAACAGGATGAGGTCTCCAGCTTATATGAAAAGAGCTTTGGTGTGCCATGTTTTATTTCAGCTACTTGGTGAGGTAGGTAAGGTATTTGTTGTTATTGTTGCTCTGCTGCTGCCTGAGGCATCTGCACGCGTTTGCAATTTGCTCTCTTGCGTGAAGCTCGCTTTTTTCTCTCTTCTCTTTCCTATTGCGTGCTTCTACATACTCAAATCGCCCATTGTCCAGCACAATCTCACAGGAGTTCTACCCACTCATGTTTGTTCCTAATATCCCGTGAAGCTGAGCATATTTGGCAAGCATGCCATGTTTTCTTCTCCATATCTTCATTTATGTTTTTTAATCTTGTATTCGCTCGCTAGAACAAACCCCTGCTCAATTCGTTCACCCGTCCACGCCACACAAACCATTTATAACTAATACGGATCCAAGTGTCTCGACCCGTCGTTGGGTCTAAGATTACGATTGCAAATCAGTGCTCATGACTCCTATAAAGGAAACCGAGGCTTCTTGGCGCAGACTTCCAGCAGATATATGGCTCAAGATCTTGGGGCTCCTGCTTGATGACGATACCAGTTGCGCCGGAGCTGCTGCCGTGTCGCGACAGTGGCAGGCGGTCATCGAGCCACGCACTTTCGCCAGAATCAAAATAACGCCCGCACGGCTTGCTGATTTTAATTCAATGACTTACCGAAATCGGCATCTCGTGAGATATTTGTGGCTTTGCCTGGAACTTGAGGAGTACCCCCCTCTCTTTGGTAGACTCACGAATGCCGATAATCATCTAATCGCTACGTCTTTTTGGACGCTCTTCGAAAATTTAAGTTCTTGGGATCCGCATGGAAAATTGACACTTGATATTAGTATACATTCGCCCTCTGACGCGAATAGTGAATTCGATTATCTGACTTTCGAATCTGATATCCCTGTCTGCGAAATAGACCACGACAAGTGGGCAGGAAAAGAAATACAGCGTCGGCATGTGATGCGTGGTGGTGTCATCCCTCAACATTTTGGCGGCCTCATGAGCAAGCTTCCAGGTTACGGACGTCTAGCAAAAGAGCAAGCCTTGAAACAATTCAACTCTGCGCAGGGATTTGGGATGACAGAATATGAAGATCACCTGATGAGCAGCATGATCAGCATTAATGAAGCAAATGCGCGGGACCCGGATAATCTGCTTGAGCCGGGTCTTGTCATATGGCAGAGATTGCCAACCGTACCAGTGGTTACCAGTTTGCTTCTTCGTCAACAAACCCGCCGAATATGGCCTTCGAAGCAACTTTTAGAGCTATTTTCGCGGCTTCCAAGGATCTAGGAGATTCACTATGAATCGTGGAGAGAATGGACGAAGTACTCCCAAGACCATCGGGACGGCCGTATGTCAATTTGCCCTTGGACTTTTGTACGGACATGAACTGACCTATTCCATGCGTCTTAGGATACAAGGATCTCGTCCAATCCCTCCCATCCACTCTGAAGAACTTGGTGCTGTTTGAGAATTTCAATCAACATTATGCAGCTATTCTGCGCGACTGCCCGCCTGTTCGAGCCCCAAGTCTCAATCTCAGCCAGGCGATAGCCCAAGCCAGTCTCAACCTCGAGTGTCTGTCGGCGTCGTATTTAGCTGATGCTAGCTTCTTTTTTGATGCTTGCGACCCTTCCATGATGTGGCCTAATCTGAGGTCCATGGCGCTTACTTCCCAGTTGCTGAGGCCCGAAACAAGTAAAAGGACAATAAACGCGCTTCTCCAGAAAGCCGCAACGGCAGTTTTAGGGATGCCGAAACTCGAGACCTTGGAGATCTGGAACGGACGAAAGGGCGTGGCGGCTCTCTTGAGATATCAACCCTCGCGCGCCACTCTCACATGGAAAGCTACATGGGAGCTTGACATATCGAGTTCTGTAATCCAAGCTTTTGAAAAGATCGGACCAACTCACTGTGTTGGAAAGTGTGACGTTGTCAAGGAACTGCTGGATGTTGGTCTTATTGATTCTCATGGTGATGCGATCAATGTTCTAAAGCACGTCTGCACGGTACTTCGGCCTATTTCACTGCAGCAGATCCTAACCGAGGAGAAATTTCTCCAGTCTACAACCTGAAGAGTGTATTGCAATCCAAGCGTCATGCAGAAAAGTCCGGAAAACGTCTGGGCCTGGTGTTATTTGGCTTGATCGTTTGCCTCTATAGTGGAGGAAACTTTTTTTTTTCTCCGTGTTTTATTGCGTAAACACACGGAGCCTGGATGCGTTGAAGGAGCGCGCGATATTTGCTCCTGGATTCTATTGATTTTGATCTCTTGGAACTTCGAGTGGGATCAAGTTGACCTAACTTTTGTGTTCTCTCTGTTTGCTGTCCAGCCTTTTTCTGCAACGAGATAGTTAAATCAACACAGTTCTTTTCATTGATCGTTTAAATACTGAGACTGCAGCGGACAAACTTTTGTCGGCTTTATTCTCGCTCAGATGTTGACTATTCTTCTTGTCATTTGAGGGTGGGTGTTGTACATGAGCCCCCGCGGATCACTACTAGATTAACACATAATGTGAAGACAACCCAACTGGTTGCTAGCCGTATTAGAATCATACGAAGCGCTGCGACTGATTTTAAAAGCCATATTTATTACTTTAGTGGTATATTCTCGGGTATCTTATATTCATCATCCCCCCGGTGTACGTGTACACCGCCACCACAACATCCAAAACACACTCTTCAGGAATTCATATCAACCACCCACAACTCAAATGCCTGAAATTCTGGCTCCCAAAGACTACTATCCCAGTTGAAAAGTATGGGAGAACATGCTTGCTACTTGGTAAAGACGTTCATCTCTCAAGCCTTGGCTTGCTCGGCATGGCTGGCAGTCTTCTTAGCACTGGCGGCAACGGACTCGAACTGGTACAGAGGAGGGCAGACGGCATCCTTGTCCCAGAAGCGACCGAGGAGAATCCAGCGCTTGAACCAGAATGGGAAGGCTGTGAAGGCCTGGTAGCGGGCGAACTTCCCAACGGGGACGGCGAAAACCCAGTCGAGTTCCTCGAGAGTGCGCTGCATCGTCTCGGGAACCCAGAAGAAGATCATTACCAGGGCTACGATATTCAAACTTTCAGATCTCTGTTAGTTGCTATATTTGTCTGGGGACTTTATCTCATCAACTTACCCAGCATACATGCCGAAGGCACCCACCGCGTGGGCACGGTCGAGGAGGAAAGGGAAAGTAATCGACAAAACGGCGGCCCAGAACAGACAGGTAGCGACGGCGAAAGACATGCCGACCTCACGGTGAGAGAGGGGGAAAACCTCAGCGGAGTATGTGAAAGGAACCGGACCTTCACCGGGGGAGTAGAATGCGCCAAAGAGGTACACGAACAGGCAGATGAGACCGATTCTCATGTCCTTGTTGGCCTCGGTGTTGGGGATCAGAGTGCAGAGACCAGCGGCAAGCAGGGTCCAGAACATCTGAGGGAATGTGAAGAGGAGCAGACTTCGGCGGCCAAAGGTGTCGATGGTCCAGAAGGCGGGGAAGCAGAAGAGCCAGTTGACCATACCGAAACCGAAGGATCCGACGGTGGCGATGAAGGCGGACATGCCAGACTCACGGAAAATGGTAGTGGAATAGAAGGCGATGATGTTGATTCCGCACATTTGCTGGGCAAGCATGACGGTGAAGGCGGCGAGGGTGGCGCGGCGGACACGGGGGATGGTGAGCAGCTGGCCGAAGCGCTGAGCGTAGTTGGTCTCCCCAATGATGTTGTTCTCGATCTCGAGCTGGGCGCTGATGTAGTAAATGTCACGAGCGACCTGAATCTCGTTGAATCGGAGCTTGTTCATGGATTTCCAGGCATCTTGGTAGCGGCCCTTCTTCATGTACCAACGAGGGGATTCAGGGCAGAAGTAGATGAGGACGAGAAGAGGAACCGCGGGAAGGAAAGGCTAGACATTCAATTAGCTCTTGTTTTTTTAATTGATATAAAATATGCTTACAGCGCCAAGCATGTATCGCCACTGATTTTTAACGTAGAAGATGGCCAAGTTGAAGGCGGTTCCTGTGAATCACCACGATTAGCAACAGAACAACGCAAGAAGATAGAGGCTTAAATACCAAGCATGATGCCAAAGGCGGTCCACATCTCTGTAGGCTTTTGTTAGTACATTTATCGCAATATTTTGATGCAGAATGAGCGAGTGTTCACTTACGCCACGACATGACCAAAGCGCCACGAATCGAAGCGGGAGAGTTCTCAGCGGCGTAGATGGGCACAGTAGAGGCCTTAACACCCATTCCAATACCCATCAGCAGACGGCAGGCTAGCTGTTGTCCCCATGTCTCGCAGAAAGCAGAGCCAATGACGGGCCAGATGCAGAAGTGAGCAGAGAAGAAGATGACACCACGACGACCGAAGACATTGTTGATAGGATCAGACAGCCAGCAACCAATGAAACTAACGCGAGAAAAGTCAGAAACAAGAACTTAATCATATACAGATTGTGTTGCGATGGTCGACTTACGCAGAACCGATATAAGGACCAGCATTGACAATACCAACGAGGATACGAGAGCGGACAGAGTCATCGCCGATGCCGTAGTATTCGGGGAAGAAGATGTTAGCACCGTTGGAACCAGTCTGGTCCCAACCCTGGACAGCAGCTCCGATTGAGCAGGTAGCGATGGTGAGGAACAGGCGGGCAGGCATGCGCCACTTGTGGGTGACCTCCTGCTCAAGGACCTCGAGCTCGGCCGGCTCAAGCTTGAACTCGCCGTCAATCTCAGCAGCTCCAGCAGGGTTCTGGGCGACGAGAGCACCTTTCTTCAGAACGTGGACGTGCTCAGTGAGGCCCCGGTACTCGGCGAAGGCCTCGACATCGCGCATGAGCTGGTCGTGGGGGATTCCTGCGAGGGGGTTGCGGATCTTGGCCTCGAGGTTCTCGCTCATCTCGACCCGTTCTTCGGCCGTGACATGCTTCTCCAGATGGGTGCCCGTCTGGCCCTTTGAGTCGCCCTCACTGATGGTTTCAGGTCAGCCATGCCTGGAATGCCTATATACTGGATCATGACTTACATGCTACTCATCTTGGGCAGGTTGGCTCAAGTCAATGGGTCTATGTAAGGGGTCAAAGTAATAAGTGAGCTCTCTTATACCAATTCCTGTTGTCGGTCTCACAAGCTCCTTCGAGTTGTAAGGCCAGGCACTTCAGGTGATGAAGAGGTTAGAGGAGATGAGGAGGACAGCGTTTCATTCAAAGCGGGAGGAACGATGGCTATTTGAGCAAATCCGGAGGATGGGCATCCCCAGGAAATGATCGTTGCTTTCCCACAGACGACGTTGCTCTGGGCCTCCATGTCGTCCAGGCCACCCCACAGTCTCTTCCCCAAGGCCGGGGCCGGTTTAGCTCAACCTGGGAGTGTGGGAAAGACGAGAGGGATGCCAAGAGGGCCAACTCTTGGCTCAAGTTCCTGACACGAGCCAGGATCCGGTCATTTCACGAACGCAACTACCAATGAGGTTGTTCGCCTCCGCTACTCTGTCTACCCAATCCATGTCGTCAATCCCAGTATCTTAAGCCATTGTAGCGCGCCACCAGCGGGTTAGCTAAAAAAGACCGAGAGAGTGCCGTTTCTAGATGTATACGTGCACACCCTGTTTGCGTCTCTGCCACTGAGATGTAAGACATACGAGGAGGGTGTCCTTGACGGGAGACTTCATACACGCCACACATTGGGTTCACTACGAGAGCCGACGAAAACCAAAAACCAGAATTTACTGTTGCATTCCCATATAGCTCTCATTCCATTCCCCACACTCAACTCTATCCCCAGTTTACAGGCCTCCTGGCATTGAACCGGTAGCCGTTGTACATCAGGTGAGGCTCCAATTCCACGTTGTCCCGTACGCTGGTCCGCTCAGCGGCGATGCTGACATCACGTCCAGGCGGCCTCTCTGACTGTCTTACAGAAGATCTACCTCTAAGTACACTCCGGGCGACAATGGTATCGGGCGGAAAGCCATTGGATCCAGGCGGCATCGAGCGGAGAACAATTGGATCCAAGCGGCCTCCAAAATTCGGGCATGCTATGCTACACAGCCAAGTTGATCGCTTCCTATGTAGTACCTAGTCATGGCACTCATGCACGTGAGCCGTTCCATCGCATGCTTGGGCTCTACCCAGAAGCAGACAGACCGGGAGGCCGCCATGTGGTTGGCTCAAGGACCCATTGGAGACCTCTTTGGATAGGTACATGGTACGTACCGCGTGATAAGCAGGGCATGGCTTCGTCCAGGCAACAGAATTTCGAGACATCTGACTGGCTGCTTTGGAATGTCATGGCCGGAGCCGGAAACATGGCCAGGGACCCCCGCGTTGCCGAAAGTAAGAGTAGCGGCAAGCTCTGACCTCTTCCGTGGAGTTGGAGGTAGTCAGAGACGGCTTCGAGCAACGAATCTTTCACATTAGATAGAATGAAGTAGTTGCAGATGTAGAGAGACTCGGGTCTGGTAGGAGATTAATTCATCAGGACGCTGTCTTGTGGCGCCGGTTATTTGCATCCAGCTTCCATGTGCCCATCCTTATTTGCGTTTCAGGGCACTTGGTGATGATCGGCGCTCCGAATTGCCTTATTAAAATATGCATATGGGTTAATCTCACGTTTATCTCTCTTAAAGCCCTTGTCCAGTGGCGGGTAGCAACCGCAACACTCCAGGGCCCCTACCTCACTCCCTCGCAGTCTCAATTCATGTTCGTACCACTCACCAATGCGCCCGTCTGCATAGTAGTGTCTTGAAAAATTCTCACATTAGCTGCATCCTTTGGCTCTCTTTTCTGCTTAGTGTGTACATGTGAGGATCCTAAAGAACGGGCCAGCTGATGGTCAATAGACATGACGGCATTGTATGGTCGGCCGCAGGTGTTCTAATCAGATTACCGCGAGGATCGAGCGCGCGCCTCCACATCGCCTCAGCTACCATCTGAAAGGTTTATCCTGCTGCCTGGCCTAGCGCAGTGTGCCACGGGCGTGTGGCTATCATCGAAAACGGATTGCAACCCGTTGTTGGCTGCGGGGATCCCATCAGCGGTGTTGGGTGATGCACCTCGAGGCGGAGAGGAGGCTGATTCTAAAACTCGCGACCGCCCACGAAAGCAATGCCAACTGCCAAGCCTTGTGGCTGGCGGGACGAGACATCTCCTGGGCCTGGGCCGATTTTGGGAGGATTTTTTGCATCCTTCGGATTTGGTGCAATGCCCATGTCGTCATCTTGCATTGGCAAAGTGCTCCTCACCTCCAACACCAAGACTTCTGATGTTGCTGTAACCCATTGAGAGTGGATTGGCCCCTGCAACGGGCATGGGTCCATACCGTTGTCGTTCAAGGTTCGTGCAAATGGTCAACTGACCGGTGTACCGAAGGCTATCTGGCCAGCTGCCATTGGTGAGATGCAAATAAGCTTCTTTTTTCCCTGGTGTGATAGCCGGTTGCGGGTGCATGTCGAATGCGACGATGGTGTGCCAGCTGGTAGTTCCCACCACCCCGAGCGGAGGGCATTGTTCCCAGTGGTTGGGCGGTGACATCAATGGCAGCTGTGGGGAGCTTGGAGGCGGTCTGTCCAGCACTTCGCTCGTTGTTCCAGGCTAGAAAATGGGGGGTTTTGAATCTGGGGATGGTGATCGTTCCGCCTTGGGCTTAATGCGGCGCAACTCAAGTTCCCCCAGCGGCCGCTAGCGAGTCTTGGGTCGCTATTGAAAGGAATTGGCGGCCGACAAGCCGCTGTGTGCGCTGAAATAAGGTTGTGGTGCTACAGTGCTGTTGCCCAGCGTGACCAGGTCGTAAGGAAAGTGCAATTGAGGAGGCAGGTCAAGGCCAATGAGGTCATAAAATTCACATGTTTACGGGTCTCGCCCATTTGCCATTAACGGAGGAAGGAACAACCACCGCTGTACCTAACTGCACTGGGCTAGTTCCCTCCAAGGGCAAAAATGCCGTGGCGATACACTAAAACCCGGCAAATCCAGAATGGAGCGAGTCAGGGGACATCTCCAACTTGCAAACAGCTGCCGCCATTTCCATCCTCCCACGGACAGACGTCTCTTCTCAAGGACAGGGACCTCCGCCAATGGATTCAATCTTGGCAATGGCCCCGCTGTTCGGGATATTAGTGAATGACAGTGCCGCTAGTACGTAACACCAACCTGCTACTGCACGGAAGCCAAGAAGAACCAAGAGAATCAATTTTTATTCTGTTGCCTGGAGGCGGCTTGATTCAGCCCCAAGAGCTCGTCCCCATCGATTTGACATGAAAGAAATGCCACTCGCCAGTAGTCAAAGCGATCGAGAAGGGACAGCCGAAATCGGCATTGGGAGTTTATGCCCTTAGGTCTGGGGGTAGCAGAAGGAGAGGATGGACATCCTATTTTACGGTTCGTCGATTCATTCAATCCCATTGTACAAGACCGGTAATGATGACCCTATAGGCAGGGCCATTCTTCCTCCCCCCAGTGAAGGATTCTCCATCCCAGACACAATCGATTAACAAATGGCTTGGCCAGACGCGATCCTGGCAGAGCCTGGACGGGCAAACTCGGGCCAAACGCCCTTTGCTGATATGTTCATTAGCAAACCATCTCAGTATGCAGGCCAAGCAATATCATGCCCAAGGGGAAACCACCAAAAATAAGCTCATCTAGGCAACCGAATTCTCTAGCAAACCAGTGGCGCCAAGCTTCCATGCCCCCGTCGCTAGCGGTTGCTCTCACACAAGACTACCCACATGGATTATCAGATTTTGCGCCGGGCGTTCATCCATGAGCGGCTCATGCGAGTGGGTTCGTGATGGAACGATTATAATAGTTTCAGAGTGTAGGCCACACTAAGCGTGAGCTCAACTTCCTGAGGCTAGGTTGTAAAGTATCCCGAATGGAATATGTTTGCCACAACCATTGTTCAATAGTCAAGATACGCAGAGCGAAGAGATAGTCGAGGCGGCCCCCTGTCGGCCAGTTACTTTTAAGGCCCCTCAGCACCAACTTAACTCAGTGCTCACAATGCTCGAAGATTCATTTCTGACTTTCATAGCATCGGTGACGCTGAGAAAGAGCCTCACACTAGCCGCCCTGACACTCTCAGAGCTTGTCTAGCTCCCAGGCAGCCACTTTTGAGCCAATGGCGTTCCCCAGATGCCCAATGGGGAAGAAGGGTGTGTTGATATTCTCCGCTGCGAGAACCGTCTGGCTACCGCTCTAGACCTGATCGTGCATGGAGCTATTAGCCACCAGGTGAAGCATCTATCTGGGGCCCCTCCTATGCACTTTCTGCAGGAGAGAGTTCGAAGTTGGGCATCTATTGATCGCTAGTTGCTTTGCTCATCTCCGACGCTGATACCATTCACCTGATCTGGCAAGGTACTGTGTAGTCGTGTTGCCCCTAGGCGACTTCGATTTCTTTGGAGCTTCGTTTGGGACTCTGGTCCAACACTTGCCCCTTGTCAGCCAGGATGCTTGTTGTTTTCTCCATGGAACCAGTTTTCTCAGCTTGCAAATCTCCGCATTCAATTCCTTCACATCCAAATCCCTGTTACTCAACATTGCGGTCCTCTAGTGCAGCCCCAGGGATTGAAGAGCTGTCTCTGTTGATGAAGTTATGTACTTGATTTATTTGAAGTATACCGAAATGATCGCCTTTGAGTGCCCATGGTATTCCGCATTTGATCTTTTTATTCTCTGGCAATCCAAAACCCATGTATTCGGTCTGCTTTCATACCGTTGATACCGTTCCACATCAGCTTACATAGAGTGTTGCATTTCTTCAGCCGATGTTTTCAAATCCAATCAATATTTGATCCCTCTGATCTGTCATTGCACACATCTCTCATTGATCCGGTGTCTGACCAATGGCTAGATGAGAGCTCACTTTCTCCTCGACGCATCACTCTCCTATGCAGAAGATCGTTGAGTTGCTTGTCGATCGATTTTAAAACAGCTATCTCTTCCTCCCCGTCGCCCGTTGTCCGATACCGTTCCCGATTAAGATCGACCTCGGTGGCTACTTGCTGGATTCTGGAAAGCAGAAACCGACTGTAGTTGGCCATTCGATTGCGCTTCTCCACGCTTGGCTTGGGATTCGGATGGCCTGATCGTCTTAACGCGGCTCTCGATTCTCCATGCCGAGAGCTCGAAGACGTGCGCTGCCCGTCATACCGTGCCATGGCATTGGTCGGTGTCTGGGAACTCTGTGACTGGAAGGCCATCTGATCAATTCTTGGCACATCGCTTTCCTCACCCGACTTGGTGTCCGCTGACCATCTGGATACATGTCGAGCTGTACCATGAGCGCTCTCCGAATGATCGGGATCGTTTGATGCAGCCCTTGACTGGCAAGGTGACTGCCAAGCTGTTGTTTCTTGCCTGCTGGATCCATGCGCATCGGCTTGACGAGATACGTTTTCACTTGAAGTAGTAGAGGGAACCGGAGTGCTCCCTCCACTCTCCCCAGAGTACTGCAACCCATGGGTGCTTCCTCTTGCACGTTGAGGCAGGCTATACGAAGCAGGTGTCCAAGGTGAGCCAAGAGTAATTCGAGGCTGGGGCGAAGCCTCCTGCTCCGTGCTTTGGAAACGAGGCCCTGGTGACTCCGAAGGAACGGCGAACACGTTCTCCCATTTTTTGTTCGATTCTCGGACTTCGCTTGTATCTCTTTCTATTGAGTTAACAACAGCGGGAGGGGTGTTTACTCTAGAATTGGCCATGGCTTCCAGTAGCGGCTCAGATCGGAGTGGCAATTATTACCAGAGTAATGAAGATAAAAGTGAATTCAGTGCAAGCAAAGGTCAATTCTGGGAATGTGTGATGAATTTATATCAAGCTACCAGCAACCAAAGTGTCAGAGTCTGCATTCCATCTCTTTCATGAGTATGAGTGAGAAGAATGAATCTTCTTCGGGGACATTCTGGGTTTGTTATCCAAATTGGCGCAGCGCAGGAGAATTTCTATCATTGTAAGCTTCCGTTTAAATCTCCGCGCAAGATTATGGCGCTGAGTTTACATACTGGGTGCATTGTTGTTGGGCCTTTGTCTGCTCTGGATCTGGAGGGTTGTAGACTGGCCTGTCGCCCGTGTCTGACGGACGCTCTTTGTCTTTTTCCATTGGCGCTCAAGATGTCAAAGCTGCAACGAGGAAGGAGGACATGTGGGCGTGCCTTCCTCGATAGACCGGATCGACCCATTTCCCACTTTCCCTCGACAGACCGGATTGATTCATCTCCCATCATCGATATATTCATCTTCATCTTCGGGTCTGTGAAAATCTGTTCTTCTGCTTTTAGAGTATAGCTTCTATAGTCCAGAAAAGACTATACAACCCTGGCTGGGCACAGGTCCCTTCAAGGCAAGAAGAGAAAGAGCAAGGTATCCAAGCCTGCTGCTCCCGTCGCTCCCCAAAACGCGATAGCATTTTACTTTCATCCCGTCCCACCCGCACCTACGCCGACTCTGCCCGACTTAGTCGCATCTAACGACCCCTCATCAAGTTCGTCTTCAACACTTGCATCTACAATTGTGCCTGGTCACGACAAATGTCGCTGATTTACTTACCAGGTAGATCCTGTCGGCTGGGCACTGATAATTTAATGCCGGTTGATTCGTTTCTTCTCATTTTAAGATGTAGTAATATGAAGTTTCAGCTGTTCAACCAGTCCAGGGGATTTGTTCATAAGACAAAACAAGTAGTCTTTAGCTGCAGCTCCCAGAGTACAAGCATAGAAAGTTTCAACGAGGCCAATCACTGTGTAGCTTGCTTCTGTCTTGGCATTAGACTTCGTAGCTATTATTACTAGCCCTCAGAGTGGCCCTGGTGACCTAACACCTAAAAGTTTTGCTACTATATGGCAGTTTTCATACAAACCAGCAAACCGGAAGGAGAAGGTTCTCTCCCTCCTCACTGTGTTAAACCTGGTCTCTCACCGCCTTCAGGTGGTAATTGGAGAAATTATAAGTCCGCCTCCACTGAGCTACTTCATTGATTATGTACACTCTATTATCAACAAGAAAATCATTCCTACTACCGCCAGCTCAACGCGAGTTTGACACAACCCAGAACTCTTGCCTCTTCATCGAGAGATACCTGCGCTCATCAATACTTTCAAATTTAAATCACGAAGTCTTTCCCATCTACGCATCATCAAATCTCATGCAAATGGTATCCGGGATTGAGACTTTAGGTCCGGAGGTGCTAAGAAAAATCGCCACATTATGTGATAAAGAAACGCTCGGCGCCTTTGCTTCCACATCTTCTCGCATCAGGCTCCCACTGATAGACATGATTCATAAGGTTGTCAGATTTTGGGGTTCGCAAGAGTCTGTCTCACAGAAACTCGGAGATTTTCTTTGCGCCCTGAGAACTCCCACTCGCATCATGCCATTTAGTACCGTCCGGTAAGATTATACGTACTCATATTAAGTCTGCGACATAGCTAATCTTGGTAGATCTATGTCTTTCGTGATCTATCCTGATCGACAAGAACAACCGTGGGAGACAACATTCTCAGACCCCTTGCCGGTTGCTACCTACCTACCCATACAAATATTTGATTCCATACGGGCCATGTGCAATCTCCGGTCAATGAGACTCCAGGTAGACTGGTTTGGCGAACGCCAAGAAAGCTTTTTTTATGGGTTGTTGCAAAACGTAGAAATCCCCGCTGAATATATACGAATCTCTGCCTCGGATCGTGTCATGAGGCGAGTCCTTGAGAAGAGTCCTCAGCTTCAGGCACTTCATCTCCCAGAAACTACCGACATAACTCAGTTTGAGCCTGTCATCGGAAGACTCAGACGATTATGCGCAGCTGTAGGCCGTGTGCAATCTGGTGGCCCTATCCAATTTCCGGCAATCAACGAGGTAAATCTGAAAAAGATTGCGGAACGGTATCAGAGTCTTGAGGAGCTTGTCCTCTCTATATGTCCTAGCTCACATGAGTATGAAACACTTGACAGGGAAGCCGTGGCGTCCGCCTTCGTAAGTGCCGAGTCGCCCAACTTGTCGAATCTGAGACGCGGGCAGGCTGACCATACACTGAAACTTTTAGGAAAAAGACTTCGCCAAGGCCATCAGAATCTTCAAGAGAATGCCGGGTTTGAAGCGTCTTGCCATTTGTATTGAACTGGAGGCGGCTCACAGTTTTGGTTTCACCTATGCGGAGGAGGATCGATTCTACACAGACCGTCTTCTCCGGCTGTCGACTTGCCTGCCCCGCCTCGTTCAAATTAGCATCACCAACGGCGTGGATCAATACTGGACGGTTACCAGGGCATCCCCTGGCGAAATGACAATCGGTCGAGGGATTTGGGGTTACAAAGAGGCGGGGTTTCCACACTCAGTCAACGAAGGCTTCTAAGGCTTCTATTGAAGACGTGTTGGTCGTCGGCTGAGCTGGCAACCGATCCCAATGGGCCCTGTTTCTCCGATGATTAGCTTGACTCTGAATGGTGAGGCAAGTCCACAAGATCTTTTATTGGTGTGCTTTATGGCATGCGTATGCAGCTACAGGCTTTGTTTCTCAGTTCAGAATGGCATCTGAAGACTAGAGTCAAGAGGTTAGATCACGACTTTGGGTATGGCATCTTCCGGTATCGATCACGAGCCGGGCTCATTCAATGCAAGGGAGTAAATGTGTTCTTGACCCGAGGATGGTTAATGGATTGAATTTTAGGCAATGGGAGGCTAATAAAAGGGGAGATCAGTAAAGAATTACATGGTTTTACAACGAAATTATCTACGTTCGCTTCGAGAATTGAAACTTAACTACCGCATCCGATCGCTACTGTTGTAACACCCTTTGTCCTCTTCTGCGTAACCTCGCCATTCTAGCTCCTCAACTCAAATAGCTTGAAATGGATTGTCTTTGTAGAAGGAGGAAGGGCGGTAAATCAATCACATGTCTCCGATACGTACGTCAATTGCGCAAATCACGGCAATGCTGAGCCAAGCAGACTCCCATCCCAATGTGGGCTCTCACTGTAATTCAAGTCGTTTATTCCTCACAAAAGCTATCGTAGGAACATCTCCTACTAGTATGAAGCAAACCCGCACATGCCAGTGCCGCTTTCTCCCGGTGATGCTGCGCTAACATGCCGTACCAAACTCCGTACAAGCACCAAGACTCGACTTGATGCCGCTCACGCCATTTTTATGCTCCAAAACATGAAATGAGGAAATCAAAATCAAGCATCAAACCACCTTAAAACACCCCCGAAACGAGAAAAAAGAACACTGCTTCAAGCTTCCAAGGCATGTCACAATGCCAGGTCCAACATCCCCTCCCCAATCAGTTCTTGCAGAACCAAAGGCAGACAACCGGCTTCTCACCGTCACGGCCGGAGCGCGTCTTGTCCCACCCGACGTCCTTGATTGTCTTCTTCAGCATGTCCTTGTCGGCGCCGCTGAACGAGATGCCCTTGTACCACTTGCCGTTCCCGCCGGCGACGACCTCCACGCACCGGTTCTTCTTGGGCACCTCGTTGGTGCAGCCGAAGCCCTTGAGCAGCTCGCTGAGCAGCGTGTTGCAGGGTATGTGCGCCGCCTTGAAGCTGACGGAGGCGTTGGCGGGCAGCTGCCATGGGGGCGTCTCCGAGTAGAAGATGTGGCACTTGGTGGTCTCCGCGGGGAAGAAGAAGTTGTAGCCCGGCTCGCAGCCGACTCCTCCGGTCGAGTTGGTCATCTGCGCTGCCGGCATGTGCGGATCGATGTTGGGGTAGGCGTGGGGTGGCCGCCAAACACCGGCATACTGGACAGCAGGAGTGAGGCTGCCCACGCCTCCATAGGTCCAGACGTTGCTGAATACCGCCTGCCCGGGGCCAGCCCCCATGTGCGGGATATATGCCTCGCCATTGACGGCTACTGGCGCACCGAAGGGGGCCAGAGGAGGTCGCTGGCCTGAGCCCATTGCGTCGCGGCCAGTCATGGGATTCCAGCCGCCAGACATGGTGTCAGCTGTAGACTTGAAGAAGTGAGAGTAGACAAAAGGCCGGCTCAAGGGACTTGAGACGGTGGCTATTCGGCCTGCCAGGTATGAACCCAACGGCCTAAAGTGTGATCAAAAGATGCCAGCCAGTGACCAGGGGCTGGGCCGTAAGAGGTGGGATTCCAGTAACCCCAACTGCCAGTCAAAGCAAGGTTTTGGGGGTTTGGAGGAGAGGCCCAAATCTGGGGTGGATGAAAGGAGGCAGTTGAAGGTCCGGACTGGCTATTAATCCTTGGAGCTGAGTATCGAGCTGGTTCTGCGATGGCGATGGTCGGTGCCTCGAATTCGGACGTAGAATCCTCTGTGTAGAAGTCAGTGCTTAGGTTCATGGCCATCACATGAAGGGTAAAGTACATTCCATCCTCTGGCCCTCAAGTGAAAGAACAGGGGTAGAAGTACAATCCCCCAGGTAAATTGGCAGACTCACCCGATGACGACTCCCACTCGCTCTCTCCCTCGCTAGAGTCGTCGGACTCAAGCTGAATGTCAAGATGCGCGACAAAGAGCTCAGTGCTCCAGATCGTATTCTCGTGCTGGTCAAAAAAGGCACCAACTACGATCAACGCCCAAAATGGGGGATCAGAAGAAGCCTCGAGATATTGAGTGATGACAAGTTTTGTGGCTGGATAAGGAAGAAAGTCCCCGTCAACTTCAACAATGCGGTGATCTGCTGATGATGACCTGGATGACATGAAAGAAAATCCTAAGAATAAAAGTAGAGATATAAAGACAATGGGTAGAAGCTGTTGAGATAGTGAGTTGAAAGGGCAATGTCCTGTGATAGGACTCAACCCATTGTTCTCATCTTTATAGTTGAAGCGACGCCTTGATTCACTGTCAATATGAAATCGGATGACCCATGGTGTGTTGTTGGAAAGGTTCACAGCCATGTTCAAGCTTGCGCCCATCGTTGCCACCCCTCTGGCAGTGACCAGATACTGGTCTCGATAACCTCGCAAATCCGAAATTTGAACAGCCACTTCTACCATTCGCCATAAAAAGCGGCAAGGCAGACCATGTTCGATGCAATTTGGTTGCCACAAGGGCTCATTGCGATAATAGCAAACCAATCCCCGTGCTCAGACTTCAGACGACCGTCTGTGAATCACGTACGCTGAAGTCCCAGCATCGCACACGACCCGACACAGCAGGAGGCATAATGCAGGCGTCCGTCGAGTCAGAGATGGTTTTGGGTGGGACTGTCGAAACGGAAAACTTTGCTTTATCTCACGCCCCATGTGTCAACCATGGCCCATTTCACGTTTATTCATCATCGTCACTGTCGTCGGCGACGACCCGCACCCCGCCAGTCATCTTGATTGAGTCCATGTTGCCAGTCATAGCCCCAGACTTGGAGCTACCCACTGGAGCAGTGATACCGGAGGCGTCCTTTCCAGATTGCTTCAGCCTCGCAACTTCGCCCACGAGGCCCTTGAGGTAGACCTCGGCCTGGACAGTGGCACTGTACGCCGCCGGAGTCCAATTCCACACGTTGCGCCGCTCAACGTCCGCGCCCGCCGCCAGCAGCGTGCGCAAGACGAGCAGGTTCCCGTTCCCGCTTGCAAGGTGCAGTGCGGTGTTCCCCTCGATGTCTGCTCGATGGACGGCCTCGGCTGCGCCGCCGGGCACATATGTGAGGAGGAGCTGGAGAACGGTGTCGTGGCCGCCAGCGCTGGCCTCCATGATGGGGTCACGGCCCTTGTTATCTCGGCGGAGTATGCAGGAGCTATCGTTTTCGCATATCAGATGGACGACTTCGGTGTGGCCAGCTTTGGCGGCGAGCAGGAGGGCGCTCTGGTTGAGCTCGTTGAGCGCGGGGCAGGGTTTCTCGTGGCCGGCTTCGATCAGGACCTGGCAGACGTCGCGATAGCCCAAGGAGGCAGCGAGATGCAGGTTCGAATTTGACAGGCCCTCGGAGGAGGCGTCTGGGTTGTGGATGAGGTTCGGGTGGGATTTGAGCATGCGCTTGACGAGCAGGGCATCGTTGGCGTAGATGGCTCGCCGGAGCCGGACTGGGCGCGAGACAGGTCAGCAGAGGAGCGGCAGAGGGTATTCAGGTCCAGATATCCTACAGGGCGGTTTATGCTGCATGGCGAGTGTGGTGTTCGCAAGCCTCCGATGAAGAGCGCAGGCAGGATGAAGGGGCAAGCTGTCGAGAGCAGGATGGATTGTTGATCTGGGCTTACGGGCGGCTTATCGCAGCTCGGCGCAGCGTAATGTCGCTCCTGTAGTGGAGACGGGCCCTGGCCTGGTGCCTGTGTCCAGCGGTTTAGCGGCCCAGCGCGGGGTGCCTCAGATCGGGTCCACCCGCCCCCCCAAGTTTCAAATCAGTGACAGCTTGACCTTCTCCGCAGCACCAAAACATCTCCAAGTCATGCATCGATCGACCTACCCTGTACGTGGATTCAGGGAAGTATTCGCGATGTGAATGTTTTCTAGCGCTTTATAAGGCTCAATTAACTGACTATTAGGTACACAGCACACGATCAAATACTCCAGGCCAACTCGAAGAATCGATCCATCCAGCCTCCCAAATTCAGTCCAGCTCATGAGCCGCCTTCACAGCCTTGGACTTTCCAGCGTCGAGCACCACAGCCGGATCCTCCTTGCTCCCTTTGCGCGACACTTCATTACCGCGTTTGGTTTTGACAGTCGCCCTGGAAATTTTGTTAGTGGCACGTCTTTCTTTCTACATAGACGGGATTCAATTGACTCACTTTTCCTCTTTGACGTCAAGAACTTTGCCTTCGGGATGGCCTCCTCCCCACTTCCAGCTCACGGTGTCACCTGGATCAGGTCCATTTTTAGCTGATTTACCAGAGCCATTGGCCTTCTTCCCACCGTCGTCTTGGTTGTTCTTCCCATCGTCACCTTCTTCCTCATCCTCGCCCTCGTCCTCGGCGCGCTTCTTGGCGCCCTTTCCGTTGGATTGCTGTTGGACGTCATCATCTCCAACGTCTTCACCATCTTCGTCCTCATCAGCACCATTATCCTTGTCCGATTTCTTGCCGTGGCCACCAGCTTCTCCTTGTCGAGTCTCGCGCTTCTTCTGTGAGCCCTTTTGCGCTTTGGCTGGTTGCTTTCGCTTGTCGCCTGCATGCTTATCACCCTCATCCTCGCTTGCCTCTTCACCCTTTTCATCCTCGCCTTCATTCTTCGCCCCCTCGTCCTCCTCCTCGTCCTTGGCATCTTCACCTTCATCCTTGTTGTCGTTCGCTTTTCCCTTGAGGAAGTCGTGTCCCCAATTCTTCAAGGAGGCGTACGATTTAGTCTTCTTCACTTCCTCGGCCGACTTTTCGTTGTTCGTCTTCTCCTCCTGTGCCAGATGTCGCTTGCTAATACACCATGTCAGCCATCAGCATCCTCGCCCAGTGAAAATTTCTTTCACAACAATCGCATGGTGATAAGAATGACCACGAACCAGTACGAAACGACCTTGCGCATATGCTCAATGTGATCCTCATTGTACTTCTTGGGGTCCTTTTTGGGATTGGCCCGAAGAATCTCTACAATCTTGCGGCCACTGTCGTGGCCAACCGACTCGCCGGAGGTATCTTGCTTTGGCCAACCTGCGCTGTTCGAGTCGCCCGACTTGAGCCACTTCTCGAGTTCAGAGGCTGTCATGTTGACGAGCTCGTTGAACTCTTGGATCACCTGGCTGTTGTTCTTCATGATGCGATGATGTGACACTTGGCCTTGCTTGATGAGTGTTCTAATTCAACTGCAAAATTATGCTGCGGATTGAACGCGATGAAATACTCAGATAGCTAAGGCCTGTTCAGGTGTATAGAACCCAGCTTCCCTGTCATTCTTTATACCTATTGGCCTATTGCTAATCTCGGCCGGCCGAGGTGTCGTCGTCATGGTGTCTCAAAGGCTTCGGGTAGATCGTCGCGTCATAGAAGACCAAGAGCCATCACCGGCAATTTAAGCTTCGGTTCCTCGCGGCTGCGGTCCCACAAGGTCGATCGCGGCAGAGCTCGGATCGATCAGCAACGGAACTGATTGATCGAATTAGATGCCCTTTTCGATCAATTGAGAGACTCGAAAGGGAGAATGGTGGGGGGTACCTGGTTTTAGCTCTGCATGATGTAACGCGGCGCAAAGCTGTGCAAGATCAAAGATCCTCGCCCACAATGCATAGGGAACGGTGGCCCCGTTGCTTAACGTTGGTTGCACCAAGGCCGTGACGTGTTTGTGAGGCATATTACAGTTGGAACCCTGCTCTGAGAAACTCTGCGCGAATTGCTGAACATCCGCGAGATGGAGGCTGAGGACAAGGCCGGATCGGGGAGGGGTCGGGCAGATACATTGGTCCATCTTCCGGCTACGCTACTTCGCCTGATCCGATTGATCGTACTTAACCAATTTGGGTATTGTCTCGCCTACTCTCCTTTGCCTCGCTTAGCCAGTCAGCTAGAGGAGCTGTGTCCGGAGCACGCTTAGAAACAGATCCAACGTGTCCAGAAGAACGACTGGTAAGATCCTCGTGTTCGATCCATATACCTCATCCCATTGCTATCCCTCGTTTCCTTTCCCTTGAAGGTAAACTGCAGGTGAATTGGATCTACCTATTATTTAGGTATAGTTGCCATGGTATACGAGAAACTTAATGCACAGCTGTCTCAAAGAGTGCAAGTTTGACTTGAGCCATACCGCATCGTGAGAGGCGGCAGTCATGGTGAACCCTATCCTCAAAGGCCACATTGCCTTTCGAAGCCATATTTATACACATTTAATATCCAGACTCGGCATTCCATGTCCACAGAGCAGAGCCATAGCCTGAAACTCGGTCATCATGCTTGGTCGCGTGTTGTTGCGCCTTCTACTGGCTGTATCACTGGCACATGTTGCCCTCGCTTGGAATAAAGGCGATTATTTTTACAGAGAGAAACCCTTTGACCCCGTCGAGATCGTGTACCCCGTAGGACATCGCAAGCATAAGTTCAGTCAGCGCCCCGCGCTCGATGACATGGCGGTCCCAATGCGTGTCAGCCAATTCCCACACACCGGAGACGGCAAGATATGGGCTGATTGGGACGACAGCGACCTCCAACATACACCAAAAAAGAATATCACCTGGTTGCGGGTGCCCACAAACTCGTCCCGGGTCGTGGAACGGGCTTTTCTTAAAGTTGTTCGGGATCACTGGAGATCGAGGTCCATCGTGACTCTGCCTTGGCCGAACGGCTTCATTCTACCGTTGATTCGCATGCGGGGCAAGGAGTCCCACGGCACCAGCAATATTCTGGTCCTCCCGGACGGGCCAGGAATCCCGGGGACGAAGATGATCGAGGAACAAGGCGAGGAGCTGTTCCAGTTTGTCGGGGAAAAGTACAACCTGGTCGGCTTCGACGCTCGTGGCGTGGGACAATCCGACCCGGCAATCGCTTGCGAACGTAAATTATGGCGCTCGTTCCCCAAGGCATTCTTCACCGAACAGTACGCCAATATCGGCCGCGAGGCCTATGCGTTTGTCAGGTATTGCGCGTTTTCAGGCGGGCCACATTACTTTTACGTCAACACGCCACAGGTCGTTGAAGACATCAACTCCATTATATTCGGCCTGGGACAAGTCAAAGCGCACCTCTGGGGGTTCGGCTATGGCACCATCGTGGCCCAGTCCTACGCCACGAGGTGGCCTGAAAAGGTCGGCAGGATGGTCTTTGACGGTGTCTCTGATATGGATCAATGGTACCGGACGAAGTACCACGAAACGCGATACCAAGATACAGACGCCGTATTTCAGCAGGCGCTCACAGACTGCATCGAATTGGGGAGCGACTGCGCCCTCTCTAAGTTCGGGAAAGACTCGCACAGTTTGAAGGCTGCGATCCTGACCTTTGGCAAAAGGCTCGCCCTGGGAAACTACCAGTATGGGGAGGATGCCAACTTCACCTACAACCATATGATTGTGTGGATATACGGGAGCCTGGGCTGCAGAGCAAAGTTCCTGGAGATGGCCCGACATCTCGCCCGGTTCATGGAGAGAGACGTTGGCGACACGCCCTTAGCCATCCCCGCTCCAGAGCTTGGGTGGCGCCGAGAATCGGACGCCGCATTGATCTACCAGTGCAATGATGGGAAGAGCGGCGTTCGGAATGATTATCCCAGAAGCCAGATGCGGATGAATGAGGAGATGGCGCCGTTCGTCAACAGCTCTTTGTTCGGCATACACTCGATGCCGCTTTACCACGTGAAGCGGTTCTGGAATGACCTCAAGAATTTCCCGTACGATTGGATCATAGAGCCGATTGTTTATACCCCCGTTCCCCCGCTCCTGATGACCAACACCATGGATCCGTTCACGCCAATCAGCTCGACCAAGGCCGCCCGCATTAGATGGCCGAACTCCAAGGTTATCCAGCTCACCACGTATGGGCATCCCACTGTCGACATGGTGTCGGAATGCGCCAAGAGGCATCTTCGGAATTACTGGATAAGGGGCATTCTGCCCCATCACGACGTGCTGTGCGAAGCGGAGCAAAAACCACCCCCCAGCCGGAAGAAGAAGAATAAGAGGATGAAGAAGATGAAGAAGACGGGAGGCAAGAAGAAGAAGGGGGGTAATAAGGGTGATCAGTCTGATACAGAGGCTGACGCTCCTCGATCTGATACAGAGATTGACCCTTCTCAATCTGATAAGACGAAAAAGAAGAAGGGGGCCAAGAAGGGTGATCAGTCTGATACAGAGACTGACCCTTCTGAACCTGATACAAAGGTTGACCCTTCTCAATCTGATAAGACGAAGAAGAAGAAGGGGGGTAAGAAGGGTGAGCAGTCTGATACAGAGGCTGAACCTTCTGAATTTGATATGGAGTTTGACCCTTCTCAATCTGACGAAGAGGTTGACCCTCCTCGGTCTGACCCAGAGGATGAACGGAGGATGATCCTCCTCGATCTGATAGAGGCTGAGCCTTCTGAATCTGATACAGAGGCTGATTAACATCAATGTCTCGCCCTAATTGGAGGTTTTTGAGATCTCAATGTCCGTTCCTAGTCTATTGGCGTAAGCTTTGAAGATTTTTCTGCGTTTACCAGGTTTATTTGTGTGATGAAGTCAAATGCGTTGCTCGATCTCGGGATATATTTTCCTTTGCTTATAGCTAGTAATAGTTAATTAATTAATATACAAGAAGTAACTACGGCAATTGTCATACACAAAATCCTCTTTTCTCCGAATTGAAGGGACATCATCATATTTGGATTGGCCCCTGGCTTCCGATAAACTTCCCGCGCCATCGCTCCCACACCCGCCACTTGCTTCGTAAATCAGCCAAACCCGAAGACACAAGTCGACACTCCCAACGAACCGCTTACCGGCGGCCACTACTCACACAACTCAAGAAGGGCTGTGGCACACGGCCTCGATGTTGTTCCCAGCGGCATCGAGGACGAAGGCGCCGTAGTAGTCGGGGTGGTAGTGGGCTCGGATGCCCGGTGCGCCGTTGTCCTTGGCCCCGGCCTTGAGAGCGGCGGCGTGGAATGCATCCACAGAGGCACGATCTAGGCCCCAGTGTTAGTCAGTATGTCTCGCCTTTTCTTCTTATTTTTGATCCGACTGACCCTTGGCGCGGAAGGCAATGTGGGAGGGGCGGTTGGGCGGGTTGTCGACGCCGATGATCCAGAAGTCGGGGGACTCGTCGGTGTTTGCTGGTCCCAAACCCGTGACGGTTGGTCCGAATTGCAGTCTGATGCCGTAGCCCAGAGGGGCCAGAGCGGCGAGGTACAGCTCGAGGGCGCTGGCGACGTCGCTCTCCGGGACGAGGAGGCTTACGTGGTCTAGAGGCATGGTGTTGGTGTTAGGGGAGTATGGCAGAAAGAGTCAATTGAACAGAGTGATGGTTTATCCGATGAGGTTGAATAGCTCGAGACCACCGACGACAGCTTCACCTCTTTATACTACATGGCGGACTCCTGTTTCTCAGAGAGTTCCGCTAGTTCGTGCTCAAGAAATCTGGATTTGTGAGGCGGCGTCTGTCTCTGGACTAAAGTTCACGGCAATGGTGAAGCTGAGAGGGGGAGGAGTAAGTTGACTAAAATAACCGGACTACAAAAATGGCAAAACTGGGTAGAGCTGATCAGCCAATATTGTCAGTCCCCAGTTTCAGCCGCACGCCAGATCATCTAGGTGAAGTATGTCACAGCATTAGGTCACCTTACCACTACCAGCTTGGCCGTGCTTTATTCTGCTTGGGAAGTGAGTTATCGTCCGACTAATGCACCTTGCGAGGAAAGATGCTTCAAGCTGAGAGCAGCCGAGCCTTCAATCAGACCACCGGCCGGCTGGCTGTGACTCTTCACTTGGAGGCTGGGGTGATTACCGCCATTATAATTCCGATCACAAGATATAGTCAAGTATACATGCCTTGAAGCGGTCAAGTTTTGGTCGATATACCAGTCTATCCATGCCATTCATTCATCTTGCTTGTCTAGTGTGGCATTTTCTCGTGTGAGACTGTGCTACCAGGGGCTGGCCTTTGCTTCCGGATGCCGGGGATTCCTGTTTCATGATGAGCATCCAACTGCTTAGGACTGACTCAGTTTCCACGGGGAATGATTGACGACTGACAAAAGTGCTGGTACTGGAGAGGCAAACTCAGCGAGAAAAGGACGATCGAATGCCGTTCTAACAGCACCTGAAACATGGCTGCCAAGCCGGTAGTTCTGCCAAGGGCTGTCCCGTATTCTGGATATTCTGGGGTCGGTCCATCTCCCTGCAGACTCTCAAACATCACCAAGTGGGTAGACGCAAAAAGACGTCGAACCCTCTTCATAAGGCTGCCGGAAGCATGATGCCAAGGACAGCACTATTCCTTTCTCAATCGCACCTTGCGAACGTTGAAACGACTTGCAATAACCTCAACCACCCACAAAGGTCAAGTTGCTTTTGATGGCTGCAGGCGACGCCAATTGTCTGCAGATTTTTTCGAATCGCTTACTCGATTTGGAGATGTTCACGACTCCTGGGACGTTATACGACTGACTAGCATTGAGATGCCGAGGTTCGTGATGACCGCTCGTACTGGGAGGCCAAACAACCGCTTCGTCTGGGCGCGAGGCCGTAGTTTGCAGCCAGACATGGGCCTTGGCATCCTTTCCTCACCAGCGATGGCATCCAAGTATATAACACAGTCAGGACGAAGCGTCTTCTTGGACTTGGCTCATCATTCACATCTCAACCACCAAGGCCAACTTGAAGCCGCCAATCTACGCTGGACGTCCCTCTCTTTACTTCACACCACTACATTCGTTTCAATCAATCACCATGAAGTTCCTCGCTGCCCTCACAGCTTTTGCTTGCCTCGCTGCTGCGGCTCCCGCAGAGCTTGATGCCCGCCAGCTTGGCTCTAGCACCGCTACTGATCTTGAGAAAGGCCAGAGCAGCAACTGCCCCTCTGCCATCCTGATCTTCGCTCGTGGCTCAACCGAGACCGGAAATATGGTATGCCCACCCGCGCTTGATTTTCCGAAGACACTGGGCGTGAGAGTCTATATCTAACTTCATACTGAACAGGGTATGAGTGTCGGCACCTCTCTCTCGGGAGCTCTCAAGAAGAAGGTCAGCGGCATTTGGATCCAGGGCGTCGGCGGTCCCTACACTGCTGGCCTTGGCGATAATGCTATGCCTCGAGGCTCCAGCGCCGCCGCCATCAAGGAGGGTGTCCGCCTGATGAACCTCGCCCACGAGAAGTGCCCCAACGCGGCAATTCTGACCGGAGGATACAGGTGAGCCATTTGCTACAGCCCAGAACCTTACCATGCTCCAGTAGACTAACACAGCCTGTGCTCATCAGCCAAGGAAGCGCCCTCATTGCGGCAGCCATCACGGACTTGGACGCGACAGTCCGTGAGCAGGTCAAGGGCGCTGCGTTGTTCGGGTACACCCAGAACAAGCAGAACAAGGGCCAGATCCCCAGCTTCCCCGCCGACAGGACCAAGGTCTTCTGCGCTTCCGGCGATCTGGTCTGCGAGGGCAGCCTCATCGTCGCCGCTCCCCACTTCACCTACGGCAGTTCCGCCAGCGGCGAGGGCGCCGATTTCCTCGCTGGCAAGGTCTCTAGCTAAGCACCCAGCCCATGGCATGTAGGTTTGGATAAGCATCGTGATGGCCGCCAGACGAAGGTGCTGGCAACATTGTCTGGCGGACCATCTCGGGTATGATGAGCAACTATGTCTTACATTCGTTTCCTGGAAATGGCCATTCCATGGTTAGGATAGTTGTTGGAAGTTTTGAGATGAAAATAGAACCGTTTGAGCTCACACATGGCAACCCTTGTACCCGTTCCCTCTGAAACTCGTGACGTGCGGCAAAGGCCCATTTCTTGCATGAAACGCGGGACATCTGGGTCCGGTAACACCTTTATATCCTAGTGAACTTTGGAGTCCCTCGTATTGGATCAGTTTGATGGCTTGCAGTGGAGTGACCGGAGGATTTGCGATCGGCAAGACCAGTACCGCGGGATACAGACAGGGTCGAATTGTTCACGATTCAAGCACCCCCGATGTGAGAAAGGCTAGGTGGGGGGATGCCGAACTCACTACAGAGCTTCTTGTAGGGTGTAGACAAGACATGTTCTCAGAGAGGCGTCGAACATACGACACCCTTCTGGGGTATGCTCTGCCTGACGCATGTGAGCCATAGATCCCGCGGTAGAGCTGAATTTCTTAGACCGTATCATGAATAAATTTCACAGGGCCATGGTACTAATTCTTCTGCTTTCCAATGTTACTATAACCATTGCTACCTCAGCAACACAGGTTCACCGGCGTCAGCTGCTGGTGTTTTGTCCCGATCGAATATGAAATGATTTTCGTTAGCACTCACGGAACCGCCCTGGAGCACTGATTCGGAACCAATAGTACTCTGTACAGGGCAATAGTATTTTGAACAGAGGCTTCGGGTGCGGCGAAAAATGCTCAGGCGTTGCTGGTTTCAAGGCGTCTGATTATTACTTGCTGCTTAAGGTGGAGAGAGGCACTTCCCAGTCTGCTGCTTAGCCAGCTGGATCTTGCCGCCCATCAGACGTTCCAATGCCACGACACCTTGATTGCATAAATGCTACGCAAGCTTTGAACATAGGGAGAAATTACAAGGGAATTTATCATTTGTTTGTCAGGGCTTGGGCGGTTCTTCTCGGCCTTGAAATACACCGCCGAGTGGGATGTGAAGTGGGATGCGGGTGGGATGTAGAGATGCCCTCAATTAATCACCAACGCCTCTTGACTAAGCTCTCGACCGCTCGGCCTAGCTGATTGTATTAAATAAAACGAAGTACTAACATCTCCCGCGAGTGGTGATTCTGCTGACATTGTTCAAAACAAAAATTAGAATCCCCTCAAACGCGAGCAGCATGGCAGCGACACTCGATTCCACATTGTCCTACCTGCTGGACGAGGCCAGTCGTCGTCACTCAGAGGCCGGCAGCGATGACGATGAGCATGAAAACGCTTCCTCATTCTTCCAACATTATAAATCTCACTTGGACCATCTCGACGTCTCATCCAAGAATAGGCTTTTGCACCAACTGCTCTGCGTCCGCCCACCAAGTCCACGTCTCCCCGACGAGGTTCTCCCACACATCGATTCACTTTTTAACGGCAAGAAATCCAGCCGTATTCTAATTCAATCACAGTCTCTGCCCCCCATCAAGGTCGTCAAGCGGACCTCTCGGCCTGACGTTAAAGTCACACTCTGGAGAGGAGACATTACCACTCTGGCCGGGGTTACAGCGATTACAAATGCAGCCAACGGCCAGATGCTCGGGTGTTTCCAGCCGTCGCACCGGTGTATTGACAATGTGATTCACTCATTCGCGGGTCCTCGCCTACGGGATGAGTGCTTCGATACAATGAACAGCGCCAGAGGTGGAAGAAACGTACCACCGGGCGAGGCCATTGTAACGAAGGGATACGCACTCCCGAGTCCCTTTGTGATTCATACTGTTGGGCCTCAACTCAATCGAGGGGAAAGCCCAAGCGAAAAGGAGATATCACAGCTCCAATCTTGTTATAGGTCCGTTCTCAATGAAATCGAGCGCTTGCCTGGCGACGACGATGGCCGGAAGGCGGTTGCATTGTGTTGCATTTCAACGGGTCTGTTCGCTTTCCCTGCAGAGCAAGCGGCCGAGATCGCTGTGAATGAAGTCAATGCATGGCTTGAAGAGCACCAGGAGACGTCAATAACTGACGTGATATTCAACGTCTTTACTGAATCTGACCACGAGATTTACAAGAGCATCTTTGCCAAGCTCGGCAATGTCGAGTCACAGACCCTGGGCATGCCATTGCCCTCTATACAATCAGAGTCGCTTTCCATCGCTCGCCAGTGGCTGAATTCGGCGGATGCTGTGCTTGTAACAGCAGGGGCAGGAATCTCCGCAGCAGACGGGCTCGACTACACATCAACAACTCTCTTTGCCAAACATTTCCCTGGGTTTCTCAAGTACGGTCTGCGCAGACTCTACGACGTCTTTGGGTTCACCGAGTGGCCATCCGAGAAGGACCGCTGGGGCTACTACTTCACCCACCTCAACATGGTACGGAACTGGCCGGCATCCCCCATGTACGATTCCCTGATCACCTGGCTCGCCCGGTTCGGCGATGACTCCCATGTAAGGACATCCAATGCGGATGGGCTATTCTTGGCAAACGGCCTACCTGAGGAGAGGCTCTCCACGCCCCAAGGGGCCTATGCCGTGCTTCAGTGTATGGACAACTGTAGACCCGAGGCCACAGTACCCTCGCTACCCTTGCTGAAAGATGCAGAGAAGTTTTTAGATCCGGTCACCCAGAGGCTGAATAACACAGAGAAGATCCCCATATGCCAGTTCTGCGGCGGCAAGATGTTCATCTGCGTGCGGGCCAGCTCCAAGTTCAATGAGAGGCCCTTTGCGAAAGGAGAGGCCCAGTGGCGAAGTTTCCGTAGGCGAGTCATGGAAGACGAGAAAAAGTCCGTGGTGATACTCGAGCTGGGCGCGGGAATGAACACACCAGGCGTGCTGCGTTGGCCAGACGAGAAGCTGGCAGAGCGGTCCGGGGGGCGGGTGAAACTGGTACGTGTTGGAATGGGTCTGGATGCATCTGTTCCTGGAGAGCTGGAGGCAGTCGGTGCGGGCGTTGCCATTGATGGTGACATAAAGCTCGCCCTATCTTTCTTGCTGCAGGGTCAGTCGTTGACGAGGGTCTCTTGATTCAATTGGATGGTAGTGGATCCCCGAACAACATCATGATCTGTCCGACGCTTTTCGGACGAGGCCCCGAAACTCACCTCCGGACTTGTGCTTCATCGTGGGTTTATCGGAGTTAAAGGTTAATGGTTACAAATGAGATAGATATCAAAAAGAATTATAAATATAAGAATATTGAGTAGAGATTCTAATCCAACAATTAATCCTCATCCAAAAATCTACATATTACACATCCCACTTCCAAAATGGCTGCCCCTACCAAGGTCCAGTTCAAAGCAGGCCAACTCACAATAGCTGCAGAGCTTCATGCTCCATCTGAGGGATCGCCTGACCGCAAAGGGGCCGCTGTCGTTGTGAGCCACCCCATGGCCGGTGTAAAAGAGCAGACTTCTTCCGACTATGCCCGATCGCTCTCCAAAGCAGGCTTCTATGCTCTTACATTTGATGCCGGCTATCAAGGCGAAAGTTCTGGGGAACCCCGTGGTCTTGAAGACCCTAGCCAGAGAGTTGAGGACATAAAGTCTGCAGTCAGCTATCTCATCAGCCTCGCCGACAAAATAAACTCCGAAAAAATCGGTGTTCTGGGAATCTGTGCTTCTGGCGGGTATGTCTCGGCCGCAGCGCAATCCGATCTTCGAATCCGGGCCGTGGCCACAGTCAGCGGCGCCTGCGTCGGTGCCCTCACACGCAACGGCGGTATCTACGGGCACTTGAAAGAAAACCCGACCGCCATTGAGGGGGCCTTGAAAGCTGCGGCGCAGTGGCGTAACGCGGAAGCCACTTCTGGTGTTGTTTCAGATGCTCCCATAATGTTCAACAGCGACCCAAGCAAGTGGACAGAAGATAGCGATGCTTTCTTCAGAGGAGCATCTCAGTATTACGGTACTTCGCGCGGAAAGCACCCACGATCGACACAAAAGGTCCCACCTCAGAGTTCTGACAAGATGATAACCTACGACTCTTTCCGCTTCCAGTATCTGATCTCACCACGACCTCTACTGATGATCGCCGGGAGCGAGGCTGAGTCACTGCACTTTAGCCAGACTGCTGTCGCTCAGGCGAAGGAACCGAAGGAGCTGCTTGTTCTCCCGGGGACGAACCACTTTGATCTGTACGATGACTTGACTGTATCTGGGCCAAAGCTTTCTGAGTTCTTTGGGAAGCACTTGAACTAAGGGTATATAACATGGAGAGAAGCCTGGAAGAGGGAAAATTGAGTGTGTATACTTGGAAGTTACTTTATTCTATTTCTGAGAGGGATTGAACATACTAACGAACAAATTCGAAGTCATATTCATCGTAACAAATTGCATTTTCCTGATATCTATGTCTCGCTCATATAATTTACATCCCCGCCTCTTCTTTAACAATCTTGCTATAAGAGTCTTTGCTCATTTCGCTTTCTCTCTTGTTTTTGTATTCCATTCTAGGATGATGCCTAAGCAGGAGTTGGTCCTGACATTACCAACAAATTGCTCCTCTGCTCTTCGCTGCATGCTGAACCTTTTAGCTGTTTGATCTGATTTAACGATCGTGCCTTTGAACCTCCCCCCCCCTCGAAAGAAAAAAGGCTTTTAGCTAAATCAAATCATAGTTCTATTAGACAATTCTGGACCTGAGAATTTCTCTAAACTGCGCCAGGGCTTCAGAAATCGTAGCCTGACGGACTTGATCACGATCACCCGGGAAATAAAACGGCCCCAAGTTCCAGCTCCTCTCAGGCGAAGCAATGCCGATGAAGACCATCCCAACGGGCTTCCCATCCTGAGTTCCGGGACCAGCCACCCCCGTCGTGCCAATGCCCCAGGTGGCTGGATCCTCGATCGCCGTAATGCTGCGCGCGCCGGCGGCCATCTGCTGGGCCACATCGCCGTGGATCACGCCGTGCTGGGAGATGAGGTCCGCGTCGACGTTGAGCAGCTGCTGCTTGAGGGGCGTCGCGTACGAGACGACACCGCCGCGGAAGACGGCGCTGGCACCGCCGACGGATGTGAGCGCTGCCATGACTCCCCCGCCGGTTAGAGACTCAGCTACGCCGACGGTTTCGCCTGCTTGCTTGAGGAGGACGATTACATCCCCGGCGATATCGTGGAGTGTCTCGGTGGTGCGCTTGATGTACTGTGGTTGGATGGCCATGACGGTGGGTGTGAATCAAGGAGCCGCAAGCAGGGCGGTGTAAAGAGCAATGCCTATGGACTTAAGAACGAGGGAATCAAAGCTTTCTATTTCTTTGGCGCTGGAGTTCTTTCGCTGGATTAAATAATACCGGAGAGAGTTTTGATAAGAAGTTAAAGCAAAAGAAGATGTCAGACCCAACAACTCAACACAATGAATACGAAAGGTTATAAAAAAAAAAAGCTTCGCTAGCCCAAGGCTGCAGTCATACGGCAGAAAATTCTATAAAGCTGGATTAAATAATAAAAAATCAGATGGGGGCTTGTTGCATGTTACACTTCTGGCTCCGCCTCGTCATGCCCATGATGGATGACTCCCGCTCAGGTTGCTCATTCCGCTGCCTGGTAAGAGGCTTACCGCTGGTCTGTCTGGAGGCGACAAAAAAATTTAAAAACATATTATAACACGGATTCCGACTCTTCTGCGCCGCAGCCATTTGTGAGATTACCCACATTGGCCCAAGCCACCGTTGTCAGCTTGGACGCCTCGCCATGGGATGAGGTGAACAACTGGACGAGATGTTCGGTGAAGTCTGGGAGCTAATGCACCAATTCAAGCTATCGCCATGTCGAGTCACCTAGTGAGTCAGATGAGACTCCCCGTAAATTGAGCTTGCAGTGGCGGCTCTAAGTAGTACAACATCGTGTGTATTGATGCGAAGGGGGAACAAGATCAGCCCTACGTGCGCAAGGCAGTCTCCGAGCAGGGCAAAAGCATTGAAATCACCGTAGATCTGGCTGGAATTAGGATTGGTACCCTTGTTACTGGATTATTCTGTATATTTTCTCAAGGGCATGCATGGATGATCATTTCACATTAATCTTCACCTAAGACTGCTTCATGTATTTAGCTTCATGTGGCGTGCAAGGGCTGGTGAGTCACATCTCCATTCACGATGACTTACTATCGTGGCTATTATCTTTGATAATTTATTCGAAAACATGCCGTCGATAGGAGTGGTAATCTGTCTACATCTATAGAGTAGCGTGAGCAATGCAGATTCTGTTCAATTTTCATCACCCTAGGCTTACGCTGCACCCTCAGCGAAGCAAGCTTTTATGATAAAGAGTGGGATGGTCCACTCAATCAGCCTCCTCCCTTGCTCTGATGTCGTCAATCCGGTCTTGCCAATTGATCCACCTCATGTAGATGGACTCGATCAGCACGATGAAGACCATGCCGGACCCCAGTCCGTACCAGAGACCGCCCAGCTTCAAATCAGGAGACCCTATCTCAAGCCAAATGGCAAGGGGGACAGCGCCGAGGTAGTTGATAGCCAACACAATCCACGCAGCGACAGACTGGCAGCCGAGCCCACGCAAAACTCCGTTACAGCCCGAGCTGAGCGCGTCGACGATCTGGAACAGGGCGAGGCCGAGAGTCGAGTCGATCGCGATGCGGACCACCTCCTCGTCGTTAGAGAAGATCGGGGTCAGATAGTCGCGGAGGAAGTAGATGGCCAGGCCGTCGGCCACACCGACAACTAAGAAGATCAGAGAGTACATGGCAGCTGCACGCTGGGCGCGCAGGACGAGGCCCGCGCCGAGGAAGAAGCCGATCCGGGTACTCACAGCGACGCTGATGGAGAAGGGGATGTGCCAGGTGATGACGGAGACGGTGCTGAGGATCGTCTGCGCGGCGAGGTGGTCCGTGTCGATGTAGGTGGTGCTGACCATGAGGATCTCGAAGGCGCCCCATTCGGCCAGGTTCACGGCCGTGCCTGCAACGGAGAGGCTGAGGAGGTGGCCCCAGCCGTTGAGGGCGTCGCGGGACCAGCCTCCCCAGCACTTAAGGGACCAAGGGGCGAAGAAGACGATGTGGCCGAGGAGGAGCAGCGGGCGCAGGTTGTTGGCAATGGCCTGGGCGAGGGCGGCGCCGGGAAGACCGAGGTCGAGCACCATGGTGAAGTACCAGGTCAGAAGAGCATTGATCGGAGTGGTGATGACGAGCACGGCGGTGCCTGACGTGAAGTCACCCTGTGCCTGCATAAACCGCTTTCCGGCTTCGAAAAAGGCGTACCCTGGAAGACCAATGAGGGAGACCTGAAGGAAGATGCCAGCCTGGACGGCGAGCTCGTGCTGCTTGATGACCAAGGGGAGGATCATTGGAGAAAATACCCAGAAGACGCCAATTGGGATGATGGCGAGAGTCATCAGGGCAAGCATACGCTGCACATGCAGACCGACATGTGTCACCTGTCCAGACCCGTAAGCTTGGGCACACACCGTGTCTAGAGCGGTGGCCATCCCCTCGACGAGTGCGTACCCAATGATATTCATGGTCGTCAAGCCTATGCTGGCGGCTCCAAGGTCATTGGAAGTCAAGTGCCCCGCGGCAATAGTGGTGATCAGGGTGGCCGAATACTGGAGGAGATAAGTGATGATCAGGGGGAAGGACTGTTGGCAGATGAGCACACACTCTGAGAACAGGCCGCCATCGGCAAGCAGTTCGGGCGCCAATTCATCGCTGGAGGGCGTTTGAGCTTCGCCCAGCAAAGGGGAAGATTCATTCGGAGGCAGAAGCGCCTCTTCCGAGTGTCTCTCTGCAGCGGAACGCATTTTGTCGCTGTCTGGAGGCGATGTTGAACAGAGGTTGAGTTGAGATTTCGTCTCAGTTCCGGCTCTGTGGAGAATCACGACAGTTCCGAGACTCGGTGAATGACTAATCATCAATCTGTCACCAAGACCTCACCCATCAGTCACTTGTTGGCGCGTATTCTCAGAAGAGCTTCACATTCTCCAAGATGCAGGTATTCGTAATCGATGCTCATTAAGATACTTTTAACTGATCATACTCATTCTAATCAAAATTTGTCGCACGCTCCGAGTCATCACTGCAAACACAAGGGACCGGTCTATTGATCACTCCGTCTCCTCGCTCTCAATGCCATTCTCCCGTCTCAACAATGTGCTTCTGGCACTTGGCTAGCACAGCAGCCTGGCGTGACACCTCTGCCAGCCTCCCAATCACCTGCCCGTTGCACCCAGCGAAGCCGTACAGAGCGTAGGGGATCCCGACTTCGTTGCAAAACTCCTGGACGAGCTTCTGTGTCTGGCGGAGGTTGTGGCGCGGCACACGGGGGAACAGATGGTGGATAACCTGAAACTGGAGACCGCCGTGCAAAAAGTCGAGCCATGGGGGACAGTCGACATCCATGGTGGTCCTCAACTGCCTCTGTGGGAATGACTCTTCGGGTCCGAGGTCTGCAGTGCTCATGGCAAAGTGGGACTGCACAATCTGGAGGTGAACTGGTGAGGAAACGAGTTGGCTGATCATGAAGAACCCGAACCGGCTCCAGCCATCTGGGATGCACCTGTAGATGATCCCGTATCCATACCAAGTCCAGAAGAAGCACTGTCCGACCATCTCCAAATAGCGATGCCACGCTCCAGGGCCCTTTTTAGGTCCACGGCCCATGATGAGATAATCCCAGGACTGGACGTACAGGTTGAACCGAGCCAAGGAAAGGATCGGATAATATGTGTACGGCTGAATCCTCAGCATCATCTTGGCTACAACGTCATATTTCATGATGCGCTCATGGTATGTGGAGCGCAGATTGGAGAGGAACCGGTGGGAGATGGCAAAGAAGGGCAGATGCTCAATGTCGGGGTCATGCTCAGGGGCATTGGTGACGATGTGATGGACGTTATGACTCCACTTCCACCAACCGAGAGACAGGCCACCCACGAAATCGGCAATGAAGATACCGATCATGCAGTCTAGCTGATAGTTGTGTGTGATGCCCATGTGTCCGGCGTCATGGGCTGTAAACACAAGCTGATGCCACATCAAACCAAGGCAGACTGCGGCCACCAGGGGATACCCATATTTGAGGAGGACAAGCATGCCTGTGAAGAGGGACACGTATCGAATACACTCTACGCCATAGGCCCAGTAATTGCACTTGTAAAGCCCAGCATCCTTGATCCTCTGATGTAGCTCTCGATACTTGGCAATGATGCTGGCCTGAGTTTCGGTGTCCGGGGATGGGTACTTGTCCAGGTCGAGGGTAATGTGCTCGTGGGTTAGAGTATCAAGAAACGACATGCCATCCATTGGTGTTTCGTGCGAAGAATCTTCTTTCGTGGCTGGTTGGGAAGTCTGCGCAGAGTCGGTGGTCTTCCCAGCATTATGGCGATGTCGCAAGCTATAGTCTTCCGTGTCGAACGTGGGAGAGGGAGAGCGCGAGGCCGGAGAGCTGGGCGAACTCGATGAATCCTGTCCTTTGATACTTCCGCTCTCTACCGACAAAGTCTCCTCTTCGATCTCAGCTTTCGTCCTGAAGTGCCCGCCCTGGATGGGGGGGACGAAGTTCTTCCATTGGAAATCGATTCGACCGATTCGGTATCGCAGCATTTGATGGGCGGCCTCTTTCGAATGTAAACTGCGCGAACCATGGTCAGCATGCACTGTTACTTATCTAACAGTGTCCATGGGAAGCGTTCAGGGCAATTGCGTACACAGTAACCTCGTCGGTCGCATCTCTGCCAACCATGTGCAGGATAGCCTTGTCGCCACCTGGGTGATATGGGATCCAAGCGTCAACCCTTAGGACTTCCTGGTTGACAATCATGAGCTTCTTCCCGTCGGCAATCATAGCCTCAATGTCGTCGCGGGACATGAGAGGGAAGGTTCTGGGCTTGGCCGAGCCCCCCGGCGTCTTGGTCGCCATGGCTGTGGTCGCTGAGGTTCGCAATTGGAGAAGTATCCGGGAAAGAGAGACTCGTCAGCAGCACCCGAAGGTATTTCTCGATGGTTCGAAGCCTGGAAACCAAGCTCGCGAGCTGTCGAGATGGCGCGCTGTGCGGTCGAGGGAGTCGAGGGACGCCGAGATGGTTGAGGAGGGGTCTGTTGGGGAAGACGGTGAAGCAGGCCAGGTTTTATGGCCTCGGCTGCCCACTACATCTTTTTAGATGCGGGAGCTGGTGCCAGAGTCGCCTAAAGGATTGGCTGGTGGCTGCCGCCCCACCCCGGTTTCAGGGGTACGTGTGCCGTAGTGGGCCTTGAGGCAGTGCACTGTGTGTGCGCTACGTGCTGGAATGCTCGCTGCCAAGTGGCTGGCACCCCTCCAGCATCTCTAGCCTGCAGCCTAATCAGATGAACCATCTCAAGTTAAGGTGTGGCCCTTGAGCCTCATTAGGGCCGGATATCCATCATTTATTGGGGTGACATTCAGTGAATGTTTTAATTTCTTAGCGCTGTACAGGTCCTTCTCCCTCATCGCAACACAGCTTTTCAGATCGCAAGACAACACCCACAGTTAGATAAGCGGCTTCGAGTGTTCAAGCCCCCCTGAAAGTGGGTGGATCTACCAGATCCATCTAGGCAACTTACCTCGCCCCTCATTGATCAGTGAGCGATTGAGTCCCCACGAAAAGAAGGCCCATGCCGCCCTGATATGAGGAGCTGTCATGGGTGTCAGAATAACAGGGACTGCAAAGGTGTTTTCATCCCAGCTTTCCAATATAGGCAACAACATTGATAGATACTAGTCCGTAATAACAATGATAAGAAATTATCTATTGAGCAACTATGAGAGAATATTATCTGTTTACTATTACAAAGGGATCCCCCACAATAATTTTGTCGAGGTTACTTTGCAGTCCCTGTCTGACAGCCACTGACCTGCATCTCCCTCAACGTGATAATCCTGGGAACAATTCCAAATGAAACGTAACTTCCCAATGAGTCGGCTACTGTACCCTTAGAAATTACTTGTCCAGAGCAAGGGGAGTTGCAGGTTACCATATAACCATTATACCGCTTCGATGATCGCTACCTAAACCCTGGCTAGTTAACGTATGATGATGCTCAAAGTTGATGCCATGTAGGCTGTCACTTTTGGCTGGGCCCCCAATGCGGAAAGTGAGTTCGTAAGGAGTGAGTTGGTCGCGAAGTTGCGGTGACACCTAACGTCACCGGAACCGAAGCGTTCTTCTTTCCCGAGACTGATAACCTCAATATGCCTCGGAAGCAAGGAGTTTCAGACCGCCTAGACCATATGCAAGCTCGATTCGTAGCGAGTTCCCAAGCCTGACATCCCTCAGGAAGCAAGAAAAGGCAGTTACCATTCGCTTAGCCGCCAGTCATGGTGAACTCTCCATGGAGAGTAGGAGGAATGCGGTTAGATACATTTGAACCTAGGTACATTTTTTTCCATCTATGGAAACTTCTCCTGAAGTTGGTCGCTGACACCAGAAAGTTTAGGAGGTCCAATAGAAACTATCAACGGGTAATCCGAAAGTAGGGATCAGAGTTCATGGTTGCAACAAAATGTCTTGAATGGATCTCTCAACCATGCTTCTTCTCTCGTTCCATCAAGCGAAATTTAGAAAAATGAGGATCGAAGCACCTGAATTACATAGTACCGGACAGTATCCGAGCAAAGAGCTGGCGCAACATCATTTCGCTCTGGAGAAAGTCGCCCCTGCTCTCCTTCAGTCACTCCCTGGAAGCTTTACTTGCACCAGCCCCTTCGCCAAGCCCCTGGCCATTTCCTTCATAGACTCGCTTGTTGAGTCCGAGCTATTGTATTTCTCCCGGTCCGTCTCCCACAAAATCTCATGCACACGTACTGGCTTGTCGGGGAGTGGCTCGCCATCCTCGTTCAATTCGGCCTGGATCCTGATAGCGATGATCGTGAATGACGTCCAGCTCCGAGTGAAATGCACAAGATATTCTCCTTCACTATTAGGCCCAAATGTTTCGCACAGCCATTTGTCGTCCATATCCATCGGTCTGCTGCCTTCGAGAAACTTCTGCAGATCCTCGTAGGAGATGGTCAAATCCCATGGAGCTTGCGCTGGCTTTGAGATGGGATGCGTGATACCACGCTCGAGTACGGCATCATCAGAGTCGTGATCATCTGTAGAAATATCAAGAGACTCCTGAGCTGACCCCATGCTTGTTGTGTTTTGATCGACCAATTTGCCTGGAGAGTGGGTGATCAGAGGCTGAGCGGGGGAGAAGATTAAGCTGAGCTTACTGGCGTTAATTGATGCCGTTGACGGTATTTTTAGCCCCAGGTTTGGAGGCCGTTTTATTACTAATTACGGCAGCTTTAATATGGGTCTACTCAGTGCCAATAATTCACTGTGTATTTCTTTATCTTGAATATTTTACCTTGTATTTTTAATTACTTGAGGACTTTAGCTGTCTAGTTCGACAACCACCAGACTGAATGTGCGGCAACTGACTTCTACTTGGCCATCCAGCCTCCATCAACCTACAATGAGATTCATTAGCCATTGAGAAACTTGGAAAACCAAGACCATGTCCACTTACCATCAGAATTTCTCCCGTCACATATGAACTTGCCTCGGAAGCAAGGAAAATAGCTGGTCCTTTGAAGTCTTCCGGCTTCCCCCAAAATCCCATGGGAATAGTTTTCGCCGCAGCTTCAGAATATGATGGGTCTGACCGAGTGTCTGTGTTCATATCTGTAGCAACATATCTGCATTCCATCTTTAGCATATCGTAGTCGAGTTCTCCGTGAGTTGGCGTCACTCACCCAGGGGCAATAGCATTGACTCGGATTCCCAATGGGGCCCATTCATTGCTCATCGCCCTCGTCAGTTGCGCAACAGCACCCTTGGTCGCTGAGTAAACTGCCGCATTAATCCCGCCCCGGAAAGAATTGATGCTGGCTGTGTTGATGAGACGCCCCTTTATCTTGTTGTTGATCCAGTATTTCCCCATGTCCCTCGAAATGATGAAGGTGGTGTTGAAGTTGACCTCCATCAGAATGTCTAGCTCTGAGTCTGGATGATCAACCACATCAAACCGACGCATGATGCCAGCTACATTGGCAAGAATATCAACTTGACTCTGGGATGTGATGGTGTCCACAAGGCCAGCGACATCCTTTCTATCACTCAGATCTGCCTTGAGAACTTTGCAACTGCGACCCAGGCTCTCCACAATGGACTTGGTTCCAGTATCATTTGTATCTTGCTACATGGAGAATGTCAGAGTCAGTATTTATCTTGCTCGTAGTTAGAAGTGGAGAGTATGTAAGAGAAAGAGAATAAAGTTCAACAGCAACGGAGGCTGCCAGAGCCCGACAACTCAACCCAATGAGAAATGAATAATATTCTACTTACTTGCAAGAGGATTATATCTGCCCCAGCCTCAGCAAGACCAACTGCAATAGACTGGCCGATGCCTCTCGTGCCTCCGGTGACCAAGGCGGTTTTACCTGCGAGAGAAAAGAGATTCATTATCAGACTGTAGATATGGCTACAAAATATGGCGAAGGCTTTCTCAAATGGCTTTTCTTGCCTTGCCAGCTAGAGATGATAAGAGCGGTTATTTATACATAGGTGTATAGTGGTTATTAGATCTAGACCTGCTCGGATAGGTCCCGGCTCGGAAAGCGATACCGATGCAATAAGGTAGACAATTAATAATCCTGCTGGCAAAACAAGAAAGTTATCCCGATTTAGTTGATAATTTTTAGACATTTGGATTCGTTCATCTTTATTACTATACTCTTCTGCGGGATGAAACAAGGGGTAATAACTCTCCGAAGTCTCGACCGACAGCAGCACGGTCAGTAAGCGTAGGAGTCTCGGTTCGGATACTCGTCGCAAGCTTAGAGCCTTAAGAGAAGCACCAGAAACAGCAGTGTTAAAGGGTATTTGCAAATGTGAGAGAAATTTTCGATAGCCTGCCCTACTCTCATCGTCAGGAACCTCTAATGCATTGAATGAGTAGCCCAATAAACCTCAAGTACATGAAACTTGCTAGGTTAGGGCGGAACTTTAATTAGAAAAAAGATACATGTACAAAGCTCATATGTTGGGGGGAAGTTGCACGTGTTGAGCAACGAATTAAAAACAAAGTAACAACACAAAGCCTGACTTCTCACCTTATAGGACGCTTTCTAGTTTCGCTAGTACCGTCGAGAAGTTCTCAATCAAACATAAGCAACAATCAATCGCCCTGATCCCAATGGAGATCACCGGCTTCAAAGATCTCAGTGCGTAGACAAAAAGTCTATCCGCGACTGTCCTTGGCTTTGTCATTAATCGCTCAGCCCATTGTTGTTTTTAAAAGAAAGGCCTGGAGTTTTTGAGTTCATTTTGTCTATACCCAGCGCAAACTGGTGCAAGAAACTATTGTCCTCAAACACAAGCCCTCGACTTCAATCCGTATTGTTCCGCTCACCCTATTTAATAGAAAAATGAGGCTCCTGAATTACTCAACACTCAAACTTTTGATTTGCCTTGAACTGCCCGCAACCGCAAATTATTTGAAAATACACCTCCCAAATCAGACGAGAATTTGACGACCACCCTGACTCGCTGTCTCCGATGCAGCCTATCGCCCAACCAGAGCAAATGCAAAACGATGGCGATTCTTCTGGCGAACCCAGATGTCATATTCTCCGCCTACCCATGGAATTGATTCAAATGTTAGTCGACTGTTTAGCGGAAGATGGAATGGCGGCCAAAAAAAAGATTACGTCCACACAAAAGACTTTGTTTTCCCTATGTCTCAGCTCCAAGGCATTGTTACCAGCGGCAAAAAGACGTCTCTACAAATTCAATGCGGACAGGGTTAAGAATCGCAAGAAACCACATGGTATGAAAAAAGCTCTCTACTGGGATTGTCTTGATTGGGCCATCCATAGGGGTCGCAAAGAGACTGTGGAGTCGGTGATGGATTTCACTCCAGAAGTGTGCGAACTTCGTCACCTCAGCGAGGCTATCGTGAAGAAACACTTCGAAATTGCGTGGATATTGTTGAAACAGGAAATCGTTCATACCAAGCTCAAGACCAGGACGCAAGATAGTCCCATCTTTGCAGCAGTGGAAGTAGGCCACACTGAGCTACTTGATCGTATTATCGAAATTCAACGCTTGGACGTCTCGATGCTCGATCGAAACGACGAAACAGTGCTTCACTGCGCATGCAAATACGGTCACTTGAACCTAGTAGAAAGATTTCTTAACGAGAATGCAGATCCTTACGGTGCTGCCAAACCTGACATGGAGCCTACAATCACACCCTTAGTGTCAGCCATTGAGTGCGCCTTTCCAACAGAAAGATATGCTATCATAGAGACAATTCTGGCATCCAGGCCAAACTTTCCACAGTCTTCTCATCAACAATACAAATTGTACGCGATGTACATTGCTTCAAATTGTAATTTAGATGACCTGGAGCTTTTCATGGGAAAAGAATTCTTCAAACCATTCTTGAACGACCCGCCACCTAATACTCAGCGCGAGGGATGGCTGTATTGGTTGAAGCGAGCTAGGACCTACGAGAACGCGGAAATCTTTCGAAGGCTTCTTGAGCTTTGCCCCCGCGAACATTGCGATGATATTATATTCCGAGAAGTGTTTGAGATACTTACGATTCCGCGAGTGAGCGGGGCTATCGGGCTCGTAGTGGTCAAGATGTTGACAGATCACTTTCAGCGTTGCCCATCGAGTATCAACGACTTTTGGCCGAAGACCCGCTGTTCACTTCAAAGTGCGATGACGTCCGCTATTAGGGAGGATGACTTTAACTTGATAGAATGCCTTCTGCATTTCAATGACCTTGTTGAAAAACGTCAAGACCCCAGAGACAACCCGAAGAGGGGCTCAAAGGACGGAAATATTCTGTCCAATGTGGGTGCCCCATGCAGCTCGGAGATGCTTAATCTTCTTCTCCGACACGGCTACGACGTCAATCATGGAAACCGTCATACACAGCGTTACCCATATGGGAACACACCGCTACAGCGAGCCATCGAAGCGTTTAAATGTGATGGCAAAGGCACTGAAGTCATTAAAGACTTGATACCGATGGTCGACGACATCAATGCGGTCGATTATCGTGGTCGTACTGCTCTACACCTGTGTGTGAACATGTGGGCGCCCAAACCAAAGACAGTCGTCGACAAGCTCACGGAAATTGCCGAAATTTTGATTAACAACAAAGCTGACCTTTCGGCTCGTGAATTTGGTGGAAACACGCCACTTCACTTCGCTGCATCAGGTCGCCTTTTCGACCCATTCGTGCGTCTCTACCTTGATCGGGTTGCAGTAGATGACGCCAAAAACGATAAAGGAACAACGCCGCTTCAGATTCTTGAATTAGGGCGTAATCGAACAAGAGAAAGATTAGAAAGGTTTTTGTAGGTCGACCTCTATAGCTATCAACCGATCACTTTAACAATATACAGTTGATCGATCAATCAGTTAGATCTAACTAATCGACTATTGCTATAAACCTTCTATTCAGTTCGTTAGATAAGTAGATTTTTACCCTAGCTATTATTTGATTTGTCTCAATCAATTGCTTGCTTTTACTATGTGAAATATAAATGAATTCCCAGCCTCCCATTCTGGATCATAGGATGCGTGCTCCGCCTTGAGTTTTGCATTTGTGAAAGACACCCATGTCCACCAAGTGATCCTCCGGTCGATTGTCAAAAGATATTCGAGCTGCATTTGCAGATTCGATATTGCCAGCCAAGCACAGGGGTTTGCAGGGTGGGTGGCTGAGCAGTGCGCCTGTTGTGGCTGTGCCCGCTTCATCCACGGCGAAGGATCAGCGATGCAATGGGCAGGTTCTGGGAGGCCAGCGCATAAGAACGGGCTGCTGTTGGCTGAGCGGGGGTGAGCCAATTCGAGATGCTCGTTTGCGATTGGCCATTCACTGTCTCGCAATGCAACGGCCTCTTCGCTGACTGAGTCTTGGTCACCACCCAACGGCGCCTTTCGTCGCGCCTCGTTCCACTGGGCATCCCATGACTCACCCGGGGAGCCTCATGTATAAATCCTCGCCAGTCCCACCAACCTCAGGAATCAACTCAACAGACCCGGACTACACCAAATTTAACTCTTAGTCTCGTTCGCCAATTGCCCTCTATCACTTCTTATCGCCTCCCGCAACTCCCTTGGTTTTGCTTGCCCCTTTTACCATTGCAGCTATGCTTGAACTCATAGCCCGCGCCAGCTCCAGGATGGGAAAGCCTGCCTGCATGCAGATTCGCTGCCACGGCAAGAGGCCTGCAGCTTTCCGCCTCCTCGAACAAAAACGACTTCCTCACGGGCCCAAAGGGAGAATGAGGCAAATTCGTTCTTTCCAATAGGCTCCCCAACTTCTCCTCAAGAATCGAGATGTTTGAAGTTCCCGCCAACCGGTGGGATCTCAAATTCTCTACGAAACATCAATTTCCTTTCTATGTTCTTTTGTTTCTCTCCTCTGATTTATGATTTCGCATTTCAGATGAATCGATTTATACTGAAAATAAGTCTTGAGAGAGCATTCGGTCAATCCAACATTGAACGATGTTTTCATGCTTTTCGTCTGCATGATTTCTCTCAGGCCAATCGCCTCCGGTCAATCCAACATTGGACCATGTTCTGCTTTTCGTCTGCATGATTTTGTTTTGATTCTTTTTTTCCTCTGTTGATTTATTCTCCTTGTCTCCTTTTTCTTGCCCTGCTATCATTGGCCTGCAATCGGCCTCCCATACTCGGATGCAGCCATGGATCAACGGACCTAGACAAGTCAGAAAAAGGTCTCCAACATCGAAACAGGACATTGAGTCCATTCATCGGATGTTCTCTCAGCGCTACAGAACTACACTTTCGATAAATTCAGCAACCCGCAGACAGTCTGCCAACAAATTGCCATTGCCTCCTATCCACCATGGATTGGGACAAATCTTATCACCAAAACTACCCGTTCGAGATGGACGGCAACTTTTCCACCGACCAAACATATTTTTTGGATTGCCACGATCCAACATACAATGGAAATTACGAGCAACAGGGGGAAAGCCAATTCTGGCAAAACTCAACGATATATCCTCCTCCACATTCAACAACTACCGAGAGTGGATCGGAGGGATATTCCTTCGACTCTGGCTCAACCCCCTGTGCGTTCCCTTCAACAACATCGTCCCCGTACGCTCTACCCTGTCACAACTTTCATGACGTTGGAATATCGGGATCTGGCATTGACTTGACCGACGAGGAGATATGGGAGTGGTTACAGTCGAATCCTCTGGACTCGATACCATCCTACAACCCCTCTCTATTTGAGAACCAAGATAGTACCCAAGCCTGTCTTGTATCTCAAATGGAGCGTCCTCTCCTGCCGAAGCCAGAGGCTCCGGCCTGTAACCAAGCGGCCAATTCCCCAATTCCAGTCGAAATCGCCAAGCTAGAGCCAAGGAGGCGAAGGAGGAAGAACCCTGCAGATCTTCGGTAAGTGCCAACAGACAACACCCGGAATTCTCAACCTCTCAAATCGAGACTGACATCTCCTTTTAATAGAAAAAACCGTCGCAAGCAGGAGAAGCCAGAGAAGTGCCTTGCATGTGGGAAGGGCCATGCGGATACCAGGGCGCTGGAACGTCACATTGTTTCGAATCATCGTGATGAAGCTATCCAGCTGGGCCTTGATGTATCCAAGGTGGACTGCCCTTATTGTGATCAGACCTTTGATAGAATTCGGAAGGATAGATTGACTAGGCACGTCAAAACCCAACACCCCGATTTGTACCAATATCAATTTCAATTGAATTAATTACTTCATTATCCTGCAAAGCTTCTACAAGTAAATTTGCCTGGCACTTCAGCCATTATTTTGTTGTCCCTTTCAAGATCAGCGTGAGAACCGACTTTGATCTTTCAATTGTCTATCATTCATCATCACTGGATCCAGATCCATCATCATCAGACCCGCTATCATCAGACTCCTCTGTCCACGTCGTGAACTGTTGGCCATCACATAACTGAACCCACCCATTGAGATCCATCGTCTTTAATACCGTGCTGAACCCTTGCGTGCCTTTAGCATTAGAGATCTTTTCTCTCGTCTTTGCGCGGACCGAGCCTGGAGCGCCCTTGGGGTACTCGATGTGAAACACGGGCTTGTTAGCCTTGATGAAGGCCTGGAATGTCTGGCCCTCATTGTACTCGACACACTGCTCGTTCACCTGGAAGTCAACGACGTTGATAACGTCGGGTATGATCTCGCCCGCGTTCTTAAGGCCAATGCTCATGCCGTGTCTGCGCGCCTCGTGAGACAGGAACTTGATGAAATCAACCGAATCTGCCTTGGTCAGGCCAAATCCGTTCTTGTGGGACTAGAGGGCACTGATTAGCTGCTTGACACGTAACAGAAAATGATGAGAAGACGTACGTAACCGTCGACATTGTCCGGGTCAATGGCGTCGCAGCCTTTCTCCGCGGCAAGCTGGATCCTCTTGGCCATGATGGCGCGAACATTCCCACTCCGCACATCCACCCACCGCTCATCCCAATCGTCCATGGGCTTGCCCAGGTCTGCTTTGCCGAACTGGCGCGAATCAGGGCGCCATTTCTCGTAGGTGCCGGCGCTGAAGTAGCCAATGACCTTCTTCCCCAGCCTGTGAAGCTTGGCGATGGTCTCGGCAGAGTTATCGAAGACGTCAATGTCGTACACGTCCACGTCGGGCTGGATGGACGGCTCCTCACTGTCAGGGCCGAATTTCAGCGGCGACTTGAGCACAATCTGCCATGATTGTCCGACGGCTGGGGTCCATGGCGCCCGAGAGCCGTGCATATCGTCCGTGGGGTGATGAGCTTAGATGGGCTGGTGAGGTATGTAGATGAGTGAAAGCGTCTAGTTGATGAGCCGAAGGACAGAGCTGGAACAGTCTTATAACGAAAGGCACTTCATGCTCCGCCCCGCTTGGCAGTTCTAGATCGTAGCTGCGTATAGATTAGCACATACCAAGCCTTTGCTGTTCCCCGCACCGGCTCAAGGCCAAGTAATTGCTTCAATCAATGATTGGCTTCTAGCCCTCGAGGCGTGACAATGCTTACGACGCTGTGCCCATATTGCACTGTACCTGTGGCTGATCGGCCCGCATTTGATGGCTTCATTTCCCTTCAACACTTCGGCAGCATCCACCAGAATGGAATATAAAGTAACCGTCGCGGCAGTTCACGCTGCGCCTGTCTTCATGGACAAAGCGGCCACTACCGAGAAGGTCATCAAATTAATTGAACAAGCTGGCCGGGAGAACATCGAGCTGCTCGTGTTCCCCGAGACATTCATTCCTGGATATCCCGTAAGCCTAGACTCCCTATACCCTCGTTTGATCCTCCAGCCGCCCGGCACTATTCGCATCTGTCCCACCATCTAAACTCAAACAGTACTGGATCGAATGCTACCCGCCATTGACCCAGGTAAGTTCCCTGGCCCTGTACGCCGATCAGAGCGTCGTCGTCGAGGACGGCGACGAGATCAAGCAGATCCAGGCCGCCTGCCGCAGCGCAGGCACAGCCATCAGCCTCGGGATCTCCGAGAGGTCGTCCCAGGGCTACACGCTCTTCAATTCCCAGGTCAACATCGACGCCGACGGGACCCTGCTTGGTGTCCACCGCAAGCTCCAACCGACCTATGCCGAGCGCTTCGTCTGGGCCCAGGGAGGCGGCCACACTCTGCGCACATGCCGACCCAAAGCATCGGGGAAGCCTTATAACCTTGGAGGCCTGTGCTGCTGGGAGCATACCATGAACGGCGCCCGCCAGGCGCTCATCTCCCAGCGTCAACATATCCATGCCGGCGCGTGGCCGGCGCTCTCAACCATGGCGGGATTCACTGCGGTTGCCGATGCGCAGATCGAGGCGCTAATGAAGACGCATGCGCTCACGGCCCAGGTCTTTGTCGTCACGGCCTCCAATTACGTCGACCAGACCTGTCTTGACTGGATGGAGGAGCACCTGGGCAAGCAGGATTTCGTCAAGCTGGGCGGAGGCTGGTCGGCGGTCATCCACCCGTTTTGTTCTTTTCTTGCCGGTCCGCATACCGGGTCTGAGGAGAAGCTGGTCACCTCCGAGGTGGACCTATCACAGTTGGGACAGGTCAAGGTCTGGGTTGATGGTGCGGGCCACTATAGCCGTCCGGAGGTGCTTCAGTTCAACGTAGATCAACGGCCGTTGTGGGAGGATGAGAACTGGGAGCTAGCGCAGCCTGAGCCTGCTGAAGTCAAGAAGGAGAATCCAGTTCCATAGATATCTCGCCATTTTCCCTCAGATAACTATGAGGCTGGAAGATTGAAGTTTCTATATTGCATGCCTTACCTAGTTGACTGGCGATGCGAAGAGCAAGACACCACCATATCGGACCAAATCTCTCTTGCCTGGAATACAATGTTGGCCTTTCTACAAGCAAATACCAATGCAAACCTAACTAATATGCTCTGTCTCTCTATATCTGTCGCTGTGTGCCGACTGCTTAGTGTTGCGTCGAAAGACGGTCGATGTATCTATATCGCTCGTTGACATGTTTGAATAAGGTGACCATACCGCTACTCTTGGACGAGGTCACTCAGGCTTGGAATTTATAGATAAAATGACAATGGAATTATTTCTTTCTGTTCTCTTTGAATAAATGATTGTGAAGACGCAATGACAAAGGTCAAATAAACTGCTAGAAATTCTCCAATCGATAAACTTCATATCCCGGCTCTTCATAGGGGTGGGCTCTGCCGAACACGTCAGTATATCCCAAAGAACAGTATTGGGAGTAGCGATATTGAATACTTCTTCAATGCCTCAACGGCATTCTTTGCAACGTCCTCGCCAACGCACAGCGTCTCAACGCGGACTTCAGGGACCTTTTCGATCTCGCCCACCTTGCCGATATGGGGATTGGCCGTGTCTCCAGGGCGGAACTGACCGACACCGTCGGTCTGCCATGCGCAATGTGTATATGCTCCTGGGCCGGGATAACGGCCAGCGCCGGCTGCGAAGATGGCTGTCTTGACAGCCTCGACGTTTTCCTTGGGAACAAAGAAGACGAGCTTGAATTTGCTAGCCATTGTCGCGGCGCAGCAAGACTACTAGAGGCAGCTTGTTGTATTTCAATCAAAGGGTTTGTCGAAACGGACTGCTACTTGCCAGTGAGGCTGATGTAGGCTGGAGTTTAATGTTTGGGAAGAGGGGATTTTGGCAGGTAGTATTACCTGTTCTTAGCTTATTAATACTGAATATAGCTTCATTTTTTTTATACTTAAATTATTTCCAAAATTTAAGTTTAGCAATATATTATCTAAATATAATAAATGAAAAAGCTACATAATTCTGTAAGATTAAATTAAAACAATTTATTTAGATATTTCAGAACGATGCACCATGACCTCACCCCGCTCATTGCTGGCATGATGTGACTGAGCTGACCACTTTGACAAGCTGTCTGCCTTACCCCTCTTTATACTCAGGCATATAACGTACAAGCTTTAATCCTCACCCTTCTGATGGATATTCGAGACATAAACACTCTTTGTCTACCCTCAACACCTCCACATTACAATCTTCGTGCATTTCACAAGCAAGGTTTCATCGCCTAACGTCCTATATTACTCCACTGCCTTCCCTTGATCCGTCTACGTAGCATTGGGGACAGTAATACGAAGTCCACAAGCAATTGGGAGAAAAGAGAAGAAACAATCTTGGCTTACATGGCTGTAGAGATACAACACCTCACTCCAACCGGTTCCTATATTCACACCAACTATATTCACAACGCCAAGGGGCTAAAGAAAGTCCAACAACTATTATCATTCTATTTCTCAAGCTATGGCATCATACGAAGCAGAGAATAACATGAAACTCATGCCATGGGGGCCTAGCTATGCAGATCAAGCGCAAGCAGCTCAGAGTCGCCAGGCTCATCAACCGCTCCCGAATAGAGAAGAGGTGCCCAATTTCGACATTGCGCGAAACAAGGAAAGAGGCTTCCTTCACCCAACCATTGATTCCGGGAAGCAAATCCGAGTCCTAAAGATCCTCCCCGAAGCTACGACAACAAATTTGGTCTGTGAATTTGGCATTGTCGACTTCAATGACGCGTCCGCCAACAGCTACTTTGCCCTATCATATACATGGGGGAGCGCCACAGGAGCTGATGACGTTCATGACATACTCATCCTCGACGGTTCAGAGCAGCAAGTGCCATTTTCCGTCCGACGAAATGTTTGGGAGTTCTTGACAAGTGACATTGTGCGAAGCAAACTCGGCGGCCGCCCCATCTACATAGATGCTGTATGCATTAACCAATTGGACAATGATGAAAAAGGTCACCAGATCCAGCTCATGCAATCCGTTTACTCTCAGGCTCTTGAAGTGATCATCTGGCTTGGATCATCTACAGTTAGTGCTAAAGACGATTTGAACCTACGGAGTTTGCAGGAACATGGTGACTGGGTCTGGACAGAAAGAGGAGCCATGAAAGCAGGAGCAGGAATAGGAGGCAATGGCGATAGCCCTACTGATAAGCAGAAGCTTGCGGTCGAGTTCATCAGCTCGCAACCATATTGGAGTCGAACTTGGATTATACAGGAGATTATGCTTGCCTCGGATATCAGCATAATTGTGGGCAACTATATGTTTCCATGGTCACAGGTCGCCAAGTTGGGGCCACAATCGATTCAGTCGTCGTTATGGCACAAGGATTCTCACGGGCTTCCCTTGATGAATATGGCATTCGTCGAGGGACAGATGCGCTTTGGCCAAAGGTCTGCAATGTTTGGCTTACTTGAACGCAAGATCAAATGGGACTCTGAGCTCGCATCGAATACAGACAAAGGGAAAAGCAAAACTTATTTCGTGCCCTGCTACGTGGCCTTCGGGACATTTGCAGAGCACGCTTGTTTGGATCCACGAGATAAGTTCTACGCCATGCTCGGCCTTGTGGAGGAAGACATCCGTAGTGATACAGTCCCGGATTATCGTCTTGCGGTCCCCGACGTTTACAAAGATGCTCTTGCCGCTGGCTTCCGCTCCGTCAAGGCGCATTTGCGGGATTCGTTGAAGACGCGGCTAGAAGCCTACGGCATCCTGGCTGCACACTTACACGAAGCGTTCGGTCTTAAAGAAGTGGACATCTATGATGCGAGAGCTGCAGTTCTAGCAAAACCTTCCATTTATGCGGATATCCAATCTGATCTCACTGAAGCCCGCCTTCTTGAGGATGAGATTGGTCTCAAATACAGGCACGCGCAGGCCTGTCGGTCCAACCATGCACCCAATAGCTGCGAGCCCCATTGTCTCTTGACCGGGCTTATTCAAGCTTCAGACGATTCATCTTCATCTGTCTTGGCGGATAAAGAGTCTGAGAAATCGCATGCCCCTGTTTCAAACCACTCTTTAGCCATCCATATTCGAGGTACAGCCTCAGGCGGCGGACCATTAGATTATCAAGGCTTTGAATACGGCCAATGGAGTGGTCGAAGCTCACTTCGCAGCATCCAAAATCTTGGCATGCGACCAGAAGTACCTACAGAGACGAGCGACCAGACGAGGTACAAGCAATGCCTGTTCTACACGGATAGGGGGAGGGCAGACGGCGACATGTACTGGATGGTTAATAGTCCGCATGGAAGCTACACGGCCCCCATATACATACGTCGAAAGACAGACAGCAGCGATGGCTGGACAGTATCTTACGAAGACGCCATTCCCAAACCTCACCACGCAACCTGCGATCGTTGCGAAAAGCCCATCGTGGCCGTGAGATATCGATGCCTGCAGTGCCTGGACTTTGACATATGCTCGACGTGCATGAAAGAAGCTGAGCAATCCAAAGACGAACACGTTGACCAGCACCGCTTCGAGATAATCTACCATCCAGCTTCCAGCATAAGCCACACCACAAATCCGCTGAAATACCTCGCGCTCAACTTCCGGAGGGTGCCCTACCGGATGCACCCCGGCGTCTTCGACTCGTACATACACGACCCAGACCCGGACGCGGCGGTGAAAAACTGCCTTGCGTGTGGTATAATGTTCCCATGGAGTCCTCGCGAGGGCATATGGCCGCCCTACTGGGTTGCCAACTTGAACATCATGACGTGGACTCCAGCTGACAAGGGCGTGCCGCATATTCGTTGCATGGGCCTGCGTCTGCGCGACTCCGACCCGACTGACCGTCCTCCCACTCCCATGCCGGGAGGATACAGATTCTTCGGGCAGATCCAGCTCTGCGCTATCCGCCAACAGCTCGCGCAGTGGGTATCCTCCTTTTCGCCACCGGTCGAACTCACTCCCGATGTGAATCTGACTGAGCTCGTGGACAGACGTCGCAAAGAGCGAGAGGCCAGTGGCGACGAGAGTGTGCGTGGAGGAGGAGAGATTGTCCTTTTGCTTGCCTTCCCACCGATGCCTCGGACGGGCGGGGTGGAAGGTGACGATATCGTCGAGGAGGATGGAGTCTGGGCTCTCAGTCTGCCACGAAGCCGTCGTCCCGGCGAGGACGAGAACGACGTTCCTACCGCTCCGGCGATGCACTTCTGGACCGCGGATGACTTTGATGAGGCCACGATAGCGAAAATGAAGGCACAGGCCGGCCGACAGCTGAAGCTTCTTCCCACTAAAGCTGATGCACCTACGGCGGAACGACAATGGGCGACGTTTTGTTGGTAAACTATCAGCTCGAGGTAGCATTTTAGGTGGCATGATGTTAATAGATTGCAATTGGAAGAGAGCTCCTCTCGAACCCCGTATGTCAGAACTTGAACATTACTTTTCAAATGTTCAGTCAAGCTTAGCATGTTGTGGAATCGTATCTTATAGGACTCGACATTGGCTTCGTGTTGTATCAGTATGAGAGGTGTTAGGAAGCCTATCCAATAGCTAAGCATCACGAATTCGGGTGATTCTAAGCCCAATGGCAACAAACAAGATAGCGTAACCTGATAGTACTCTTGAGCCATGGCAGATTGGTCTTTCTAACTCATATAGTCGATCCTGTTATCATACTCCGTGCCACAATGTCACACCTATGGGTATGGCTAGTGAGGGTTTAGAGACACTTCAGAAGCAGAGACTCACTTGTAGTCTACTTCACACCAATTTCTTCATCTTATTAGACAACTCTCAATGTACTATTTCTTATAGAGCATTCTAGTTCTATGGTCCGGGTATCTAGAGATTCTATGAAACCACCAACTAACCATGCCCTACACAACCCCCAAGCGATAAAAGACTTGAAAAAAGAATCCTTCTCGACTTTCGAAAACCTCCTCCCCTCCAATTTAGTTGGAGTCGGAGGTGTTTCCGGCCTTCTCGATGATAGGGGGAGGCTTGGGGATGTTCTTGCGGAAGATGTGGCGCTTGATGAAGTATGGGAGCCACACCTTGGACTCGTAGGCGATGAACTCCTTGGTTGGGACGGAGAAGACCTCTGTTTTAATTTATTAGTCTCTTGACGAATTGTATGGCAGTTGTGTGGGATTGGATACTTACGGTCCAACTCTTCCAGGGTCAGTTGCTTGGTCTCACGAACGAAGCAGAAGATCATGAACCAGGCTATCAGGTTCAATCCAGCGTAGAATCCGACTACAATGTTGTCAGCGGGTGCCTCACTCGATGAGGAGAATTGTACTTACAAGCTCCGGTAGGTGTCATGGCCTTTCGCATAGGGGGGAAGGTAAGACTAAGGACACCAGCGAAAGTGTTGTCTATTCAAGGTTAGTAAAGAGACATCGACTCATAGAAAATGGGAACTACTCACTGATGCACACAGCCCAGGCCATGCCCTGTTCACGCTGAATGGTTGGGAACACCTCGGCAGAGTACTGGAAGGCAACGGGTCCCTCACCAAGGGAGTAGCAGATGGTGAAGAGGTAAATGAACCTAGTGGATGCCAGTTAGCGACTCGATTTCGGTCATGGGTCATGTGAAGCAAGCTTACAGGACAACGGGGGCGAGCTGCTCAGCACGGGAACCGTCGGTCTTCAACAGGGAAAGACCAGCAGCAAGCAAGAAGATACACATTCCGGGGAAGGTCTATAGGTCGATGTATTAGCAACCTCATTTTCTATTTTGGGGCTAGGCTGGGAAAACTTACAGCCAGAGTCAGTGTTCGTCGACCCTTGGTGTCAATCAGGAACAGAGTAGGGATGGTCGACACGACCTGGATAGCACCGTAACCCAGAGAGGCGTACAGAGCTTCGGTGGGTAGGTAGCCAGCCTCCTCAAAGATGGTGGAACTGTAGAAAGAGATGACTACCAAGCGCGTCAGTATTGAGTGTTCCAAGCCATCGGCAATAACCTATTCATAGAGGGGAGACGTACTGTTGATTCCGCACATCTGCTGGGCAAGCATGACAGTGGAAGCACCGTAGTTTGCGCGCCTGATTCGGGGGATGCGGAAGCAGTCCCACAGGCGGGAGAAGTAGCCAGCACCGGCAGCCTCCTTGAGCTCCTCCTCATAGATGACGTGGGAGTAGTAGTAGTCGCGGGCGGCGATGATGGGGTGGGCGCGGAGGCGGTTCATGGACTCGAAGCCCTTGGCGATCTTTCCGTGCTTCATGAGCCAACGGGGGGACTCGGGGCAGAAGAAGATGCCGGCGCCGAGGACGAAGGAGGGGATGAAGGCGGATCCCAGCTGGAGACGCCATGCGATGTCACCGGTGTCCTTGACGATGACGTTGGCGCAGAAACCGAGGAAGATACCTACAGGAATACTCGTTAGAACTGAAGTGGTTTAGATATTATCGAAGGCATCAGAACGTACCAGCAACGACCCAGAGCTGCCAGAACATGACCAGAGCACCACGGACGCGGGCAGGGGCCATTTCAGCACTGTAGATGGGGACAGTGGCGTTCTTTGCGCCGATGCCGATGCCCATGACGAATCGGGCGGCGAAGAGCTCCTGCCAGGTCCTTGCGAAACCAGAGCCGATGGGGGTGGCAGTGAGGCAGAGAGCAGTGACGAAGATTTCACCTCGTCGGCCGAGGTAGTGGTTGAGAGGATCGACGATGAAGGCACCGCTGCATGTCTAGGTCAGTCGCCAGCGCAGATTGATCCGGGTTCAATAAGCTTACATGAGACCAGCAGTCAGGAAAATGATGGCGTTGACGAGACCGACAATCCACTCATCATGTTGGGAGCCGCTGTCGATGCCGAACTCCTTGGGGAAGGACAGATTGGCACCGTTGGATCCGGTCTGGTCCCATCCCTGAGTGGCGGCACCAACGGCACAGAGGCCAATTGAGTACCACAGCATGAAGGGGCCATGCCACTTGTGGTCTTTTTCGTACTGGAGGGCGGCGAGCTCCTCCTCGTTGAGCTCAGTGACGGTGTTGAAGGCGTCCAGGTCGCGAGCTACGAGGGCAGCTTTGCCAAAGAGCTCGGCCTTGTCGGGCATCCCGTGCTGCTCGGCAAATGCCTTTGCATCGAGAAGGTTCTGCTCCTTGGAGACGCGCTGTGGGTGGCAAGAGTGGTTAGTACTGATGGAAGATGCTTCACAGAGCACCCAATGGCGCAGCAGACAAAAGATATCGAGGCATTGGACGATATCAAAAGGCAATTGGGGGCATTGGGCTATTCGGAGCTCACCTTGAGGGGGTTCTCGACCAGGTTGACGGCAGCAGACTGGCGGCGATGGGCAGGCTCAGCCGTGTCCAGCACCTCCTTGTCGACGACGTGCTTCTCCTCGTGGGAGACCTCTTGGGCAACGCCCTCCTTGGTCTCGTCCTTGGACATTGTGATTGAAAAGAGAATTCAGACTCAAGAAGGAGCTTGAGGGGGGGAGAATCTGTGTGTGACGAGGCTGGAGAGACAGAGCAGAGCAACCGAGCACGACCGACTTACACCGGGGGAGCTTTATACTACGCTCGTCCCCAGAAGGAGAAACCCAATCCCCACCGCCAATCCCCGGTATCCCCAAGGCTGGCCTGAGCCCACCGTTCTGGGGTAAGTATTTTTTTCTACTGGGCCCTCGCTCGAACCGTCTCGTGGTGTGATGATCGAGGGTGGTGGGGAGGGATTGTTTGTCTGCTTGCTCTTACACATCCTGGTCGCGTGCGGCATCATCCAAACCCACTCTCTTGCCTCTGGATCCTTCCGACATTCTGGGGCCAGGAAGAAGAAGCGACAAAGGTCGGCTCCTAGCTCTTCCTAGACGCCCAGCTAGCCCACAAGGGTAAAGAGAGTCGAGCATGCTTTTGGGCTGGGACGGGACGTGCGGTACACAACATGCAGTGTGACTAGATGTAAAACACTGCCAGTTTTGCCGGCGCGGTCAGCCGCAAGCCAGATCTACGCAGTAAGAAAACGCTAATTAGGCCGTCCAGACACAGGCGAGGAAAAAGGAATACAGTATAAAGTACATTGATACATGGTACATCCCCGGCGCTGATTCATCGATGCAGCGCCCGCGGGCAAACACACACCAGACCCCACGGAGACCAGGAAGAGAAGATGGAGACACATGAAATGCCCCGTTTCCTCGGACTGGCCGTTTCGACTTTTCGCAACGGCGTCCCCATCATGGCCTCTCGCGAAAGCTGACGAGTGAATTTAATGCAGACGGAGATTTCAAATCAAGCGTTTGGAGAAGCCATCGAGGGCCAAACCAGCCAGCCATGCTGCGATTAATTTGGCTGCCTAAAAGAAGTGCCATCGACGGTGGAGCCCGTGTGTATTTCCTGTGCCGTCTTTTCCGAGTTGAAGTAGCATGATCTTCATCGAGAGCCAAACCCAAAAGCCTGTATGGCCAGGCTCGATGACTAACGGCAGCATGGCCCTTGTCCCTGTCTCTGGCCGTCCCCGTCCGTCTCCAACATCTGGCTGATGGATGGTGGAGTCCCCACGTCTCGGAAGCTTGGCCAGGGTCAAAGCACGTACAATAATAATACCTGCTGTGCAATGCCTGCTGGGCGTAGAATGCGAATTGGCCGTCTGACCCAGATGAGCAGAAGGGCCAAAAAAGAAAGAAAAGGGAAGCCTCAACTGTGGCATGGTAGGTGTCATAAGCCGCCGTCATCGCGAGGGTGGCCTCCTCCTCCTCTCCCGTGCATAAAGTGCCGAAGGCGCCCAATTCGCCGTCACACCCAAATGTTTAATTCCCACTCTATCTGCTCACCGGCGCCCATGATTGGCGAAGGATTGTGCCCCGTACGTCACACTTGGAGTAACCCGACATGGGGTCGGACTTCTGAGGGGGAACTGGGGGTTGACTGACAGCCAGCCAGCCAAGCATCAGTCGGAGGTGTCCAAGAATTGACATTCCCGTTCCCATCTTTCGTGGCCGAGGGGCACCTTCACACCCTTCCGGCGCGCAACAGGAGAGATTTGCAGTGGTAGAGCGGTAGATTGGCTTGGGTGCAGTGGGAGCACATGCAAGAGGACGTAGCCACATGCCAACCCGTTGTATCTTGGGTTATGTTATCTGGCTCCCTGAAACTTGGAAGGATGGGTGCCCTCAGGCCCATGCAGCCATTCCATGGTCCATGACCTGCATGCCATGGCTTCCAAAAGGTCAAGACGTGATGAACACCCAGCCAACCCCCTGGTCCATCGCCACCCTCCTGGAGCTGGCGGCCCATAAATACATTAATTTACATAATAAGCATCCTCGTGGTGAAATTGCATCTAATGGGAATTGCAAAAAGATGAAAAGGAAAAAAAATACAGGGAAAGCTTGCAAGCATGGAAGGGAGAGAAGGGTCAGGGAACACAGCCGGGGGGCGCGAGTCAACAAGGGTCGAGGCATCCAACCAAGTCTGCTTGTCATGGGGGCCAGCAACCGCCAGACAATAGGATCATAATGACAAAGTACCTACTCCAGGTTGCGGGGAAACAAACATTTGAGGAGTCCCCAGGAAAAGAATTTTCTCGGGGTGATTGGCATTCCCGGTTTCCCATCTGTCTCTGCCTCGAGAAAGCAGCATGTAATTCTCCCATCTGCCATGTCCATCAATCTGGTGCCAGGCCCGTATTACAGACACACATACATACATATGCATCTATAAATATGTACGATGGGTGATCAATTCATTCTATCCTGCGCCCAGCCATGTATCCATTACGTATAAAACTCGTCCTTCTCGTGGCCAAACCCCTGCCCATTCCAGCCGGCCCCGAGCGCGCGCTGGCTCATGTGCAACTCCATCCACCATCTCGGCCCGGGTCCTGGGAACCCGGCAGAAACAGCAAAACACGACAAGAGGAAACAGCGGGAATTCTCATAAAAGGCCTTTTCTTTCTAAACCCCCCTGCACCCTGTCCGCTTGGCAAACACGCGATGCGCGAGTCATCTGGCCCGACGCTGACAGGGGCCGAAGCCGAACTGGAGCCCTCCTCCAGGCAGACGAATAAACCACATCGCCGTTGCTGCGATGTCGCTCAGATGGTGAGCGGGAGATGGTCACATGTCTGGCTAGGCGATGCGCACTATTTCTCTCCAGTTTTATCCCATAATCTCCATGCATCGTGGGCCATCAGTCCGCCTGTTGTCCGCTTGTTAAGTTGACTGACATTCCGCCCAGCCTCGAGATGAATCACTAAGACATCTGCCAAGTGCCAAGCTGTGGAGAATACCAAGAGTGCACAGAGCCTCACCAACGACAATTCTCAAGATAGGTGCAATTAAGTCGAATCATGATCGTAGACCTCGTCTTGGGGCGAGGAGGCGTAAGACAATGAGCTCTGCGATACCGGGCTCCCTCAATAATGGAGTGTGAAGCATGGACTAAGAAGCCGCGTTCCTTTTTTCCTCGGGCTCGCCACACGCTCAAGCCTCCTCATTTCCGCTCTTCTCGAGTAAGTCTATTAATACTAGCAACTGATAGATCACTAGCTAGCGGCCAAAAGAAAGGCCCAAGGCAAGGCTGTGCGTTTGGTAATTGCATGTCTCAATCGTAGCCATGGCGTATCATAAAACATTTTCCATCTATAAACAAGTAATCCCAAATGTGCGTTTAACTTTAAATGCGAAACAGTATTCACTCCTAGCGGCTTCGTCCTCTATTTCCCTTGATTCTTCCCCTGATCCAGCTTCCTAGACAGACATTTTCATCTGAATTGACTTGTGCGGCTCGTATCCTTTAATCTCGAAATCCTCCAATTTCCACCCGTCAATCTCGCCCCCCTTCTCGCGCTTGATCTCCAGCTCAGGGAACGGCCGGGGTTCTCGCTCCAGCTGCTCCCTGAGCGCGTCGACGTGGTCCAGGTAGACGTGCGCGTCGCCCATGACGTGGGTGAGACTGCCCGGCACCATGTCGCAGACGTGTGCGAGCATGTGCGTCAGCAGCGCGTAGCTGGCGATGTTGAACGGGACGCCCAGGCCCATATCGCAGGACCGCTGGTACAGCTGGCAGTGCAGGTGGCCCCTGGGCTTGACCTCCGCATCGCCTCCATTCGCAGCAGCCCCGTTCGTCGATGCTGATGAGGGGTACGAGACGTAGAACTGGGCAAACATGTGGCAGGGGGGCAGCACCATGTTGGGCATGTCCTTAGGGTTCCACGCCGACAGGATCATCCGGCGGTCGTAAGGGTTCGTGCGGAGTTTGTGGATGAGCTCGGCGAGCTGGTCGACGCCCTGGCCGGTGTAGTCGGTCTTGGAGTCGACGTACTCGGCCCCAAAGTGCCGCCACTGGAACCCGTAGACGGGGCCCAGGTCACCCACCTCGCGATGGGTCAGGCCGAGCTTGTCGAGGAACTCGCGCGACCCGTTGCCGTCCCAGATCTTGACGCCCTGCTCGCTGAGCGCGAGCGACGATGTGTTGCCCTGGATGAACCAGAGGAGCTCGAGGATGATGGCACGGTGGAAGACTCGTTTCGTCGTGAGGAGGGGCAGAACGGGGCGGCCGTTGTCGTTGAGTTTGAACTTGAGACGGGCTCCGAAAATAGATATCGTGCCGGTGCCTGTGCTGTTGATTGATATTAGCCGTGATGCCCACCATGTAGAGTTCCTGTCCTACTGCATGCATATATGCATGCAGGGTGGGATGAATGCCGTCGACTTACCGATCTGGCCGTCGCTCGCCCTCTTCCAAGATCTCGCGAATGAGATCGAGGTATTGCTTCTCCTCGTGAGTGGCTGTGGGCGCCATAACTGCGATGTTCGATGTCAAGCAAGGAAGAAATCTGCCGCTTATGGAGAGATTACAGCACGATTGTCTGTTTGAAGGGTACGAGAAGATGCAGATTCGATCCAGGCCATTTGCTAGTGGGACGCGTAAAGTGACGAGGGGCAGACGCTGACACGCGACGCGACACGGCTCAAGCGCGGGGCTAATTGCGTCTCCAGATTCTGGCTACCCTATACCTAGATCCAAGCATCCACGAGCACAATCATTATCATAACTATGTCGCTTTCTCCATTTCATAAAGCGATTGAGAATTCGGGCGAAGTCAAAATGTTCATTCCAAGCCTGAGTATTCAATTGGGAGCTTATTTTCCCCCCTCTCCCTTTTTGGCCAATCTCCCCTTTTCAACGGATCTTCTCCGCTGAGATCATCTTAATCCCCCACCAGACTTTCTTACTCCGCATCATGAAAGCACATGGTTGATGGAGCATTCCCATGACATCAACGTGTTTAAACGATCACGCGATGTAACTAACTTTAATCCTACCCTTGACATTCTAGGCCCAACGCGGGGACCGTTGCCTCCTCCCCAACCCCTGCTCTTTGATGAACGATTTGAGCCGCAATGGGGGCGTGAACATTCCAGTTGGACAACCTTGATAAGAAACAGTGCACAATGGTGTGGTGGCCAATGCCCCTCCGCACCTAAGGTCGCCGGTAATGGAAACCATTCATAGGCCACATGTTGAGGGCGGCCGCTCGTACAGCGATCAATGCATTTGACTTCTCACGATTGGCCCAGTGCATGCCTGAGCCAGGAGCTTGAGAGCACGAGGCACGCAAGTCTCGGCGCATTCGTGAAACTTCAGCGAGCATGTTTTCTCATGTAGGGATTGGTGTGAACGTAGTTCACAGGTATGTTGTGTGGTGGGAAAAGCACGAGCAATTTCACATACATCCCATCAACGTGCACGAACACCAACTGCAATGCCGTATCAAGAGGGTGATGTGTATCTTCAAAATTGGTATAGAAACAAGCGAAAACACTGTCAATGTCGAGAAGAGCTCCTCAACATGCCTATATACGATCGCTTTCTGCAGATTTTAGAACTAGCCTTTAAATGCTAACTCTCAAACTTGGGCTCAGAAAAGAGTCTAAGTCCTATGGCGTTGGCTCCGTTGGGTAGCTTGCTACACATTATCATACTGTGAAAAGGCCCAGTTATATTATTTTCGAGCTCAACTATTGAAATTACCCAGTCTTTCTCGTTTATATACCATCATCTGTTGAATGAGGGTGGGAATCGCTTGAGTTGGCTAGCCTCTGAAGGAACAGTTTAATCTATTGACACTATCACTATCGTATCCGGGGGCCTTGAGAAGGATGGCTCGCATTTAGATATTTGATTGATGAGATATCCAAGTCTACCTTCCAATTGAGATTCATGAAACAGCATTCGAGTCAGAAGGGCAAGCCGTTCTGACGATAGGAGTTTCATGAAGCAGGTTAACAGTGCAAGAGATGTTACAACCAAACCTCTGAAGCAGGCGAACCTCTTCCCATAGTGATTCCCTAACCTTTGCTTTCCCGTCGAATTGAGGTTCACTTGCGGCCGTTAGGTTGTGTTCAGATGGCATGGTACATGGGTAACATCCAAACTATCATGCAGGTAGAAGCTGGCACTTATTTTTGATCTTGCCGAACAAAATTGATACTCTCTGCATTCGAGTTCCGACCACGCAGTTTCAGAATCAGCCCCAGATTATTATTGTATAGGGCCTCCATATCTCATTAGTCCAAGGAATCAACCCTAGCTGGCTTTATGATCTATTATTAGTCAACAAATTCAACTCTCTCACCTTAACTCTAGTTCTCCACGATAAGGAAGGCGGCAAGATTCCCAATTCAGAGCACCCGTCTACTGGAGCTGAGGGTGACCATTTCTATCTTGATCTTCCCGTAACCAATCTTCTACCACATCCCCTGTATGGGGTTGATGCTGCCGATCTAGAATCTCTTGTTAGCAAGGTCCAAGCCATAGCACGGTCTTAGTTCTACTATCAAGTTCTTCCTTTCTGGTTTTTGGGGCAAACCAATACCACGCCCTTACCACTGACTAGGCCTTGTGGTTTTGGCTTCATCTGCCGAAATCAGTGTTGTGATCGCTTTTCATTCAGGAGGACTCGACAAAGCATCCCATCTGATCCCTACCTATAACATTAAGATCGTGATAAGAAGAAACGCCCGCTCAACTCGTGCTCCCAAATACACAAGCACTGTTGCATTTCATCTCTCTACCATATGAAGATGACCTCCTTATGTTTGACGGACGAAAGGTGATGCAGTATTTCTGCAAAACGAATAAGCTGAGAGATATAAGCAGCCTGGGAACGGTCCCATTTGAATAGGTCTGGCAAACCCTCACAGATATCTGTGGGCTCGGGACTGTACATATTCATCCATAGGTCTTGCTGCCTCTCAGGGTGATTTGGAGAAGAGCAAATTGAGACAACTAGGCTCATCGAGACCAAGCGAGTCATATTCATCGCATATCCAGGACGGCAACCAATACTTGAGACTTGGCAACTACACAAGCGCAGTTGTGGGAGAAAGTGGTCCTGGATGGTATTCATAGGATTATAAAGTCCCTTAATGAGTAATGCTCAAATAAATCCTGATTTTTTGTAGAAAATTAGTTGAGAGATTACATGGATGTAAGCCATTGTGATTGCCCTCCTAATTTTGATTCTGCAGCCATTTGCAAGCCGAGTCCCCATTAAGAGGTCGCTGATTAACAGAGAAAGTGAGAGGAAACAAAGAGCCGCTGACGTCCAGAGATGTAGGTTTGGCGAAGACCCGTGGTGCTATCTACTATCGAAGATGGGAGAGAAACTGTCCAAGCCTGCATATGGTTCTCCGGGGAACATGAAACCTTCATTATTTGATGTTTGTAGCAATGCACGTGCCTAGTCGCTAATATCGTAAATCTGATATGCAAGTCTGTAGGTTGCCCGTGTGGTGCCTAACTTCTTGATTTTTCCTGAACTCGTTATCATACCACTGCATCGTATGTGAAATCCATCGTGACGCTCATTCTATAAAATAGTAAGTAGGACCCGACCGAGGCTCAACACTGTTGGTTAATGAATGTGTTGTTCAGCCAGAAGATAACTGGCTATCGTTGGACCGAAGAACGCTTCTGTGCTTGTTCGGGGATGGGAAAGAGTTAGTGAAGTATTCTCTACAGAAGAGATCACAGCAAGCCAGGCCAAGTATTGCTTATCGACAAAGCCTCTCCTACCGTTCCGGTAGGATAATGATTGCCTGGGGGTGGGGCTTGAGGCTCTAGGTCGGTGCAGCTTGGCCTGCATCTGGGAGGCCGTCTCGCTTGCTTAAACGGGGGGTATCTTGTTGAATTGGATTGTGGCTATGCGGTCGTAGAAAATCCAGCTATTCCAGGATCCGCAAGTTGGCGTTGCAGAAATTCCTTGGGAAGGGTCATTGGATCGAGGGTGATGACCTTGAATGTGAAATGAATGAACCAGACGACCCTGCAAGCGTATATGTGTATTATTTGCTCAACGCCGAGTGGTAGAATCATCCAACTGCTCTTGATCTCTGTGCTTTTTCTAGGGCGATCCTTGCAGCTTCGGTGCCATCGTCCCGAAGAACAACCTGGAAGAAGGGATGGAGCAGCGCATCCTTTGCGGTGATACGGCGGCTTGGGTCGTATGCAAACATCTTTTGCAGGAGATCGAGGAAATTGCGAAGGAAGGAGCTCGTGGAGGGGATGGTCTCCTATCGAATAGTTTTAGCCCTGTTACATCTTCAAAGAGGAAGAGGCCAGCTCAACCTACCGTTAATTTCTTCATTGCTCGCACAAATCTCCGTGAACCCCTAGTAGTCTCCGGGGTGGGATAGTTGAGCTTCAAACGCTTGAAGTATCTAAAACAACCAAGTTGTTATTATCGATGCACAAACCATGTTCATTGGGGGAAACATACGTGGCAGGGTTACTACTACTCTTAGACCCTGATTTGTTGACTTGGCGGACTAGATCCGGGTCGATTCTAGCGTCAAACACGGCTTCCATCATGGCAAGATGCTCAATATTGTCGTGCGTATGAAAAAGTGCATCTCCAGTGTAGAACTCGACAAGAATGCAGCCAATGCTCCAAATATCGCAAGGATAAGACCAGCCTAGGCCCATGATGATCTCGGGGGCTCTGTAGTGCCGTGTTGAAACAACCGAAGAATGGTACTCGTCGTTGAAAGTAGCGGACCCAAAGTCGATAAGCCTGATTTCCGAACCTAACAAGACCTTCCTTTGGTTCGCTTGTCGGGGAGAGGATGTACGAGATGTAGGGATGTTGCGGTGGTAGGTGAATGTTTGGTATTTCTCGTCTTTCAGTAGAATATTTTCGGGTTTCAAGTCAGTATGGACGATCCCGATATCGTGAAGAACTGCTTCCATGTTAGAATGACTTCTGGTGATGGAATGAATGTGCATGAGGAAAAGTGATCTTACAGGCGACACTGGTCAGCAGCTGTTTTGCAAAGCTCTGGATGTGACTGTTTGGAAACGGTACAAATCCATTTCCCTTGAGGAAGTCGAACAAGCTGCAGCCCAACAGCTCCGTTACAATGCAAATATGTCCTTGAAAGTCGAAGCAATCTCGAAGATGGATGCATTTGTATTTATTGTCTGGATCGTTCTGCCGAAGTGTCTGTAAGACTCGAAGCTCTATCTTGGCGGCGTCTCGATACTTTTGAACGGATCGAATTATCTTGATGGCGACAGAATCGCTATTGTCGAGGTCCCTGGCTTGGACGACCTTTCCGAAGGTTCCCTGACCGATGAGGCGCTTGATTTGGACTAAAGATTCGTAAGTATTGTGACGCAGCTCGTGACGAGGAGGGCTGCCACTCACATTGATTAGTGACATGGCTGTCTGGAACAATAATGTAATGGCCATCGTCGTCGTCGACTCTTCTGTTGCCGGCTCCGGGGGCCTAGAGTGG